AAATTTTCGACATCAATTCATTTACACCAGTTGTATTTAAACTTAGTTAAAAGTATTTACTCTGATTTCGTTTTTCTGTAAATTTTAGGATCCACGCCTTGGCTGATCTAATCGATGTCATGTTTAGTGCATTTTAATACACACACACTGACAATCATTTACGCAATGGGTAGATTACTTCATGTTAAGAACCCCCCCCCCCCCACTTTGTTTTTCTGTAAATTCTTTGATCCACGCCTCGGCTGATCTAATCGATGCCATGTTTAGAGCATTCTGATACACACGCGCTGACCATTTCATTTACGCAATAGCCTAGATAACTGCATGTATTTTGAAGACCCACCATTACCCAAGTGATTCTGTCTCAGTCTGTGACTCTCTCTGATTCATGGGTAGTTTTTCTTTAAGACGGTCTGTTTTGTTTAACATCAAGACAGTCGCCCATTCTTTGAGCAGTATCTCTGTATTTAGAAATTGTGTCATCTGCCAGACCACCAGCTTATCAATGGCAGCTTACACTGGGACTTCATATCCGGGTAACAAACTTAATGTGTCATCTCTCGAGAGAGATGACAAAAAACAAGTTAATCACACTGAATACCAGAGTGCACCAGACAGACCGGACACGTGTATTTCACGGGGGTTCGGAATTATTTCAGATCGAATTTTAACATTCAAATTAAAATTTCAAAACTGTAAATCTATAGGGTTTAGTCTTAGTTGTTTTTGCTTTCTTTCCGAAAATTTGACAACTTGTATTATTCGTGTCTTTGGTGCCTTGTGTATATATACTTACTCAAATTTATTCGTTAAAAATGTCATACATTTGTTACATTCAATACATGGATACACTCTAGTAAAATATATACTTAAAATGGACAGAAAAGGAAAAGTCGGTGGTCTTTGAAACAAGGGATCCCTAAGCTAGAGGTGACCCTTACATCTCATTTATAATTAATTGTAGATGCAAAACTTTCCAGGTGCCTGTCCTACCCACAGTTTGCCTATATTATCTAAACAGATTCCTTGTGGGGGAAAAAGGTGAAAATAAAGAACAGTCATCAAACTCATAAATCCAGCAAAGAAGGATAACGAACAGTGATCCGTTGATCTAAAAACAAAAATCTACCAACAATACAAATCTGAGAACAGGACATAAAACATGAATTCCCGGAAATTCCAGGGGTGGGATCAGGTACCTATTATACGATCAATTTTTGAACCAAGGCAGACAACTGACAGATAAGTTGATGATACATGAATTTCAACAACTTCGTTTAAAGTCAGCATTTCGTAAATTCTATTGTTGTTATAAGGACCTTGTTAGCAAATATAACCTATTGTCCTTTATTTTGCATAGAAATATCAAGATTTTTGTAAAGGACACTATCATTGGGTCGTATTTCGGCTGTTGTTTTTATACTAAATTTGACTACGGAATATTCCGTCTATCTTATCAATGCATAGGGCTCACGGCGGGTATGTACGGTTGACAGGGGGTGCTTACTCCTCCTAGGCACATGATCCCACCCCTGGAATTTCCGGGGGTTCATGTTTTATGCCCTGTTCACAGATTTGTATTATTTGTAGATTTTTTTGAGATCAATCACTGTTCGTTATCCTCACCTTTTTCGCATTCTTTGATGGATTTATGAGTTTGATCACTTGTTTTCACTTTTTTTTGTTTTATGCCCTGATCACAAAGAGCTAGGTTCACTTTATGCATAAAATGGCCCTGTCCTTAGATCAATTAATTGACTATCACCCTCTGTCCCATATCATATATCAAAATAAAATAGAGACTTTGTTCTTTCATTTCCTATAACAAAATTTCCTTTTGAGGATCCAGGTATTGGATAACAGGCTTTGAGAAAATGCAATGTTCTTGAATTTTGCAGAAAACATGCGTATTTGACTATCTTCAGCAAAGAATTAAAATATGAGCACAGCCCACGATCCAAAAATTAAACATGTTTTATAATCTTCAGAAACAGATCTTTCTGTATGTAATTGCATATTTTGGATCAAAGGTTGTGCTCTATATGAAATATTGAAAAAAATAATTCAATTTTGGGCCATTTTTAAAGGAATTTACAGGATATGGGGAAAATGACGCATTTTATGACGTCATAATGCATTGACTAGAGAGAAAATTACGTCATGTTCAATAGATACACGGTCACCAAGGGTCCAAGTGATAAATACTGTATTTTCAACCAAAACTGAGCAGTTTTGATTTTTCAGAAATTCTCAGAGCCAAAAAAGGCCCTAAGTGGCTCTTGCTCTTTGTTTGTAGATTTTTTTTTACACCGGTCAATACTGTACGTGTACATAAATTGGCGTATTCAAAATTTAGCGCAATCACTGGGTATGGTGTTGTTTGCGAATTCATGAATTAGCGCTATACATCTCCTTGCCGTATATTGTATTTATAAATGATTTCTTAGCGGTATTCATGAATTAGCGCATCGTTGTCTGCACCAAAGCCGCTAAAATATGAAGCCCGCTTTTTAAAGTACACATACAGTATTCGTTCGTTTGCTTATCGCCCCTTTGGAGAATTTTTCATTCATATTGAGACGTCACCACTTGCTGGTTTAGGGATGCAAATTTAGACCTATACTCGACACTCAAGGCCATTGAGGAGTAAGGAATTTTTTCGTGCCAGCACCTGCTGCGACACGGGACCTCGGTTTATACGGTCTCATCAGAAGAACCGGTCTCCACGTCCCGCAGTGAGATTCGAACCCGCGAGGTAAAGATCACAAAGACCTAAAGACCTTACTACGCGACAGTGGACCGAACGCTCTAACCACTGCGCCATGCGGGCGTTAAATCACTGTTCGTTATCTCCGCCTTTTTCATATAACGGGTACCCCAAATATTATAGTAAACTGGTAGTGTCCATGTTTTGCTAATAGAAAACCCTGAATATGTGTCTCGTCAAACTCTAAATAGAAGATGAACAATGGCGCTATAGCTGTTCGATCAAATCGAAAATAGGAGGTTCACAATGAAATCAAGGTTCTGTGAAAGTCTCATTAAATTTTATCTAGTGGTATAGGAGGAGTTGCGGATAAGATATGGGTACCCCAAGCGTAACGGAATGACGTACGGACGGACATCCCCATCACTCTATACCCCCGCTTTTGAAGCGGGGGATATAAAAATTCTGTAAATTACAAGCGACATGAAATATGAAGATATCTTGATTGGTTCCCAAACTAGAATCATAATTGACAAGGCCAAAGGACAATAACAAACAATTATGTGTCAGTACCAAGTGTCAACTTGAGAGGGGTTCACATGACTAACAATGAAGTGTTACAAAGTATATACTACTTCGAGAATCTCCATAATTAATAAATGAATAGAGAACAAACAAAAACTATATGTACTATTTTGTGGTTTATTATTTATAATATCATTCATTTTTTTATCTTATCTCTGTCTTGTGTCTGTTCTTATTATACCCTGCTTGAAAAGTGGGGGCATATAGTGATGGGGTGTCCGTCTTGTCGTCTGGCTGTCCACCTGACAGTCTGTCTGTCACAAAAACTTTAACCTTGGTCATAACTTTTGAATGAGAAAAGATAAGGCTTTCATATTTCACATGTACATTACCTGTGACAAGACTTTTTTTAACTTTACTATGATTTTTGACAACATGACCTTGACCTTGAAGTTTGACATAATTTTTAAAAATTTTAAACATTACTTTTACCTGGTCATAACTTTTGAATAAGAAGAGATAGGACTTTCATGATTCACATTACTTGTGACAAGACCTTTCCAAATATATTATAATTTTTGATCCCATGACCTTGAAGTTTGACCTACTTTTCAAACTTTTTATTTTGGTTATAACTTTTGAATACAAGAAGATAGGGTGTTCATATTTGACACGTGCATTACCTGTGACAAGACGTTTCCGAACATGCTATGACTTTTTACCCCTTGACCTTGATCTTAAATTTACAGAGAACCTAGTCTTTTCATTTCTTTTTTTACATTGATAATAATTTGAATGAGAGAAGATAGGGATTTCATATTTTACAAGAACATTACCTATGACAACATCTATCTAAAAGATATATCATATCACTTTATTACCTTGACGTAGAAGTTTGACCTACTTATCAAAAAAACATTTGATATTGGTTATAACTTTTGAATAAGAGAAGACAGGGTGTTCATATTTGACACATACATTACCTATGACAAGAAGTTTCCGAATGTGCAATGATATTTGATCCCGTGACCTTGAAGTTTGACCATTTATATTTGACATTGCATTATCTGTTTCAAGACCTTTCCAGATGTACTCTGGTTTTTGACTTCGTGAAGTTTAACCTACTGTCTTTTTTCATTTTTTTTTTACATTGGAAACAATTTGAATGAGAGAAGTTAGGGCTTTCTTATTTTACACGTACATTACCTATGGCAACACCTTTCTGAAAGATATATCACTTCATCACCTTGACCTAGAAGTTTGACTTACTTATCAAAAATTTTAACTTTGGGCATAACATTTGCTCCAGAAGAGACAGGGCTTTCATTTTTTTTTTCACATGTGCATTACTTTTGACGACCTTTCGGATTGTATTATGATATATTTGACCTCATGACCTTGACCTTGAAGTTTGATGCCGTTTTGAGAAAGCTTTAATCTTTGCCATAAGTTTTATTAATTCAATAATTTATAACTTTCTGTATGATAGGACACTAAAACAAGACAGTTACAATATGCCATAAATAATTGCATCCCAACCACTTAGACCGAAAGCGGGGGACATTTCTTGTTGCTTTAAAAATACCAGTCTTTCTATGTCTTGAATCTCTCTAATAAACAAAACAGGTTGACAAGAAATTTAGTTTTACTGGATGCACATCTTTTTTTGTACAAATATTAAAGCGGCGCATCAAGGACAAACTGTATGAAAAACTGAGTCATGCTGTAGATAAAAAGCAGTTTATCGTCGCAGTGCTTATATAATCCATCACATCACTGGGGGTGAGAAAACAAATATTATTGATAAGAGCAAAGTACCTTATACGCTATAAAATTTGGCTACATAATTCTCAACAAAACGATGCTGCAGAGATCTTGGACGTTCGTCTTGGTTACTTTTTCGTTCCTGTATGTGAATACTGGAGGTTACGACGACAAAACATTTCGAGCAGCTGTATATGAACATGCTACTGTTCCACCTAACAGAGAAGTCGTGGTAACACGACAGGAGGCGCTAGAGTACATGACAAAAAACCTGGAGGTCTACAGAAAAGTTACGGAGGAGGCTCGTCTTCAGGTAAGCTGCGATGTTCAATTTCTTTTTCTAAAGCCTAAAAACTCTAAAATAAAACACAACCTCAATGTGAATACTTATTAATAAGATGATGGACAGATAAGATCAGTTACATATCAATTTTTTTCTGCTAAACTACTAGTATCATTTTCAAGTGATAAGCTTGCAGTTTTTTCAGCACGAATTAAATGAACCACCAATGACCAGCAATCTCACCACCAATGACCAGCAATCTCATCTCCTAAAACGTCGCGCACGTTATTGGTGTAAAAAGTTTTAGATACCATTGTGAAAGCATTTCCGCTATTTATATATTTCTGAATGAGAGAAGCAGGCCCGAAAATAATCTCGAATGAAGTTTGTCAAGGGTCCCACGGTTATGAGTCGACTCAGAACCCTTGACGTTTTAAGGATGCAAATTGGATGTGGATTGTTGCTTCATGTGCAAAGTGAGAAAGTATTTCCAGATTTATCTCGCAATTATATACCAATCAGAATCTTGGGGGAAAATCTTACAAAAGATACCACATGATTTTAAAAAAAGAATTTTAACTATTATAGGGTTCTCCATCGTTTCAAATTTAACTGTGGCGCAAGACTTAAGCGAAGTATTAATATTCGCGGTCATTTTGCGACCTAATTCGCCAAGGAACCACGAAATAAATGAAAAACTCACAACCCCATTAAATTAAAAGTTTAATACACAAATTGCATTTATTGTTTAGCAAATTGATTAATAAGTTTGATAATAAAAGCAATTAATCGATATCGATTTAACATAGTGTAAAACAAAGATTAGGATGTTTCCAAAATATACGCATCCTGTGAAAAAGACCCCCCCCCCCCCCGAAAAAAAAACAAAAACAAAAACACCAACGTAATTTTAAATTAACAAATATTAGCTTATAGGATCTGAAAATAAAGGTACCAGTAACAACACGTTTTGAGCATTAAACCTTTTCTTTAAAAAAATAATAATGATTTTGTTTACAAAAGGCAAATTATACAATGTACATTAAAAGACAGAGAAAATTCTGGTAAGACACCCAATCACGCTAACATTTAAATGCATATATATTTGTAGTTATCGCTCTGAAGACTGAAATATCTTAAAACTTGTGAATTTCAAAATACTTAAACAGTTTAGAGTCATAAAATAATATTTTGGTGGATCTATCGTTAATTTTTCAACATTACAAATATACATGATTGCGATACACGTACGATGTTTGACTCGCAGTGCCAATGCAAGTTTAGAGACTTGGTTATCTGAAAAACTATAAAAGCATGAATTAATGTTAAAAAAAAACATCATTTGCAATCATCGTGAAGTGTGAAAAAATGGCTTAATTCTCTCTTTTCATTCAACTGTCCAGCGAGGTTTAGAAGAATTGCTTGTGCAAGCCAAACATTGGGCCCTAATTAGAGTAAATTAACGGTTTAGCATTAGAAACTGAAAAATGGTACATAATTTGGAGGTTCATTTTGTTTATAAATTTATATATTTCTCTTACTGACGACGACGATCTTACTGTGGCGCTAATATTTTAACTGTGGCGGAACTATGGCGCTGATTTTTTAACTGTGGCGCAAAGAAATTTACTAGTAACTGTGGCGGGGCCGCCACGTTAAACGACCCATGGAGAACCCTGTATTACTAGTAAACCTGTAAACTTGTTCTATACCATTTCAGAGCGTTGACATAATTGTGTTTCCAGAGGATGGACTAACTTACTTGGGTCACTCAAGAAAATCCATTCAACCATATCTTGAATACATACCGGACCCTAATCGAGAACTATGGAATCCATGTGAGAACCCTAAAAAATATCCGAATACAGAGGTGCAGCACACTCTCAGCTGTCTGGCAAAGAACAACTCTCTATACATTGTCGCCAATATGGGAGACATTCAACCCTGTGATGCTGCAAACGACACTTGCCCGCCAGACCACCATTACCAATTCAATACGGACGTAGTGTACGACAGCTTTGGAACACTTATCGCCAAGTATCACAAAATCAACCTGTACTTTGAATTTAATTTCGACCCATCAACATCCAAAGAGGCTGTCACGTTCGAAACACCATTCGGAACCTTTGGTGTGTTCACTTGTTTCGATATTCTTTTTTGGAACCCAGTGGTTGTTTTGATGAAGGAGAGAGGGGTGAGTAACATTGCATTTCCCACTGCCTGGATAGACACTCCTCCATTTCTTGCGGCAGTCCAGTTCCATTCTGCGGTAGCTGCTGGTTTTGGAGTTAATTTTCTATCAGCCAATATGCATATTCCTCAAGACCGTTTCTTAGGAAGTGGAATATATTCACCAGAAGGAGCTAGAACCTATTACTATAACAACAGTGTTTCGAGTGGCGGGAAGCTACTAGTGTCAGACCTTAACATTTTGCCTAGAAAATCGCCTTGGAATACAATTTCCTTAAACAATGGAGAAACGTATAATGACCAACTAAACAATAGTTCTGGAAATCAAGAAGTGTTTCAAGCTGAAACCTTTGGAGACATGTTTAATTACGTCGCTCTTTCAAAGTCAAGTGGAAAAGCTCGAGTCTGTCATAATAAACTTTGTTGTACTGCATCTTATACTTCACGAGAAAATATCACAGAATTGTATGCCCTTGGAGCGTTTGATGGTTTGCATACAAAACAAGGGACTTTTTATATCCAGGTCTGCGGAATCGTTAGGTGCAAAACCAACAACAAATCATCGTGTGGTGAAGGGTCCGTTGTTTCGAACACGTATTTTACTCAACTCAAGCTTTTTGGTACTTTCAGGTCACCGTACATATTTCCAGAAATTCTTTTATTCGGCGATGACACTTATCAGCTGGCGCCACCAAACAACTGGTCGTACGCCAATGGGACGTTAGAAGCAAAGAGACTGGAACAGCCGCTGTTGGCATTCTCACTTTTCTCTCGCGATTACGACTATGATCCGACAAACTCATCCGCCGGACGAAGAGTTACAATTATTACATTTTCTTTGATTTTACTAACTTTTCTGTTGAAATACATGTATAAGTAGATTTCAGTATGTGACCAATGCCTTTGGCAACTCACCGTGACTATGCAATAAAATAACTGTTCCATTGTTAATTTAACATGCAATTTTATGTCTAAGTAATTAGCTCACCTGAGCTACAAGCTCAAGTGAGCTATTCTGATCACCCGTCCGTTGTCCAGCGCTGTTCCAAAGGGTTGTCATGTTCCTTTCCAAATGGAGAAAATCAAGAAAAATCAAACCATTTAAAACCAAGAGGTCATTGGACTTTACGGTCACCTGAATATCATGAGTTTTTCTTGGGTCCACCTCATGGAACGGGTTTGGACCTGTACGACACAAAGCTTTCCATATGGCGAAGACTCTATAATCACTATCATATTCAGGCAACTTTCCTCTTAGAAGTTCAGGAGTAAAGAAGATAAAACTAAAAGTACACTTTAAGTTATTTTTTTCAATATATCTCTAACTTGGCACCACCCTGAGCCTATTCCCTATTCTCAGGAGGCATCAATTTTAAATTTTGTAGATGGCTAGCTGCTCATTGTAATCATGCTAACAATTTGCCTGCTTCGAGTCTGCAAGTAAATATGATTTAAGATGTAATTTTTTTTTCAAAATATATCTAATATCTAATCTTAGTCTCATCTGATAGATAAGAAACCAGGGCCATGAATGCATAAAATTAAAATTTTGATAGAGGGTATATGTTAATTATAAACAAGCAAACAGTTTGCCAGATGTTCATGTGTAGATAAGATTTTCAATGGTATTATGCTGCCACAAAAGTCGAGGATACGACAGCTTGTTTAACATTTAACTGTAGATGCAGGCCCGTAAGAAGCAATTTCAGTTGGGGAGCACATTGTTTCACGGGGGGGGGGGATATGTTTACAGACAAAAACAGCAAAACTGGTCATTTTTTACCAATTTCGAATGAGATTACAAATTTAAAAAATGTACTTATCAATCATATATGTTGAATTTTACATAAGTCAAACATACGGGGAGATTTAAGGGTCATTTATCCATTTTCATGAGTATCTAAAAATCTGGTGATGTTAAAAAGCCCGATTTTAATGGATAAAATTTTCTACCCCCTTCTGAAAAGACTTGTAAATAAGAGCAATTAACTTTTTGACAGTTTTGAAAATTATTAATCAATTACTAATGAACTCTTCTTTGCATTCAAATAAGTTTTAAGGACCAAATTGCCATTTATATTGAATTAAATGGGTTTAAAATGTAGGCGGGAATCGAGAGTTAGCGTCCGTAGTTCTTTTACAAATATTCAAATTTTGCACCTAAGTGTATTTTAGCGTATGCGAACGGGGGGTTAGCAAGATTTGCCTGTGAATATTTTTACTCCTAGTGCAAAATTTACATCTAATGAGACTAGGTGCAAATAAGTAAATGTAAAGTGAACGCGTAGCAAAATTTACACAAGGATAGAAATATTGAAATTGTCCATAGATAAAATATTGCATCATCGATTTCACTAAAAAATCCATCTTTTTTTATATATAGACAGAACAGTGACTTTCTGTTGTATTAAGATTTTTTCTTATAATCACAAGTATTACAACACAAAATTGATATAATAAATACTAATGCAACGTTCTACAATCTATACTAAAAGTCATGAAATAGAGTTTGGTATCATTAGATGGTGAGCACAGAAAGAATCCCCCCATCTCTATATATCCCCTGCTTTTCAAGCGGGGGATATCACTAGAGGTACTGTGAGCAATGAGCTCACAAAATGATACCCCCGCTCTCATATGAGTATAATCGCAAAGTACATTTTTTGCTAGGGGAAACCCCAAATATCTGTCTGATCAGAACATAAAATAGGAGGTGCACAATGACACTATGTATAATAAAGATTCTGTGAAAGTCTCATTAAATTTTATTCACTGGTACAGGAGGAGTTCCAGATAAGAGATGACCCCGAACTATTACGGGCGGACGGACAACCCATTACTTTAAATCCCCTGCTTTTTTTAAGTGGGAATACAAAAATATACAACACGACTTATTATCCACAAAGGGGCACCACACATACTAATGGACAATTTATAAAGCATATAAGCCAATACACTATCACAGAGATGCAAGTAGGTTATAGTGAAACTCTGCAAAACCAATTTTTTGTTCTTCCCGAGTCGAATTTTATACCCTTGAGATACTAAAACTATAGCCTAGTTTTAAACGATTTTTTTTTCTACACAAGTACAATCTATTGATACGTACATATATATTTCAGTGGAATACTTATATATATTATAAGATTACACTCTAGTCTAAGGACCATTTCCCTGGACTTATGAATTGTATGACTTGAAATGATATATCTGAAGATACGCAAATTTATTTTTTTTTAAAGCATACATTTGTTTAAAATAAATAATAATGAATCAAGCATTTACTGCAGTAATACATTGTATTCTTAAAATCGCCAGAAAAAGAAAATAGTTGTAGTCTTTGAAACAAGGGATCGCTAAGCTATAAAGTGACCCTCAGCTCTCATTCAAATAATTGTAGATGCAAACCTTTCCAGATGCCTGTCCCACCCAGAGTTTTCCCTCACTATCTACACAAATTCCTAGTGGATTAGATATACCATCTATTTTAGTCACTACATACATTAAAAATAACCCGTCCTTGCTAAGAACATCAATGGTGTTCGGCTTAGTGTTTGATACGATAATTTCTTCTTTTGAATTTGCTGCAAGATCCCAGGGATCGAATTCGATCCCATTTTTTCGGCTTTCGAGGGATCCTTTGTAAATCCAGCGAAGGTTTCCCTCTTTGTTGACGCAGATGACAGATCTGAACATGATGTCTACGACTATGAGATCTTCATTTAGGTTATCCACGACTCTTCGAGGGAATTTAAAGAGAGGGTGACCACGTTCATCCTTTTGATACGTCTTCGTTCGGGATTTTCCATCATGCGTGTAACGCACAACTTTCCCACCACTGGTGCCTACCATGCAGACGACAAATCCTTGATCATTTGAAAATACTCGGATGCCATTAGGACTAAAAGGAGAGGTACTGACAAGTTTCGTAAGTTCTCCTTCATGCGACAATTTATAGATACACTTTCCACTGTAATCACTCAAAATGAAGTTCTTTCTATCAAAGACACCAAAACACTGGACTTTAAAACTAACTTCAATGTCTCTAACGCTCTCGCCATTGTCATTGTACAGAACTACCTTTCGGGCTGCGACAGGGGCGACCCAGGACTCGAATGGATTAACTGAGACGATTTCCGATGCTGATTCCTCGGCCTTGAATTCTGAAAACAGTTTGGCATGTTTTGACTTATCTTCTTCATCTAAACTGCTAGATCTCCGCACATCTTTTTGTTGTGCCATATCAAACCTAAAAAACAAATGGAAGAAATTGCATATGTTTGTTCAAATCCCTACGTTACATTTTTAACATGAATGACGCGAAGATTAGAACCTTTAGTATACAAATGATTTATTTGCATTTCTGATTGTCTTCTGCACAGCGCACACTTGGTGGTTAAATTTGATCCATCTATATTTACAATCCATTGATCAAGTGTATTGAGACCTGTGTTAAAAAAGCTAATTGAACATCGAATAAAGTTGTCAAGCTTATCTCTGGCAACACACTCGGTTAATAAATTCTGGCTCTTCAGACAATTCACACTGCAGAATCTCATGTATTTTAATAAAATTGCATAAATGACGTATTTGTTAGGTTTTTTTTTCAATAATAATAATAATAAAAATAATCACTGATTTATATTTGCTTGCATTTTATGCATGTTTATCATTATGGTGGTGGTGATGAGAGAGAGAGAGAGAGAGAGAAAGAAAGAACTTGAACTATTAGCATTAAGAATGAAAACTACTGAAATATTATAAAAAGCATATACTGAAACATGCGCACATGCACATCTAATCAATGCGAATATGTATGACTTCTCACTATCATACTGAAACCCCATTAAAACAATTCAAGATTAACTTATAAGCAGAGGAACAGTTGTTCAGCAAAAAAGTGCAGCATTATCAACGCAAAAAAATGTCGATTCAAAAGAGCCATGTACTAATAGCACATTAAAAATATTGAAACATATTGTAATTTTCCCTTTACCTTTTGTCGTGCTATGTATCCATTATGAGGGCCTCGAGAACTTTCGATCACGACATGACAGTCTCTGAAATAAGAATTTTGACAGTTTTGTCCAAAAGTTTCTATACTAACATAGCAAGGAACTGATAGCAGTAGTCGAAGGATTTCAAGAGGTGTGGATTTAAAGACCTTAATCTCATTTTTTGTTTTGTTTTAAATTTCCACTTTTCTTTATCACTGTCATGGGTCCCCGAACAGGCAATATAGGTGCTCAAAGCTGCGCTGTTGTTCTTCTAACATAACCTGAGTATTGGGCTAGATCAACACTGCGGATCAATCGTTCCATGAAGAATTTCCCTACCGGATTACTTACTCTCAATGACTATTCGGGACTTGATACTATTTGTTCAGCCACAAAGCTATTGTTGTTCATTCATATATGTGACAGTCACTTTGTAATGTAATTTACTAACTTATGTCATGGACTTTTAAACCAATTTGTAAAAAAAAAAAATGCAAGTTAATTTAACACAACAATTCATTTTTTTTTTTTATCGAAAGCTCCCCTATACTATGCAGTCAAATGCTGCGTTAGGTTCAAATTACAGGTCAACAGTGAAAAAAAAAAAACAGAGAAGAATTAATTTTGTTAATCAATGCATACCCGTTTGTAAGAAAAGTATCAGAATGTATTCAAAATCAGGACTTTTGGCGACTCCTGTAGGCTGTCCGTGCATGATAAGGAGAGTTAATAAATTTAGACTTAGTGGACTTTAATTTGGTAATGTTTGTGTACCTAACTCTTCATATTTCTGATAAAATCTCATTAAGTATCAATTTCAATCTCTTGATAACAACGGGCCAAATATTGCTTCAAAATTCTTATTACCTGTATAACTCTCTAGAATCAAACAAATGTTGTAAGAACGTCAAAAGTCAATAGTACTTTAAGGAGCTAATTCCGGTCAAAGGTCCATAAATTACGAGACGACACGAAATATGAAAACAATGTAAAACTTGTTGTCAATTCCCAGTGTATGAAATTTCGAATGTTTTGTCATTACACGTTTAGAGGGACCGTTAGTGTTCTATGCATACAATGTAATACATGTACATGTATTACCGTTTGACCACAATTTTTGACAAAACATTCCTTAATGATTTGTTAAAATTGCATTATTAACTATACGAAATGAAGTCCAATGTAATAAAGATAAACATCACTTAAGGTCTGACGACTGACACGTTGCTCGAATATCCGTGTTGTGTCTATTTGTAGTATACAACACATTAATCATAATTATAATTAGCTTGTGATTTTTATACTGTTTTCAAAATGTCTAAGTAGATAAAGACACCAAAAATTGTGATTTTGGCAATGCCAGTGATTTCCAATAGGATTATTTAAGTAAAGAACATCCCCCTGTATTTTGCACAAATGCCTGGTAAGGTACTTTAACTTTTTGTGAGGAAACTTGTTAAAGAAGCAATAGTTCAATGACAAATTCTTGGAAAAAATATATATTATTATTGAGGAACGCGTCGTCTGACCTTAAGGAGGGATTCTTGTCTGGTTTCTGACTAGATGAAATATTCGAAGTATATTTGCTTATATGCCTTATATATTTACATGTAAGTGATTTAAAAAATCATATTTTTCTTTCCTCATCATAGTTATACAACTTTAAATAGAAATGGTAAACTGAGTTTGAAATCTAGCAGGGACTATATTTTTGACGGAATGACGGCGTATGAAAAAATCTCCTTTTCTGCTTCTCAAAATTACTTATAGAACTACGAATTGAATTAAAATTTTCAAACAATCAAAGACTTAAAAAAATTCAAATGTAGGTAAAATTAATAATGGACTGAAGTTTTAAAATATATCAAATAAATATGATTTTGCAGACAAGCTACAATTTTATTAGCTTTTAAAAGCTTTCAATCTAATAAAGACTTGAGCAAAAAATCTGTAAAAAGTTTTTTTTCTCCCTTAGTAAACGGTTAAAACATTTTGTTTTTGTATCAGTCTGTATCTTTATATGACTGCTTTATCATATGTAAAAAAAAGAAAAAGAAAAAACTAAATATACGAAGCATATAAAATTGAATGAAATATCCTAAAAATTTAGGAAAAAATCGAGGAAATTCGGATTAGCCAATATCTATTTTAGTTGAATTATGCATGTCGATTTGGTAGTATCGTCTGAAAGACCCTTTATGGTAGTATCTTTTTACGCAAAAAGAAAAACATTTCAATTTTTGAAATAGAAGTAGGCATCGCATGATTGGAAAAAGTATTTTCTTTATTGTTAAGGTGAAGGAAAAAGATATGAGCTTGACCTGACCTTGGTTCTAAAATAAAACGGTCAAATTTAATCTTACTGATACCATTACTTAGTGATGATGTCTTCTTGATTCTATGAATTTCATAAATTTTTAAATACAAGAAATATGAGAAGAATCCCTCCTTAATTATGCGTGTTTTATCTACCACATTCTCAAATAGCACCATAACAATTAAAATGGACAAGGAGTATTGTGCGTCATTATTAAAGTTATTATGACTAACTAGGATGTTTCTGCAAAATATAATTATGTAAAATTTATTTCCCTACATCAAATCACTACGAATTATAGTCTGAAGGTAAGTACGTATTTACTTTTCCCCTTCTTTAACTCCTTTTCGCACAGACATTACCACTCCATATATGTCCGTAATCTTTCTGAAAACAATTTTTAAAATAACAAGATGTGTTTGTGAAACACTGATGCCCCCGTATGGCAGCTTATGGCGAAGGTTAAAGTTTCTTCAAATGCAAGTCAAAATCCAGGCCAAAAGATAAGAAATGTTGATACCCAAAGAAAGGTCTTGTCTCGAGGAATACATCTATGAAATTTGAAAGACCTAGATACAACTGTTCAGAAGTTATGGCGAAGGTTAAAGTTTTTTGAATAAAAGTCAAACGTCAAAGTCAAGGTCAAAGTGGTTGGTATCCAAAGGAAGATCTTGTCACAAGGATTACATATGTGAAGTATGGAAGCCCTAGCACCAACCATTCAAAAGTTATGGCCAAGGTTAAAGTTTTTCAAAAGTAGGTCAAACTCCTAGGTCAAGGTCAAAGGGTCAAATAGGTTGGTATCCAAAGGAAGGTCTTGTCACAAGGATTACATATGTGAAGTATGAAAGCCCTAGCATCAATCATTCAAAAGTTATGGCCAAGGTTAAAGTTTTTCAAAAGTAGGTCAAACTCCTAGGTCAAGGTCAAAGGGTCAAAGTGGTTGATATCCAGAGGAAGGTCTTGTCACAAGGAATACACATGTGAAGTTTGAAACCCTAAGCACCAACTGTTCAAAAGCTATGGCCAAGGTTAAAGTTTTTCAAAAGTAGGTCAAACTCCAAGGTCAAGGTCAAAAGGTCAAAGTTGTTGGTATCCAAAGGAAGGCCTTGTCACAAAGAATACACATGTGAAGTTTGAAACCCCAAGCACCAAGTGTTCAGAAGTTATGGCTAAGGTTAAAGTCTCATAAAATTTTGCAAAAGTAGGTCAAACTCCAAGGTCAAGGTCAAAAGGTCAAATATGATGGTACCCAAAGAAAGGTCTTGTCACAAGAAATACACATGTGAAATATGAAAGTCATAGCTCCAACCAATCAAAAGTTATGGGCAAGGTTAAAGTTGACAACAGACAGACAGACAAACAGACAAACGGACAAACAGACAAACGGACAAACAGACAAACAGACAGATAGGACAAAAACAATATACCCCCGGGATCTTTCGATCCGGGGGCATAAAAAAAGGTTGTCATGATAGTTAATCCTTGTTATTTACAAAATATTGCAGACGTGCTTCAAGGACGAGTTTCACGAAGACGTTAAGATAGCCAACATACAGGTCATCCCTGGCACTTGTTTATGATAGCAATTACTCATAGCAGCGCTTATGAAATCATTATCGCAGTATGGCTTTTGGGGAGCAAAGTCCAGAAACTGAAACGTTGCCTACAGAAAAACGGAACGATGTTGTCGAGATTTTTGAAGTTTGTCTTGGTTACTTTTTCGTTCCTGTATGTGAATACTGGAGGTTACGACGACAAAACATTTCGAGCAGCTGTATATGAACATGCTACTGTTCCACCTAACAGAGAAGTCGTGGTAACACGACAGGAGGCGCTAGAGTACATGACAAAAAACCTGGAGGTCTACAGAAAAGTTACAGAGGAGGCTCGTCTTCAGGTAAGCCGCGATATCAAACAACTTATCCACGACGTCAAAGTGATTAATAAATATTTACATATCAGAAATAAACTACAAATAAGGAAATAGCTTTATATCTTCAGAAAGCCATTTGCTCGTCACGTGACTACCTCCTCGCTGTGTGTGGCATAATGATACACTGGGCGGGGCTTGTAGCCTTAGATTTTGAATTATTGACTAAAAGAAAGCAAATATTTCATTTTTTCAAGGAACAATTAAAAATGTTAATATAAGGAAAATCTGTCTGTTTTAGCTCACCTGAGCCGAAGGCTCAATTAAGGGGATGAAGGACACATGGTCACATGACTCTGTTTAACTACATCATAGTCTCCGTTTATATAAGTGCAGAATGTGTAAAGCATCAGTTCTTGCATAATTTTTTGACAATTTTTTAACTTTAATTACCATCTTATATAAAAAAAAATTAAAAAGTTTTAACATTCTTGTAAACATCAACAAATTATGAAAAAGATTGATCCACTCCTCTGTTTCCCTAAACTGCGCGTCCAACAAGTCGGTGACGTCATACACGATCTGTTAGTACAAGATCATACTCGGTGAACACAGGGGCGGTATTATTATGTAAAAACAGGTCATAATCAGTATAAGATGAAATATTTTGAGAAACGGAACACAAAAATTATTTTTGCATGGCTGATGACGGAAATCTTATGTAGGTATATCTTATTTCGCTTATTTAGCTTTCGTGTGACGTCATAGTTGGTTTTTCCCGTACTCGAGAAATGTAACATGACACGTTTTTTGTCATGCTTATGTCCTCTTTAACGATGTCCTGTGCAATATTGAGGTCAGCTTCGCCATTCGAAATTTTTACAGTTAATCAATAATTTGAAGGATTTGCATTTCAACGTAAATTAAAAAATATTGAATGATAGAATTTTTTGTAAATTACGTTTTTTATTGTCTAAGTTGTCTTAAAAAGTGTGTAATTTTCCCTATCCAGATGTAGTGTGATAGACAAAACTTCCTTTTTCGAATTTTAAATCTTAGTTATACTCTGGAATATTTTAAAAGATACATGTCCACTTTGATATTTTTTATATATGCTTAAAAAATCCCATTATGGACAGAGTAATGAGCCCGGAAACATGGAGAATTAAAACTCCACTTAGATACTGTAGGGCATAGAATTTGTCAATCAATATCTCCAAAATAAGGTAAGAAACCTAATGATATAACTGCTTTAAGATATGTGGGACATACTTAATTAGATATATACAAAATATGAAAAAAATTGAATGACAAGTATTTTTTCAGCTCAAGGTCCTTCTCCTCCTTAAGTGAGCTTTTCTGATCAAAACTTTCTCCGTTTTCTGTCATCGTCGGCCGCGGCAGCGTTGTCCAAACTTGGCACAGGACAGCCCTTGGGTGAATAGGATTTAAGTTTGTTCAAATGAAGGGCCACACCCTTTTTCAAGGGGAGATTAATTAAGAATTAGTGAAAATATAATGGCATCTTTTTAAAATCTTCCTCTCAAGAACCACTGGGCTAGAAGCTGAAACTTATGCGAAAGTTTTATTACATAGCGTAGATTCAAAACTCAAATCCTGACACCCGGCATTGGATGGGGTCACAACAGGGGATCAAAGTTTTACATATAAATATATAGGGAAATCTTTTTTTAAAAATCGTCTTCTCAAGAATCAGTGGACCAGAAAAGATGAAATTTATGTGAAAGCTTCCTGACATAATGTAGATTCATTTTTATTTTTTTTTTTTTTTCAAATCTTGGTCCGAGAGGGTAGGGTGGAGCCACAATAGGAGATTTTTCTTAATGGGAAAATGTAGAAAAAACAATTTTAAAAACTTCTTGTCAAGAACAGCAAGGTCATGATTATATTCATATTAATATAGAAGCATCCTCAGGTGGTAGTGTAGAATCAAATTTGTTAAAATCATGTCCTACGGGGTTGGGCGGGGCCACGATAGGAGACCAAACTTTTACATCGGGTCATCATCAGTCAAATTAACAAGGAGGCATCCCCGGGTAGTGTATATAGATTCAAATTTGTTCAAGTTTTGTCACCCATCCCCACCCCCCAGAGATAGGACAAGTCCAAATTAGGAGATTAAACTTTTACATAGGAATATATAGAGAACAATCTTTAAAAATCTTCTTAAGAACAACAAATCCATGATTAATCATATTAATAGAGAAGCATCCTTATGTAGTGTAGATTCAATTTTGTTCAAATCATGACTCCCTGGGTGTAAGGTGAGGCCATAATAAGGTGATCAAAGTTTAACATAGGAATCTATAGGGAAAATATTTAATTTTTTTTTCTCAAGAACAGCAAAGCCATGATTAGTAATATTAAACATCCCCAGGTAGTGTACAAATCATGAAACACTGGAGATAGGATGGGGCATGTTGGGTGATCAAAGTTGCGCATAGGTATTTCTAAGAAAAAAATCTCTAAAAATGTTCTTCTCATGAAGGGCAAAGGGATGATTAGTTATATTTATATGGAAGTATCCTCAGGTAGTGTAGGTTAAAGTTTGTCAAAATCATGACTCTCAGGAGAAGAATGGGGCCACAATAAGTTATCAAATTTTTAAATAGGAATATGTAGGAACCAAATCTGCTGCTGAAGAACAGCAAAGCCTTAGTGACTCAGGTGAGCTTTGTGGCCCATGGGCCTGTTGTTTGGTTTTATGATGATGTTCAACAGTTTGCACTCGTGATTATTTTATGCATAAACGCCGAAGTTTATGCAAGCTATCAATGTTTGATCACATCAAAACCAAAAACAATTCCTTAAAAGAAGCAGATACATTGTGTCTACCGGTATTATCAACGTTTTTGTTAACTATTATTTTAGTTTTATTAACTATTATTATTTTACCATCTTCTGGTATGGATATGTACAATAGAGATGAACCGTCATGTTACAATGAAAATTCTGAAAAATTGTACACCGTATCTAGATAATGAATGAAAAAAAATGTGAAGTCAAAGTTACGTCATCTTAAATCTGAAAATGCCACAATTAAACATAAATTACTATGCTAAGTGTACAAAAACTGTTGGATATTTACTGTATTTAAGTAATACACTAGTTGTGCATAAAATTTATAATAAATTACTTCCAGATTACATTGCTAAGTTATTCTTCAACCAGAATCTTGCAAGAAAAAAAAACGTACCCTACGAATTAAAAGCAAAAATAATTATAAAATGCTTAAATTAACATGTAAGCTTGTACAAGCTAAATATTCTGTATCATTTCAGAGCGTTGACATAATTGTGTTTCCAGAGGATGGACTAACATATATGGGTCACACAAGAAAATCCATTCGACCATATCTGGAATACATACCAGACCCTAAAAGAGAACAGTGGAACCCATGCGAGAACCCCCAAAAATATCCAAACACGGAGGTGCAGCACACTCTCAGTTGTCTGGCAAAGAACAACTCTCTATACATTGTCGCGAATATGGGAGACATCCAACCCTGTGCTTCAAACGACACTTGCCCGCCAGACCACCATTACCAATTTAATACTGACGTAGTGTACGATAGCAGTGGAACACTTATCGCCAAGTATCACAAAATCAACTTGTTCTTTGAATTCATGTTCGACCCATCAACATCCGAAGAGGCCGTCTCGTTCGAAACACCATTCGGAACCTTTGGTGTGTTCACTTGTTTCGATATTCTTTTTCGGAACCCTGTGGTAGTTTTGATGAAAGAGAGAGGGGTGAGTAACATTGCATTTCCCACTGCCTGGATGGACACTCCTCCATTTCTTGCGGCAGTGCAGTTCCATTCCGCGGTAGCTGCTGCTTTTGGCGTTAATTTTCTGGCAGCCAACATGCACAATCCTCGATATCGTTTCCAAGGAAGTGGAATTTATTCACCAGAAGGAGCTAGAGCCTATTACTATAACAACAGTGTTTCGAGCGGCGGGAAGCTATTGGTGTCAGATCTTAATATTCTGCGCACAAATCTGCTGTCGGAAAAACATACTCTTAACGATGAAGCATCAGTTGTGGACCCGCTTATCAACGATTCTGAACAACAAGTGTTTCAAGATGAAACTTTTGGAGACGTGTTTAATTACGTCGTTCTTTCAAAGTCCAGTGGAAAAGCTCGGGTCTGTCATAATAAACTTTGTTGCACAGCATCTTACAAATCATTAGAAAATATTAAGGAATTGTTTGCTCTTGGTGCATTTGATGGTTTGCATACAAAAGAGGGGACTTACTATATCCAAGTCTGTGGAATCGTTAGGTGCAAAACCAACAATAAATCATCATGCGGTGAAGGTTCCGTTGTTTCGAACACGTATTTTACTCAACTCACACTTTCTGGTACTTTTAGGTCACCGTACATATTTCCAGAAATTCTTTTATTCGGCGAGGACACTTTTCAGCTGGCGCCACCAAACAACTGGTCGTACGCCAATGGGGTGTTAGAAGCAATGAATGGATTGGAACAGCCGCTGTTATCATTCTCACTTTTCTCTCGCGATTACGACTATGATCTTCTCCTGACGAGCTCATCCGCTAAACAGAAAGTCACAGAGATTGCATTTTCTTTGCTTTTACTAACTTTCCTGTTAAAATGCTAGGATTAACAGATTTCAATGTATGGCTATCGTCTCCATAGCAGCTCACCTTGACTGTGTAATTAAATAGTCAGTGTTCATTTATCATGCAAGTTGAAATCTATGTAGTTGTTTTATTACTTATGTACATGTAATTTTTTTACTAGTTTTTTGTAGTTGACATTATTGTGTTTCGTGAATACATGTATAAATAAATGTATCGCATTGAAAAAGTTCTTCAATTATTACAAACCAATCCTAACTGTTAGTCGATCATCACAACTTTTTTACTTCCACAGTCGCTCTCCCCGCAATTTGGGCGTATTCATTGGCTTCCCATCTTTAAAAGACTCAAGCTAACAAAACACGTCACTTCACAGTCTCAAACTTATACCAGCCAATCTGACAGATACTTTTAGTGCTGATTCTCTTGAAGACCGGAGCATCTGTGGTCGGTGTGATTCTATAGGTTCAGTTAATAATGTATAGAAGGCAGTGAATAATCTTAACCTGTATTTCTCTTTGTATAACTAGTCAGTCCACCTATAGATATAGCTAAGTCAACCTCTAGGTATATCTAACCAGTCCACCTCTAGGTATAGCTATGTCCGTCTCTAAGCTATTCAGTCAACGTCTAGGAATAGTTATTTACTCCTCCTCTATGTATAGCTATTCAGTCCACCTTTAGGCATAACTTATCAGTCCACCACTAGGTATAGCTAATCAGTCCACCTCTACGTATAGCTAGTTAATCAGTCCACCCCTAGGTATAGTTAATCAGTCAACCTCTAGGTATAGTTAATCAGTCAACCTCTAGGTATAGTTAATCCGTCCACCTCTAGGTATAGTTAATCAGTCAACCTCTAGGTATAGCTAATCCGTCGATCTCTAGGTATAGTTAATCAGTCCACCCCTAGGTATAGTTAATCAGTCAACCTCTACGTATAGCTAGTTAATCAGTCCATCCCTAGGTATAGTTAATCAGTCAACCTCTAGGTATAGTTAATCCGTCCACCTCTAGGTATAGTTAATCAGTCAACCTCTAGGTATAGCTAATCCGTCCATCTAAGCTAGGTAAAGCTAATCAATCCACCACTAAGCTAATCAGTCCACCTCTAGGTAAAGCGAATCAATCCACCACTAAGCTAATCAGTCCACCACTAGGCATAATTAATCAATCCATCACTAAGCTAATCAGTCCACCACTAGGCATAACTAATCAATCCATCACTAAGCTAATCAGTCCACCGCTAGGTATAACTAATCATTCCACCACTAGGTATAGCTAATCAATCCACCACTAAGCTAATCAGTCCATCTCTAGGTAAAGCTAATCATTCCACCACTAGGTATAGCTGATCAATCCACCACTAAGGTAATCAGTCCACCTCTAGGTATAGTTAATCATCAGTCCACCTCTAATTATAGCTAATCCACCCATCTCTAGGTATAGTTAATCCGTCCATCTCTAGGTATAGCTTATCAGTCCACCTCTAGGTATAGCTGTCCATCTCTAGGTATAACTAATCAATCCACCTCTAAGCTAATCAGTCCACCTCTAGGTAATTTCATCAAATTGACAATTATTTATGAGTCATTTTCAGATTATTAAATAAAACAATGAAAGCTGTTTTCGACTATGAAAGTGAAAATCTTGAAAATGTCCGCCAAAAATAATCACTCGGGATTCTACAAATGCAGAAATCTCTGGAAAGTGAAGATTGTATACATGTCATTAATGAGTTGAAATGTTGGCAATTTTCTGGTAATAAAAGATTTATTTTACCTACTTAGCTCAAAAAAGACAAGTTCAGTGAAGACTGACTTGATACTTGTACAATCAATTAATTCAACGAGAGTACTTTTGTCCTCCTTATTTTCTTTGAAGATTTTTCAAAAACAGTTTAATAGCAAAGGGTTCACTCCGCTTATAATCTTCTACTGAAACCATTTTAGTTAAGTTTCCAACATAGATTAATTGGAAAAAAAAACAACTTTATATTGTACGTAAATTACAATTATTTTATTTTACATGAAGCATTAATAAAGACCTTCGTACCTACTCAAAGAAACAACTTCTTCTTTTTTGAAAATATCAATTACAATTTAGGAAACTTCTAGCAAAGTGAAGTGGATAGGGAACGAAAGATCGATTTTCATTGAATATTTATGATCTTGATTGCAAAATAGATCATTACTTGCAGCCATTAATTTTAAAAGTTACCTCTCTTGTCCATTCTTTATTTCAAAGAGAAACTGGCCCAATCGAGATCGACAAGCAGAACCAGTCAGTGGTTCTTCAGGGCCGTCCTGCTTTTCCGCGAGTACTTTACATTGCTTTTCCACGATTTTTGAAAGACCATGCAGGGGTTGAGCTTAGCATCAAACGGTTGCCGATATTGTCCTGTATTTTCTTGTTATTTCCTCATGTTCTAGTCATTAGTATACTATTGTTTAATGTCTAATCAGTCAATATACCAGAATATTTTTCCCAAGGCACTGGGAACAGCTCGATGTGTTCTATTGCCCGAGGGCTACTTAATTGAAGGTCTTAGTAACATTCACTTCCTCCTACCTAAGATGCATTAATTGACCAAGTTTGATGATTCTACATTTATTAGTTTTCTAGTCGACAGGATTTTCCACATTTGGCCATAGCATCTTGATTAAAGGTCACAGCGACCTACTTAAATGTGTGACATGCCTTCTACCCAGGTGTATCATCTGATAAAATTTGATAATTCTAGACCTCCTAGTACTAAAGTTATTAGCTGGACACGAAAAGCTAACAGACAGGCAGACGGATGCACAAGAACACCATAACATGGTAAGTCTTAATATGGGGTATAAAAAGCTGAAAATCAGTTCCATTGTGTCCCAATCTCAAAGGTTGTCAAACTGTCCGGTGACATATTCATTTCTGATCTAGCTTTTTCTATAGATTAAAATTTGTTTTTGTAAGAAGTTTCAATCACTCCCATAATTCAGCTACTACAAAAGATCACACAAGAAACAATAGGTTTTTTTGCAATATCAATTTAATGTCTCTTCTATTTCATTACAACCCCTTCTTTTGGAAATCAGAAGCAATATCAATCACACATTAACAATGTGAAAGGAGACTCAAAGGAAAGATTTAAAATCAGACATTATTTCAACATGATGTACACTTGTCTGATAAACTATGTACACATCTCATCAGCAAAGAAAATGACAAGTCAGGTACTGGGGCATAATCTTTAAACAAACTCAATGAAAATATTGAATGTATCTTTTTTCAGAGACATACAGAAAACATTAACAGGAAATAACCATGTTTTTACTACTATATTCATCTATTAAAATTTACACAGAGTTAACAGAAAAAAAATTCCCAAAAGACACTTTGCTTAACATGGTGCTTATAAATCACATTAACAGAGAGATTTATATCATTATTATATCCGTAGATACTCTATTATCACATGAAATCAAAGACAGAAAAAATGTACAAAAATATTGACAAGAATAATTTACACTTGCATATTATTATAGGCAGTATGTCTCCAGAGGAAAATAAAATATATAAATTATAGCAATTGCACCAAAACAGCAACATTCAACATGCACACAACATACATTCTATGGTTTCTTATTGGCTATTACTGAATGGGTTTTTAACTTGTTCATTCTGGTAATGAAAAAAAAAGTCCAGCAAGGTTAAATAGCACCAGAGGTTTTCTTCTATCAGTAATAATGCAAAGAATCAAATACAATCATTTCATGATTCTCTCTTTCTGACAGCAAATTCACCATGTGGACACATAAATGAGCAATTGATGCAGTCCTATCTGCAGTAAAAAATGCACAGTTTTACACAGCCTTTTTAGTTCTGGTTTTAAACCATGGTTTATTCCGGATGAATTGGTTGGCATTCACACCAAACAGTAACTAAAATGCTCACATTAAGCATAGAAATTTATAAACATTCACTTGAAACAATCTGCAACAATATGATTTTCCATTAAGAATAGGGATCATGAATATGGCTTTAAATCACCTCACATGGAATATGGATAAACAAACACGATCCATTCCATTGAAATGTAATGAATGTTTTCACAAGAAGCAATCCTTTTCACTGAAAATCCACAGATAAATAGATATATATTCCCACCCCCAATTTCTTTAAGATCTACAATATGATTATTCTCAGCTATCACTCATATCTTCAGCTTCTCGTAGCCAAGTGAAGAACTGTACCACTTGTTTCATTGCCACTCCCTTTCCTTCTTGTTCATTAGGGTCCTTACTTTTCTCCCACTGATTAAATCCATCCTCAGAAATAATGTCCTCATCATACAAGGTATCAAACAGTGTTCGCAACACTCCTGTGGAATTAAAAAAAAAAAGCATTGGAAATGAACTGTCCGATCTCTCTCTCTCTCAAAATTCATCGTTATTTACCTATTCTTATCATTTGATGCATTACAATATTCAAACCATTCCAATTAGAATTTACCTTGTGGATGCTCCAATTTGTGTACCAGGACTTGTAAAGCATATAAAGCTTGCAATTCAGACTCTGCCCGGTGATCCAAGTATTTCTGAAGCAAATCTCCTCTGGTTTTGATAACCTCTGGATTCACACGTGCACTACTTCCAACCCCTATTAAACAAAAATCCATACATTAACATGCATATTTGTAATTACTTCCAAAAAGAAGATTCATTTAGTGACTGATTATCAACATACCAGATATTGCACTATCACAAACTGCAGTCATCAAGGCACGGATAAATTTGTTGCCCTTAACGGTTATCTCATCTACACTCTCCTATAAGCAAAACACAACACAATTATGACACTACGATAAATTTAAAACCTCCTTTCATGCAAGCAACTTATAATAATAAGCAATTTTTTTGATGCACTAGACATTTACACATACCTCAATCCAATCAAATATCGCTTCATTATCAGCCTTTTCCTTTGTGAGCAGCTGCTGCAGTTTCTCTAGGACTTTTTCTATGGGTATGGAGACTGTTGGTGTGCTTGGTTGACTGTCATCTCCAGCAGTAAATTCAAGCTTCTGTAAATTCAGCGAGAACAATATTACACACACAAAAAGCTTTCTAGCCATCTTGATAATACTTCAGGAAATGAAACAATTCGTAAGTAAATAATCAAAATGACAAGCATTTTTTGAAATATCTTACTAGCCAATTAAAAGTTTAATATGCTAAGAATATTTAATCAACTGTCCTGCCACACTTACTTGATCTTTGATGAACTTTTCAACATTATTTGCTGACATGAACTCATCCCACTGTAGACTAGACTGTCTCCATAGAGATCCAACCTTCTTGTGGCCCTTAAAAACAAATAAAATAAAATTACAGGACTGTTTAATGCAAAAAAGTTACAATGTTTTTTAAGTTTTATGAAACTTTTGATTAAGAATAGAAGAAAAAAAATTGTTCAAAGCCTTTTGTTTCAAATTTTTGTTATAATTCTCAATTGCAGCAAAAATAAAAGCAAATTGTAAAATGCAACTTCAGGAACGAGGAAAATGGTCTTCAGTTTTGTCAGAAGAATATAACAGTCATCACAAGTTGCATCTAAGTTTGCTTTTTCTAGAAAGTGGTCTGTAAATTTGCAACTACAGTCTAATTTGAGCCATGATAACTAGTAACAAGTAGGTCACTAAAAATCACATGATGCTTTACCAACTACAGTTTCAGGTAATGATAATTGAGTATTTTTTGTGGCACTGTACATATACAGTACCTCTCTATGACTAGCAGCATGTAGAACCTCAGCAACCAGAAGACCAGCTTTGTTGTTCTCTTTCAGAGGTTCAGCAGCTTTTCTGAGGAAGTTGAGGGGGACACTTCCATCTTGAACCATTGGACCGATGAGCTCACCGAAGTACTGCCATATTTTTGGAATGTCAATTTCCATGTCTTCAGCATACTGAAGAATTTCTGTAAGCCTACACGTGTAAAATAAAAAAAAAAAATTTAATGGATGAGAAAGGGGGTTACAAGTATATAAGGTAAAAACGGCTGAACTCATCTTTATATATAGTTATCAATATTACTTTAATTTTCAGATAATATTTTCTCCTATGTTTTGAAATAAACCTACCCTTGAATATATACAGGGACAGATAACACATTCTTTTTGACTAGATCATGTAAGAGATGGCCTGTCTGACTCCTTGCTATACTGGACCTCTCCAAGATGTAGTTCACAGCTGTGCTAACAAATGTATGCATAACAGTGGGAGACTTCAGCTCCTCCACACAAAGAATGGCCTCCTGCAGAAAATAATATCGAAGAAATTTACTCAGACTAAAATCATTATTAAAATTTTCCTCTACAATTATATGTGCTCCTCTCTACCTTGATATCCTGTACATGCAGATATTCATCCAGAATGGCCTTAGTTTTCTTCTCCATCTCTTCCTCTGTTAGCTCCTTAGCCACAGGAGGGGCTTGTTTGCTGCTCTTATCAATGTCCGCTCTGCGTGGTTCACGTCCTCTACTGCTCTCTCTACTCTGACCCTGGCGTGGCGTGGTCTGACCACCAACAACATCCCTAAAATCAAAGAACGGCAAACAATTGGAAAATGATTTTTAAAATATGCAATGTTTTTGGCCTCTTACTTCCTGACCTTAACTAGCCACATATAACTGATGAACTCTATTCATATACACTTCACTTTTCATAGTTTTAAAGTTGGAATATCCCCCCCTTCCAAGTGTGATATAATATTCATTGTTCCATCCCTGCTTAACGAATACTCTTTAAATACTTTCAATACTGAACTTTTGTCAATGAGACACTACCTAGCGTATAGAGGTAGGATTCCATTTCATGTGCCACAAATAATCCTATCTCTGAAATGGTACAGTTGTGTGGCGTGAAGTGGATCAAAAACTCTTAGCTTGGAAAGAGTATATTAATATTTCAATTTTACAGTAAACCTGTACAAAAGCTGTCTTACCTAACAGCAGCAAGAGCTCGCTCCTTCTCTTGCTCCATGGAAGATCTTGGAGTAATACCTCGACTCTGTGGACGACCAAATCCTCCACTGCCTCGTCCTCGGCTATCACCTCTGGCAGGGCTAGTTCCAAATCTTCCCCTGTTATCATCTTCAGGCTTACTGAGTGCAGAAAACCTATAGACAACAAAACAGTGTTCTTTTCTTCATTTTACAGCAAAAATCCCACTTCTTTGAAAATACTCAATGGTAACCGAGATTGAACTATTCAGGTTCATAGTAAAATGCTCAATGTTAAAAGGAGTTTGGACTATACTTGCCTGTTGGCTGGTGCATTGGGTTTTTCTTGTTCCTGGGAGTTTCTAGCTCCTCCACCAGTACTTCCTCGCTGCCAGCCAGAGAATCGGTTTGTTCCACCTCCAGGGCCAAGCTGAATATTGGACTCGTCAAGATTTTGCTGTAATTCAATGTAATGTTTTCAATATGACTTTTATACATTTTTAACATAAATTCTGTCGGAACATAATTTCATATTTGAATATTCAGATTTTTGTCAATACCATTTTTACTAATTTAAGCATAGGAAATTGCTGACATCCTTAAAATGATTTGTTTGCAAGAAATCTTAACTGAGTGTATTTTGACAATTAAAATGTGCACCTATAATTTATTACCTTGGTAATTTTGAGCCTTGATGGATCAATGGACTGTCTCTCCACTCTGATGTTAGGTTTGCCCACAGTATTCCAGCCATCACTTGACCCCATTCCTGGTCCAGGTGGGCCTCTTGATCCTGGGAACAAAATCAAGTTTTATGTTTCTTTATATGATCAAAAAACTTGCATTAAACAAGGGGCCCATGGGTCTTAATGGTCACTTGAGTATCATGAGTTTTTCAGGCTATGACCACTTTGGCCCACAAGGAACTGACCTCAGTATGCTGGCATATCATGGCCCTGCTGTTCTCATGAAGAATTTTAAAGATTTTTTCCTATATATTCTCATGTAAAAATTTTATCCCTAGATGTGGCTCCAATCCATCCCTGGTAGCCATGATTTGAACAAACTTGAATATGCGCTATCTGAGACATCCTTCCTTATAAATATGGCAATTCGAAACGACCGATCATTGGCCTGCTGTTTTTTGAGAAGATTTTAAATGTTTTCTTCCTATATATTTCCCTGTAAACTTTCATTCTCTTCAATGGCCCCACCCTCCCCCGGGGATCATGACTTAAACTTGTATCTACACTACATGAGGAAGCTTTCAAATAAGTTTCAACTTTTCTGGCCCAGTGATTCTTGACAAGAATATTTTTTAGTTGACACCTTATTTTTGCTTTTCTTGATTATCTCCCATTGGAAGGGGGCAATGCTCTTCATTTGAACAAACTGGAATCCCCCTCACCCAAGGATACTTTGTGGCAAGTTTGATTGAAATTAGTTTAATGGTTCTTGAGAAGTTGAAGATGTGAAAAGTTTAAGCCTGCCCACATGAAGATGGACAAAAACGGATAGAAATAGGTCACCTGAGTGACTCAGGTAAACTAATGAATATTAATGTATGAATTGCAACTTCAGGAACGAGGAAAATGGTCTTCATATATCTCAGAACAAATAAAACTCATCATAAGTTGCATAATTTACATTTTTTTCTGCTATATTTGGTGAAAGTAAGCTTAATACAAAACTAAAGGCATGTTTAATTTATCAAAGTTTTGCTATGTGTGTGATGTCAGTGTAACTACTGGTTATAAGAGTGCACTAGACTTACCCCTGGCTCCACCCCCTCCTCTTCCTTGAGCTTTCTCCTTTGCTGTGGCCTGCTGTAGAAAGATTTGTCTCTCTTGTTCTTCCTTTTGAGCCTCCTTGTGAATCTGGTCCAATGTTTTGGGATTATTGTCATCTCTTCTTGGAACCCATTTACACTAAAACAAATAACAAAGTTGAACAATTTGACCTTTTAATACAAACATTTCAGTAATTTAAAATAAAAGCAAAATAAAACTCATAGACTTTATATAGTACCAACGCAAGTTTTCATGTTCAAACATCCCCTCACCCCCACCAGCACATACACACATTTAACAAACATTAACAGAACAAAATCAAAATGAACAATGTATTGTAAAACAAAATTTTTTTTTTTTATTTCTCTCACCTTTCTGAGATCAATAACATCTTGCAACATGAATCTCACTCGGGAAGATGTCTTCTTTTCAATAACAATTTTATCCATTTGATTAAAATACTGATCCATTCTTGGCTGAAAAAAAAGAATAAACTTATGTTATCTGTAGTTGCAAAACTGTATACAATACAATGTTGGCCACTATGTTTGGATCACAATTTAAATTAAAAAGCCAAAACCTCAGAAACAAAAGCAGAATTAATAGCATATACATTTCTATGTACATGTAATTGAACAACAGAGATTATTGAATTTTGACGAAGTTCACTTTGCAAACTTCTTTACATGCTGCTTAACTGTACATGTATTTCCTATGTGCAGATTCACAAACTTTGAAAAACAGAGGAAAAAGTTGAGAGTAAATGTTAATTTTTTGATCCATAAATTTAATGAGGGTATCATGGTTACATGGAATATTCCTCATGATATTTGGATTTCATATTTTAATAGGCCGTAAATATGAGGAAAATAGTAGAACAACACAGCCTTTAAAAATCATCTACCCCTACGAAACAACAATACTCAGTCTACACTAAACATATAGGTTTCAGTGGCCTCTCTGCTAAAGACTTTATATTTATTTCAAGATACAAATAATTACCTTGGCTTTATCTGAATCCAATTCTTTTCCAATTGTTGAAAGGAGCCTGCACAGACATTCTAAACTTTCTTCATCCTTAGCTCTCAAAAGCTTAAACAAGCAATCGTGCATTATGTTTTCTGTTAACATCTTCAGGTTAAACAGCTCTCCAATGAACCTTCAATTCAAATAAAATTGTAAGTGAATACATACACTGTACAAGTAAACTGATAACTAAAACCATACTTCAACATCTAAATAATACATGTGGTTTATACAAAACAAGCATGAGATTGTGATAAAATTTGAGCTTGAAAATATTATACCATTGAATGAAACACAAAACCATGTTATTATGTGAATATTTCTTTTAAGATTTAATGTTTCTGATGAAACCATCTGAAGATATTTTCAATCTTTTTTGACATTTCTTCACTTGCATATTCTTTACCTGATATTTCCCAAAGAACGCCTTCTTGCTTTTGTTTCTGAATAATTCAATTCCTCTATTAACTCTTCCTTTTTCTTAGGATCCTTTACAAGATAAGAAAAATAACATTTTTTTTTTCAAATTCTTGTCTAGCATATCATTATGAATTCTATAATTATCAGGGTTCAAAATTAACGATTGTCTGTGTTCAGCTAGAGCATACAATTATATACAACTCTAACAGTACCAATATTTTATGCCTATGATTTGTTCAATTAGACCGCATGATTTTAATGACAAACAAATCTTACAAAGCAAGAGTAGCGTCATGGCAATTCTTCATACATTGTAGTTACTGTTAAGTGCTAATTTACCCATACCATAATAAATAATATAAAGCATTTACCATGTCTCTTTTTATTTTTTTACACTTAGCAAAAACTATTCGCAAACTGTACATGTACATATGCTCATATTTTTTTAAGGTTATGTCCTGAGGATTAAATAGGATTTTGGATAAATATTCTTTCAAAATGTACATGTAGTTATTCAAATAAACAATTTTTGAATAAGTTCAAAATCATCTGGTCAAATGAAATTTGCAGGAACTTATTAGATGGAGAACTTCATATTTTTCTCAATGTTGAGCCTTGATTACATTTGCATAGAATATCAATTACATACCTGTGTTTCATCGATGACTTTTCGTCTTTCTTCCATTTCTTTCTCTGAATCTTTATCTTTTTCAAACTCCTTCTGACATCTGGTCAACAATATTGCACGAAAATTGACAAATTCCCCTTGTTTAGAGGTGGAAGGTACTTTAATCTGCAAAAGGAAGTTAAACTTAATTTCGGAGTTCTAATCATATTGGAAAACTTAAGGACATACGCATTGTACCTTACCTACTGATAATTTTTCAAGATATTCATAAATTAAGATTAAGTGCCATCACATGTAGGGTTGGATACCGGTACATGGTACCAATACCGTACCGAGTAGTTGCTTCAAAAGTACCGGTAAAATACCGTTTCATTTAATACCGGTATTAATAACAGTATTTCTTAATCTTTGAAAGATTTTAATATATTCAAAATTATTTTAGAAAAACGATTCCAGTCTCGCCAAAATCAAATTCTCCGCGCATTGGAAGGGTAGGTTAATTCACGAAATGGATGCTTAGTATGACACTTGCTTTTGGTTGCCGATATTCGAGGTAAATCAATATGTTTTCTTTTTTTTTTAAATTAAAATACATTCACATTAATCATGTTTTAATTTTATTATCAAAAACTGATAATAAATGTAAATTAAAAAGGCAAAATTTCGCAAAAAAGTGATGTGCATCTCTATCCATTTTCTAATGTTTCGTTGTTTAGTGCGACCAAACAAAATGGGTCCTAGCCAACCAGGGAGGTTGTGTATAATAATGTGATTATGTATCTAGTCAAACTAATTCGTTTGAGATTCAATTTATTTGTTTTGTTGATCATTTATTAAAAGGTTGAAATATAAACATAGTTTATAAGCTTACTTATGATTATAGCATTGAAAGGTTGGTGACTGGTGAAAGCGCATTTGTTATAAAATGAACCCGCATTCTAATTCATCAAGGTATAGTACCGTACCGTTAAAAATATCATAACGTTTCAAAAATACCGGTATGGTATCGTACCATTTCATCCTTAACGGTATCTAACCCTAATCACATGTTCGTAGACAAAAAATCAGCATGCTTTACCAGGGCTTTTGAAAAGATATCAATTGATGAAAATTTTTATTTAATTCAAAGAAAAATATACAAAAAATACTAAACATATATTCTAGATGTTTTGTTTATCCAAACTTGTTTTAGAAGAAGTGTACAATAGCATATATAGACATTAAAATATAGCACACAGTTCCTTTAAGTATTGGAACTCTTTAACTCCAGGAAAAAAGACAATAAAGTTCAAACTATGTTGCATATGTCCTTAAACTAAAAATCACAGGGAAAACCTCTCGTTCTTCATCTTGCACATGTACAATATAATCAGTACAAAAAATTGGAGGATTAGACAAAGCATACAGGAGTGAAAAATATTTGAGTTCTCTTCTTCCCTTTACAATGGTGTATGTATTTTGTCTTTCATGGTCAAATACAGTCAAACCTTGTTATCTCAAACTCAATGAAACCAAGAAAAATCTCTGCAATATCCAATGATTCAAGATAAAGGAAGAGTAGCCATGGTTTCAGAGATATCAATGTTTGAGATACAAAAGTTAAGACTTGTCGAAATCCGTCGGTCCTGTCGGCAAGGCCGGTAAAAATTTGTCTGGACTGGACTGAAAACGTCAGTCCAAATGACCGTTTGAAAAAATCGAGCGTGAAACAAATTTAAAGAAGGTCAGGATCGGGATGCGCAACTGAAGGTCACAAACACAGAAGAGATGGCCGTGTGCGCAGCGTAGTGACGATGGTCAATTTAAATTGTTACAGGAAAGACATAAAATATGTTACTTATGTCTCTTATTAAAGACTCTCTATCCTAAGAAAAGAAATTTTTGAGATAAAGGCTGTTGAAGATATTAAACAGCATTTTGGTGCTGTTATTTATTTTCCTTTCTCAGCGTCAAAATTAGGTACATGTATCTGGTCTGACAAAACTTCGTCCAGTCTGACAGAATATTTGACTTTTTCAGACCAAATGTCTGACAGTGATTTCAAAATTTCGACAAGTCTAAAAGTTCAACTTATACATGTATATACATTCAATCCGTCCTCAGACCCAAATTTGGTCACTTTTCTGGTATTGTCCAAGAATGAAATTTTATACATGTATTTTTTTCAATAACTGCCACACTAATGGGGGATACTGAATGACAAATATCTTGTAATAAAAATACAACTCACCATAGCTAGATATCTACACATGCTGGCATATGCAACACTAAATGCAGGTTCACTTATAGCCTGAAAGAAAACACGATAAAATGAAACAATCAAGCCTTGTCTACAACGTCTCAAATCAAAGTACTATAGGTGCCAATCAGAATATGTTTATCACCAGCATCTATCAGACAGGGATAACTTTTAATCATCATTTACACTATACAATGCTGTCGACACATCCTTCCACTAAATGTACTCACTTTTTCAAATATAAGATCAGTTACACCCTTCAATCTTTCCTCTGTGTTAATTTCCATTTCAGAAACTTGCTTCACAAGTGTTTGGAATTTCTGTGGTGTCAATTTGTTGAGGATACTACGGACTCTCTTGTACAAATCCTGAAAAATATGTTAACCTGTAAGTGCCAAAGTCAACCTTTCTCACAAAATGCAGTGTTACATGTATACGACAATGAACTCCACAAAACTACAATCAGAACCAATGCTCTACATAATTTTTAAGACCTGGATAACTTTATGTAGTAATGCATCATGTTACAGTTTCTGTGGGTTCTCATTTCTTATTACAAACAATAAATAATGCTTTTTTCTTGTTTGCTAGAACACTCAGTAGGGCATAATTTAATCTTCCAAATATCACATTGGGTTTGAACATTACAAGGTTACTGAGAAGTGCCATTAAACTTTACTGGTAAATCTGAGTTGATTTCAGTGTTGGCTGTGTTAGAAGTACCTAGCAAACTTAAATCATTGCTGCTATTCATGATTAATATTTGTAAATGTTGTAACACCCTTCATACATATATGTAACTTCACCTCTGTTTTCTTTGTCTCTTCATCAATTTCTGACTGATCCTTCTTTCTTCCCGGCTTCCATGCAGACTCCGCTTTGTGGAGAGTAACTTCCTGTGAGATTGAACCAATAGAAATAACTTTACGAGGGGTGGCTCCTCCTCCTCGACTTCTCTGACTATTGCTTCCTCCTTTTGTCATGGGTGGACCCTGCAAAATTATTGACAGGATAAATTTAACATCTGTAAATTCAATTCTAAAATTTGTCTATTATTCTTTTCTTTTCTTCTTTCTTTTTTTAAAAATGAAGACCAATTTTCAGATAAAGTTTTCAGCAGAATTTCTCTGACAGGGATAACTTTAAATCATCATCTTTGGTTTGACATGGATATTGGTGCATATTTAATCAAAAATCTAAAATCTAAGGTAATTTTCGTTCTACTCACTCTTGATGGGCCTCTCACAAATCCTGGTGTGAAATCAAATGATCGTCCTGGATCCGTATTGAAACTTTGAAAGGATCTACCACCAGGCTGGGAACTATGAGGCTAAAAATGAATTTAAAAAAACATATTAGCAAACTAGAGGTAATGTGAGCATTGAGCTCATAAAATGATACCCCCACTGGCTCTCATATGAGTGTAATGGCAAAGTCCATTTTGCAATGGTTAAACCTCAAATATGTCCAATCAGAACATAATAACACTATGTAAACAAGAGGCCCATGGGCCATCGCTCACCTGAGTAACTTTGGCCATGCTGTTCATTACCAGACTTCCCCCTTGTAATATCTATTGTGGCCCCGCCCTATCCCCGGGGGTCATGATTTGAACAATTTAGAATCTACATTAACCCAGGATGCTTCCACATAAGTTTCAGTTTTTCTGGTCCAGTGGTTCTTGAGAAGAAGATTTTTAAAGATTTTTTCTATATATTTCAATGTAAAACTTGTATTCCCTATTGTGGCCCCGCCCTACCCCTGGGGGTCATGATTTGAACAATTCAGAATCTACACTACCCCAGGATGCTTCCACATAAGTTTCGGCTTTTCTGGCTCAGTGGTTCTTGAGAAGAAGATTTTTAAAGATTCTTCCTATATATTTCAATGTAAAACTTGGATTCCCTAGTGTGGCCCCGCCCTACCCCCGGGGGTCATGATTTGAACAATTTAGAATCTACACCATCCCAGGATGCTTCCACATAAGTTTCAGCTTTTCTGGCTCAGTGGTTCTTGAGAAGAAGATTTTTAAAGATTTTTCCTATATATTTCAATGTACAACTTGTATTCCCTATTGTGGCCCTGCCCTACCCCTGGGGGTCATGATTTGAACAATTTAGAATCTACACTACCCCAAGATGCTTCCACATAAGTTTCAGCTTTTCTGGCCCAGTGGTTCTTGAGAAGATTTTTTAATGACCCCACCCTATATTTGTCTTTTCTTGATTATCTCCCCTTGTAAGGGGACTTGGCCCTTTATTTTAACAATTTAAACTCCCCTTTACCCAAGGGTACTTTGTACAAAGTTTGGTTAAAATTGGCCCAGTGGTTCTTGAGAAGAAGTTGAAAATGTGAAAAGTTTACAGACGGACGGACGACGGACAACGGGTGATCAGATAAGCTCACTTGAGCTTTCAGCTCAGGTGAGCTAAAAAGATTCTGTGAAAGTCTCATTAAATTTGATTCATGGGTATAGGAGTTTCGGATGAAATGGGCATCTCTAATATTATATAAAGAATGACAGTGTCCATGTTTTGCTATGGAAAACCCCAAATATATATCCGATCATAACGAAAAAGAGGAGGTGCACAATGGCACTATGTAATACATGTAAAGATTCTGTGAAAATTTCATTAAATTTTATTCAGTGGTATAGGCGGAGTTGCAGATAAGAGATGGGCATCCCCAAGCGTTATAGAATTATGGAAGGCAATAAATTTGCTAACTCTTTTCAGTAATTTTTTATCGTACCTTGTCCAAGATAATTTCAGGAAGATCTGGTAGACCTGCAGGTTTCTGTGTGGACTCTGAAGAATACTGGATACTGAGAAGGAAATCTCTGTCATATAAGCGCTTTCCCTCGGGATTAAGAGGACTCCACTGGTCTAAAAAGACAAAATCTCCATTAATAGAATTCCTTCTACCAATATCTAATACAAGACAGAAAAGAACCAAAAACAAATGAAAGTCCCTTAACTACACAATAAAAAGAATTCAATTTCTTATAAATGTACCTTCTTTGTACTTATATTTGAGTTCCAGAGTTGCTTTCTCTTCCTCATCAGAAAGATTTGCTTGTTTGTCCTTCTCTTGGTTTTTCTCATTTTCCTCCTGGACCACTTTGTCCTCAATCTTAATTTCTATTTTTGGCACATCTGCTTGGACAGACTCCACATTTTCCTTCTGTTCTACGACATCAGGTGTGGGCTTCATTTCAGGAGGCTGTAAACATAATGATTCACCATTATTACAAGGATTTAAGAAGTTAAATCAAAACTTTTTAAACTGGATGCTTCCATTCCTGAGTTAAACTGGATGCTTCCATTCCCGAGAAAATTGTCTGAATGAAGAGTCTGGATAACTGAAACATTCTTGGTTATGAATGAATATAAATTGTTCCCCATAAATATTTTACAGAAGGTGAAACATCCGAATTATTTGCTTCCGGATAAGAGAGGCTCCAATGTACTATATCACATTTTATTTACACATATTAAAAACATTTAACCTACCAAGCTATCCATGAATGCATCCATGTCAGTTCCTGACATATCTTTCTTGTTCAAATCTTTGGCCTTCTTTTTACTCTTCTTCACATCTAAATAAGAATATTCAAATCATCAATAACATTCCTGCTTATTCATTAAATTTAAGATTACGAGTCTTCTACAAGTTCATTTATACAGTTTGACAGCTTTTAAATAGTTAAACAAGAAAAAAAAAATTCAGAAAGGAAACCAATATGATAAAGTTTCTTTTCTTTTATTGCACTCCATTTTTCATAATCTGAATCTCACTAATGCAAGAATTTGTGTTCTTAATAAGGCAACACTGATTAGAACACAACTTGTTTTCAACCCTCTAGCTCAGAAAATTTTGGCTATTAAAACTGTGCAAAGATTTTTCTGACACACGTTGCAGGTTAACTTATGGCCATCACTTTGGAATCAAATTTCAATGAAAATGTTTCATTCATTTAGAGCATCCACAGTAGGAGTGTTAATTGTAACATGTACATATGTACATTATTAATAAACTTTATTCACATCTGCCTGTAGATGTAAAGACAATCTTAGCACTATGGGTTATTTGCATGTCTAACATCAGCAGCTAATCGAACTTGTTCACTAGGGTACTGTAAGGACTTCCCAATACTTGCATGCATTCATATAATGCGGCATGATTGTCTTGTGAATTTCAGTGACAGTAAACAATGGATAGGGTCAGTAATGCTGCACAAAATAATTACATTACTCTTATATGGATATGTTGTTACTGTACAGAAAGCTACATGTATGTTGATAACTTTTTTTAAATTTTGGATCATTAAGTTTGTATTATGAAATTTGAAATCCAATCTAGTTAAAATTGGATGTTCTGAATCTGCCATCACTTTTCCAACATTTGACAACATCCCATTCAGGGTCAGGGCTATTCCAGCAAAAAATGTACGGGAGGGTTGGACGGCACTTCATATATTTTTGTATGGGTAGTGGGTCTGGAGCAATTAAATTTGTATGGGTGGTTGTCCTCACTTGATATATTTTTAGATGGGTGGTTGTATTTACCCTCACAAATAATCAAGTGCAAAGTACTTCTTTCCTCTCATTTTGTATAAATCGGTAAATACTGATATTTTCGTCCTAAACAGTTGTAAAGTGTGTTTACATTGAAAGTGAAAGTAGAATCGAACGAAACGAAAACAAGGGCAGATAACTATACAAGCATGTGCAACTATGACTGCAATGACTGTATGACAGTGGGTGATTGGAAAACGGATTAGTTGTGCTTTGGACTCCCTGTTCCAGTTTCTTTTCGCTGGTTTAATCAAACATGATTAAATTGGTAAATTAAATGATATTAGAAACAATCAGAAAGATCGTTTTATTTTAAACCGAAAGTAGAAAAAAGACGTTTCTGATAATGAACGTTTTAGAGCATGACTACGGAGTTTGCAAGTCAAATATTTTACTTTATACCACATACAGAGTAAAAGGAAGATGAGATATGAGTTTGAAAACAAAATGAAGTATATTATGTCAAAAACATGCCAGTCCTTAACCATGTTAACCTGTTAAGTGTTAACTTGTCGAACTTGTATGCACCAATGGTCTAAGTTGTTAGATAGGATTTAGAATTCATTAAATATATTTTTTTTAATCAAAGTTTTCACTTCACAGACACTGCCTACAGAAGTTTAGTCCCCCTCCGCCCCCCCCCCCCCAAAAAAAAAGCAGGAATCATTTTGTTATGAACAAGGTGAACAACAATTGTTAAGGATAGCTAGGCTATAATTTACAATATTAATTTTAGTTAATTGTAGGAATGTCATTTCTACTAGGACATGTGTATACATACTTGTAAAAGCTTAATTACCTAAGCTTTACAGACTACAAAGTCATGCATCAGAAGAGATATACAAATCACTATAATAATTAAGGCTTTCAGTGGTGTGTATCATAGGCCTAAAGGAACATATTTTTTTAAGCTGTAGCAGGAACATGGGGAACTGTTTTACAAAAAAACTTATGACTAAGACTAAAAACTTTAGTTGTTCATAAAATCTTACAGAATTTATGTTTCTGTTAAAAATTGTTGGCATAAAACTATCTTATTTTTTTTTTCAAAAAGATTTAAAACATTTTTAAAGTAATGCAAAAAGAAATTTATTTGCATAATAACATTTTGATCTTAGTCATAAATTCTTTTGTAAAACGGGCTTTGGATGGATAGATGTCAAAACCCAACACTCATTCGAAGTCAGATAAATTACAGTACCTGAAAAAGTACATAAAATTTTATTGCATATATATATGTGACACAATTTTTTTTTTTAATTTAGATGGGTGGTTGTATCAAAAGCAATTTTAAATTGATGGGGGGTGGGGTAGAAGGTAATTAAAAATGTATGGGTGGTGGGGTAAAAATAAAAGTGCCTTCCAACCCCCCCATACAATTTTTCCTGGAATAGCCCTCACATCAGAGCGACCTTTTGATTAGCCATGAAATCGCCGTCTCCGATATCTTGGCCTGCAGTTGGGATGCATTTCTTTTTCACAGGCAAACCTAAATGCTCTTAGAGTTTCTTAGTAAACAAAACTATTCATGGCAAAGGCCATGCTATGTAGGAATATGAAGTGTGCGATATCTTGTATAGTTTGTGCATTTTCATTTGCATTATTCAGATAAGAATGGCAGATGGGCAGACCATTAATTCAATTTATACCACAATTAACTTAAATCAACATAAGACAGAATACTGAGCATCAGAAATGTTAAGATGCAGATGCGAACTATTTTTAGAATCATATACAGAAGTGGCCAAAATTTTCATGTTTATTCATAACTGAAGGGTCATGCTGACATGACCCTTTATGGGATGTTGTTTGATGTTTGAAAAGCAGTAGCAGATTCAGAACATCTAATAAATTAATTTCAATTAGATTATGTGAAATCAATTTCTGTTACTTGATGCACAGACAATGTAATGTGATGATCTATGCTATTTAGAATTGTAACTACTTTATGTACTGTGAAATCACTAATTTTCGCAAGGGTTTAATTTTCATTATTTTCGTGGTATGAAGAGACCCACGAATTCATATCCCCAACAAAATGTTAAGATTTTGTACAACAGTACAGTGGTTTCCATTTAAACACGAATTCAAATATCCTCAAACCAGTAACTTTTCCTCAAACCACGAAAATCTGGCCCCTTGTAAATAAGTGATTTTTAAAGTATCATTATCAAAAGCTGAAAACAAATCTTTCTGAAATATTGTTAATGAACAGTTCAAATTCTGACAATAGCTTAATCTTAAATCTTTGGAATCTTTGAATAACTACAGTTAATTTGTAGATTTAGTGATTTACCCAGATACATCTAATATAAGTTGTTCATTTCTTCTAATGATAAAGAATGCTATTTTGCAATCATTTCCAGAATTACATCTCTTAATTCTTCAAGTGATTCAATGTAATTCTTTACCAAAATGAAATTCTGGTGGCAATGGTAGTTGTCAGGCAACAAGTGAAAAACAAATTCTTAAAGTATCAGTTAATGTGGGTCAGATTATACACCCAGAAACTCATTTATTTTTATTACTTTCTTGGATGATTAACTTCATTTAGTTGCCATAAAATAACAAAGCCTTATTTTGCTAGTTACTGCTTAAAATGCCACAACTTTTAAGCCTAAGGTATTTTGTATCTGTGTTTTCCTTAGGCCTTATACATGCATTTCCAATACAGAAGCACGCTACTTTAAAAAGGCAGTACTTGTCTGCAGAAAGTAAGTGTTAGGAGAGGGGCTTAAAACTTGCCTAAATGTTTACTGTGTATTGTGTCTGACGTGACATTTGCATGATTTTTAAAGGTCAATTCTTTTTTAGAAATACTACATACCAACTGGAGCTTCAGTATCTTTGACAGGTGGTTCTGGTTTCACTTCTTCCGAGACCTTTTCTTCTACACTAACTTTCTCTCTTGGTTGTTCCACTTGTTCTTCAGGTTTCACCTCTGAGGTGGCTTGGGTAACATCTTCCTGTTGGGGAGCCTCAGTGGCTGCTGTCACCTCCTCATCACTTCTGGAGGGTGTCACATCTGAGGCTGTTTCTGCTGAGGTAGATAATGATGGAGGCTCATTTCCTGTGATGGGAACAGATGTCTCACTTTTCTCTACCGGTACAGAGTCCTGCTGCTCTACAGAGCTTTCATCTCTTATTGAGTCTGACACACTGTTTGAAAGATTTTGGGCATTACTACCAGCTTCTGCTATATTATCAGTATCACTAGCAATTTCTTGTGAAGGTGAACTATCTACTTGATCATTAACAGGTAATGTCAGAGTTTCACTTTCTGCAATGGTTCCTGGAACCTCACTAGCTAATGCAGAGGAATCAACCTGTGGCTCCTCTGAATGTTCTCGCATATCAACATGATCTGCTGTTCGTGCTTCTGATCGAAGTGTGGCAGCCACTTGAGCAGCAAACTGGGCTGCAATGTCACTATTTTGTGTAGGTTGAGGAGCAGACTGAAAAATGATTTCATGTGTTCTTAACAAATAATTTCTACATTAAAATCAAAGGAAAACATGTATTTAATTTATCATTCTAATGCAACTGTTTTGTAAAATGCATTTTGATTGGAAAATACACTGATGTTTGAGGCAGCTAAATGAGCATTAACGAGAATGAAAGCTTTTGTGACGTCATAATATAACAATATAAAAACAAAATGCTTTGTGACATATTTCAAGTAACAAAACTTAACAAACATCCATTTTGCCACCTCCGCTTATGAGTCACCAGTAAAACTAAATTTGTGGCTGTTAAATCAGTGTTAGTGACCGCAGATAACAAATGAGAAGACAGTTATTCCCTAATTACAGGCTAAAGTTAAAACATATTGGTACTGAGAATACTTTGAAATCTATAGCGGGAAGCAATGATGATTACCGTATCTGGAGTCCCTCTGGACCCTGAGCTTGGACCACTTGGTGGGGTGGACCTATGTGACGACCCTTCCTTAGCTTCCTTTGTATGCAAGATTTCACTTGTCAGGTCTTTGCCTGTGTTGGGATCTACAATGCTTAGTGTTTTCTTCACCCTCTTTTCAGGCTGGGCTGGTGGATTAGATGGGGGACGATTTGGCTGGGTAGGAAACATCATTGTTGGATTGTTGTAATATTGAGTGCTAGTGGGTTGCCCCATTGTTGTGAAATGCATACTTTGCTGATTACCCATATTTGGGTACTGTGAATTGTTCATCCTTGAAGCCTGCATGTTCTACAAGAAGAAACATGATTTTTACAACTGCAACCAAAATCTACAGGAATCAAATACAAGAAGACTGCATAAAGATTTTACAAATTGACACAATTTAAAGTTTTTAAATAATCCATTTACCATATGACTAGGCTGCATGATAATTTGTGCTCCATAGTTTTGCCCTGTAATATTCATATTACTTGGGGTCATTATCTGGTATGTCATGCCTTGCTGTGTAAACTGCTGAGGAGTTTGTTGCTGTGGAATCTGTGTATATTGGTTGTTAGGCATCACATTACTAGGAGGAGCACTTTGTCTGAAAAAAGGCTAAGGGAAAAAAAAAATAATTACAAAAATGTTTGAAATCTATTCCACGGAATATATTTATAACATAACATTTCCCTGCATTATCAATTACTGTGATTTTCTACAAAGGTTACTTACAATTGAAGCTTGTGGTCTCATACTTTGTTGTTGCTGATACATGGTTGTTGGTTGTACCAGCCCAGCACCAGGTGCTGGAAGTCTATTGGGCACTTGAGACTGCTTGTTCAGTTCATGAGTGTACACTGTGCCCTGCCCTTGGGGCTGTGGTGGTGGAATATTAAAAAGCTGCTGCTAAAACAAGTGTAATCAAGTGAATAGGTTGTATGTAATAATTGAACACACATAAATACATAAAAATATGACAAGGTCTGTTATTATGCATATTTATAAAATGGAATAGTTCTTGTGTGGAGATCAAGTTACCTGCTTTAAAGAAGGTTGAGAATAATACTGTTGCTGGACTTCTTCTGGACCTCCTGGTGTCGAGAAAAAATAAACAATTAACAATATCCTGCTAAATATAAATCTTCATTCTTTTCTTATGATTTTGCTTGCTTACTTTGGAGTTTTAAAGAACTTACTCTTCGAGAAACAAATTTAAAATGTTTCCATGATTATGCAATTTTAAGTAATTATTCCAATATATGTTTTGTCTCATCCCATCCTGAAACTTACTACCAGTAAACTGTGGGGGAGTCTGTCCTCTTTGGTGAGGTCTAGTTCTATGTTAAGGAAATGCTCCAATAAAATGTTACAAAAACCTGATAAGCATTTAAAAGCTAAAAAAAGTTCAATAAAATTCAAATGTTCAACATAAAAAAAGACATAAAATAGGGTATAACAGAGAAAGAAGCATGTCAAACCTGAAGTGCATGTACATTGTCCCATTTCTATAAATAACTTCTTTTACATATTATTGTCAGTACATCAGGCCATTAATCATGGAGGACGTGTCATATGGCAATATTCACACCACTCAGATAGACTTACTATGAATGGATACAAACTAGCTTTATCTATAATACAACTGTGTCATTGTGACACTGAAATGGTAAGCAATGTTTCCGATGAATGAAATTTACACTCACTTGTAACTACTGTATATACCAATATCTCACATAAAAAATATTCTTGGTATTTCTACACACTGATTCCAACACTATTACAATATCAGCTGGGTTGACAAGACTGGGATTAATATCAAACAGTCACATTTCATCACTACAGTTTCTGTCACTAGCTTTTATCATATTATTAATCCATTTTACTATAAAAGTAAAAGTAGTGCAGCTGTTTGCATTAATACCAAAGTGTTAACAAGAACAACTTTGTATTCATATGAATGCATGTCCATCCTACTGTGGCAGTCACCCCCTGCTGTGTAAGTGTACAAAAGAAACATCAATAACTCGCTGTAGGTTGAATCTGCATTCATAACATGCTGTTCTACTTGCATATACTGTACTGGCATATTCATCTACTACAGTCTGACTTTTAAAAAACCATGTCTTGTGTAATTTTCAATGAACATAAAAAAATAATTTAAAAAATACAAATATTGCCACCATTTTTCAAAGTAAATATGATACACTCAGTCCATCATACAGATGTTTCTTCTCCATATACAGGAAATTGAAGCAATAATCAGAACACTGCCTGAATTGCAATCTGTTAAAAGAATGTGCAACCTAACTCACTGAAAACAAACGATTCATTGAGGTAGTCTAGCAACTCACATTTTGCTAAAGAAAGACTACATTCATTCATTAAACCATTTAAGGAGTGATTGTAATTTCTCATTTTCTTTTATACACATTTTAAGAGTTCAAGAGGTTTTTTTGTTTGTAAACAAAGACAAGAACATCAACTTCATTGAGATCCAGAAACTTCCTAATAAAGGTCAGACATTATTTATCTATTTTCAGCATACCTTCATTCAGTTTGTTCCACTGAAGATTTCTGAACATAATTCCCTAAATATTCACCATCACCTCAAACAAGTAAGTCGTAATATCCCTTCATCAACCACATACCATGACAATGGCATTGTATCATATGGCCATGACAAACCGTATTACGCATGCACCAAAATGCTTTTTCCTGTAAAATTTTCGGTCCACGTGTTCTAAATTTATCTGAGAATCCATGTGAAAAACCAAATAAAAAATGCAAATGAAAGTTTTCCCGTAACACAAAACAAAATCACTCATACCAAGATACAGTAATAGGCGAATGAATTCCTATCCGTCATGAGAACACGATCGTGAAATGTGATCGCAGTCTGCCATGACCCCGCCTACAAAATCATGCTTCAACTGACGCTAAACCGGACGATAGAAATAAACAAAAGTATAAGTCAAAGCAGAAAACTTCGTTATGATCCTCCATATAAAATACTCTTAAATATCTGCACATTATATTGCGTGACATACAATTATTTTGCTATGGAGATTTTTGCAGTTCCGTTTCTACCCGGCATCTGGTCCCCATTTCGAAACGATTTAAGAGAAAAAGTATAGAGTTTTGTCCAAATATAACAAGGAAAATAAAAGGATACGTAATAGATCTTTGCTGGGAATGTCCTTGGTGATGTCCGGTTGCTGAATTTGGTGACTTTACCTTCCGTTCATTCATTTCAACGTAACTTCGCAATGATGGAGTCCTTGGAAAAGGACCGATTTGGGGCTTGTTTCCAAGCTCTATCTCCTAAATGGATGGAATATAATATGTGGCAATTAATGTTTTATGTTTCATCTTTATACTTACAAAACGATTTTACGATTAATTCCGTAATAACAATGAGATGGATTGAGATTGTATCTAATTATCAAAAAATGGCTACCTTACTTAGTCTGCAAGGAGACGGCTGTTCGGTAATTTCCGTAAACCGAACAATAGCGATACGTTAAAGGTCAAAGGTCTTTTGCGACATTATACATATCATCACCTGACTTTAAAGTGAATTAAATGCTGTAAAAGGATAACAGAAAGGAACTAAAGGTTAAGATTTCATTGTGCTTTTTTAATATGGAGTTTTTTTAACATCGTTTCTCTTAATTCCTTTTGTAGCAAATAAACCTCTTTTTGGTAAGACTAAAATAAGAAAAAACCCGCTTGTACATGAGAGAAATGTCTTTGGTTACTACGTTTGTGTATAGGGTATGTATTATAAAATCTTTGACAGTACTGTTTGATGAGTACGAAATAAGTGATTTGAACACACTTATTCATGCATATATTTTAATCGCTGAAGTGTTAGTAGGCCCGTAGAAACCCGTGGGGGTGGGGGTGCTAATGACAGTTTCTTTTAGGTAGTTCCTTCCGCTAAGTTGCCCCCTCCCTTGCGCCCTACCGTTGACATAACAAATATAGCTGAATTTGAAATCTTAGGCAACGTTCCTTTGAGCTGAAGGGAAATTTCACATAGCAGAGGTGGAAGTAGCAAAACCAAACTAGTTTCTTTTAGCATTTATTGCTGAGGTTAAACTTACAAAGGTGTAAGCTTAAAAAAAAAATATTAAAATAATTATGTATTTAGTTATGCCACAGACTCAGATAATGCAGATTAATTAATGTCAATTGCATGAAAATTCATAGTATGTAATTAGGCATCTGTTAGAGATTTAGTTTATGAATATCAGAAGACTAAATGTATATACAAATTCTTGGAAATTAAAATTAATTTGCAGTAGTTTAGCATTGACACAGAATTAAATATATTAAATGAAATATAAAATTCTGAAGATTTGATTGATTTTGCTTTTCTACAAGCAATTTAAGGTAGCTATCATTATGATGCTTCTCTTTAGTTGTTCAGAACTGCACCAATGCATGTTCATACATATTGATTTGACATCATAAAAATGATGGAATTTAAAATTTATGATTCATGCAGTGAAGAGTATATTTTCAATCCCTGTAATTCAATCTAACTGTTGTAACATTTTGAGTTCTGCTCTATGTTACAGTACGTTCTGGAATTTAAATTATACATATAAAAATAGAAACTTGTACAGTACAGTTAAAGCTATATATGGCATATCTGAGCTTGAAAAATAACAATACGAGATTGAGTGTAAATATACATGAATTGATATATGTTATGTTCAAATTAAAATTTTCGCCGATTTTGAGCTTGAATAACCTCACGTTTCTATAGTTGAATTGACTTTAAATTTGTCTGTTATTTAAATGTGGAGTTGGCAAATAAATCGGTTCTTGTTTTAAATTTTTAATATCTTTGAAACACGATTGATTTAAATTGTGTAATTTACAGGAGAGTCCTATCTTTACATCAAGTAATAAAACAAATAGAAAGATCTTTTCATTTTTGGGTTACCTGAACTTATCAAAAATTAGCCATATATGACTTTTTAAGTTTAATATAACTAGTTGCCATCATTAATATCGGGATATCAGACTGTCATTGACAATTAAATCACTCACAATTTGATAAAAGGTAATATTAAAACATGAGTAAAATATGAAATGTATTTGTTTATTATTTACATCATCTTACATGAGAATTATAGCAGCCTCTTGGATACATTGTTGTACATCCCCAAATCAATATTTCCAATAAGTCTCTTTTAGGTTGTTTATATTTTGTTCTGAGCTCACAAGAGTCATAGCAGTATACTGTGCTATCTAAGAGAAAATTTCACATTTTTGTTGAAGTTTAATCATTAAGATCACAGTTTAAGCACAAAAACATATATATCTAATATGAAACATATATACACTGTATTATATATCTATATTAAATTGTTTTAAATATGTACTTCGATCAAAAGATTTTTTTTTTTGTAATGCAGTTAAAAATGAATTAATAAAATAATTGTTTAATAATGTTAATCTGTAATAAATTGTACAGTTAATGATTAAAAAGGTACCCTGTATTCTCACCTGATTGACAAATGATTTTTTTTAAAGCTCACTGGCTGTCATTTGTAGGTCTATCGATCTGTACAATATTTGTAACTTTCAACTTCTTCTGAAAAACCATTCTATTTTCCTTTATTTTAATTTGGGAGGGGACCAGGGGAATTTTGGGAAAAACCAGTATACATTAAAAAAAAAAACATCATCAACTAGTGTGCTTCATGAAATATACCTAGGTGACTAGACTTTGTGATAAACTTACAATAAAATACTTTCTTTGTTAATGCAGGAATTAACAGTTGCAGCCATTGCAGTAAAATTACATATATATATATATTACCAGCATAAGTGAGGTATGTAAAATTTTTTCTGCAATGGTTGCACTCTTATAATAAAAAACAAAGAAAGGCATTTTTTTTATTTATACGTGTATTTATGTGTGTATGGATAATCATGAAAAGTAGGTTTAAGTATGTAATGTATAAATTTATTGATCATTGTTTCATAGATGGAAGAGTCTACTGCCTAATTAAGAAATCTTTCAAACAGGTGACTTTAAGAACTGCTTCTAATTACAGTCAAACCTCATTATCTTGGACTTGATGGGATAAAAAAAAAACCTTTTAGATATCTGAGGATTCTAGATGTAGAGGTTAAAACACATAAAAAAAAGAGTTGTTTGGACTTCCAACTCAATTCGACATATCCATGGTATTCGAGAAATTGATTGTCAAGATACTGAATTCAAACTGTAGTTTAGAGTTAATGGATTGAATAAAGGAAGTGGTTTTCATAAGAATTAAAGGAGAAAATATTCATTGGATGTAAATATACATGAATAAGGGAATCACAAAAATATAAAAAAAAAAAATTCTTATATTGTTTAAAACCAACATAAACACACTCCAGCTTGATTTGGAGTTTTTGCTGCCCTAGTGTATCATTATATATTTTCATTGTCATCTAAGTAGCCTCATGATGATGTTATTTTAGCATGAATTTCTCTGTATATCTACTTGTTAATTTTTTTTTGGGGGGGGGGGGGGGGTAGTGGCTAATAGGAAAATTAAATGTTGCAGTGGTTATAGTTAAAAAAGTTGCTCTAGAGTCGTTGAGTAAAGAATTTATCCTTATGTTACGGGTTTAAATTCCACTGGAGGACGTGGAGACTGGTCCTTGGGATCAGACTGTAGAAAAAGGGGTCCCATGTTGCAGTAGGTGCTGGCACGAAAAAGATCCCTCACTGCTCAAAGGCTGTAAGTGCTAGGTACAGATCAAAATTTGCAGCCTTCTCAATTATGAGTGAAAAATTCTTGAAGGGATGTTAAACAAACAAGAAACAAACATTCATTTTGGAAAAAAGGTACCTTTTTTGAATTTGGTTGTTTTTAACAGCCCCAATTATAGACAATCAAGACTTACTGATTTAAACCATTATAATTCAGAGATTAAAAATGTAGGGCTTCTATAAAGGGGATTTAAATCTGTTCAAATGAAAGTTTGACATATTGGCTGTAGAGGGAAAGCCCTAGTAAGCTCAATTAATTGTCAGTGAGCTTTTTTTTTTAAGCTAGCCAGGTGTCATTTGTTGAACAATCTGTACAGTTTTTATAACTTCATTTTCAACTTCTTAGGAACTGTTAGCTATGGTAAACCAGAGTTTCAAGATAGAGGTCTTCCATAAAGGGAATTTAAAATCTGTATCTGGTCAAAATAGAATCAACATATTGTCCTAACAGGGCAAAGCCCCTGGAAGCTCCTGAATTTTAGAGATTTCGTGGGTAAAATGTCAAGTAAAATAAGCCTTCAGATGCAGAGTCTCAGCAGGTATCCCCTCCCCTCCCCACCCTGAGGCCAGGCCTACCCTTTTAAATACATGTATCAAATATCAAACTACCGGTATGCAAAATTTCTTATGGTCTGACGACATGTTGCTCGAATATGTGTTCTGTATCTCTTTGTAATATACAACAATTTAATCATAATTATCATTATCTTATGAAATTTGAACTGTTTTCAAAATCTCTAAAGAAGATAAAGACACCAAAAAATTGTGATATTGGCAATGCTGGTGATTTCCAATAGGATTATATAGTAAATAATATCCTATGGTATCTTGCACAAATGCTTAGTAAGGTACCTCAATTTTTTGTGAGGAAACTTGTTAAAATAGCAATACTTCAATGACAAATTCTTGGAAAAAAACTATATAATATCGAGGAATGTGTCATCTGAACTTTTTTTAAAGCTTTTCTTTATTTTAATTTAGTTTTGTTTGAGCCCTTCTACTTATATATTTCTTGAATTTGAGCTCCTGTCACCTTATCATGTGCGGGGATGCGTCTTGCTCCAATATCTGTATTCTCAGTTTTTGTGTAGAATCAAATAAATATAATTTGCAAAGATTTTGTGGAAATTTTAGGGGAAAAAATGCATTCTAAAACCTTTTTGAGTCGGAGCTTAGAAAGACCATTCTGTGCAAATGATAAAGATATGTTTAAAAATAAATAAATTTAAAAAAAGAGGCAAATTACTTTTATTAATCTTTAAATTTCATAAAAATGTGTAAATTTAAACTTTACAATCCAAATTTGGGTAGAGGACCCTGTGTATTTATGAGGGTTGATAATTAAGCCCTGGAATACTGTGTAAGGAATGATAATAGAGTTTGAAAAACAATATTTCAGTATACTTTTTATATCTGGTAAGTGATTACATTATTGTATTTATTTTCCATGTGTTAATTTTAAAGTTTTATTGCAAACACATAATTTAATGGCTAGTACAATTGAAGTTTTGAAAGTGAAACTAAAGGAAAATTCCAGTCAGTTTGAAATCGATCGTAAATATTAATGAGGGCAATCTTAATTAATTTTTGTTTTGAATAATTTGGTTCACATGTGGGTGTCTGTGAATGCAGTTTTTAGCCTTTTGTATTTAAAATCAGTGGAAGGTACAAATAGAAATATACTTGACTTTGTTCATGAAAAAACATAAATTAACTTCCTCCATTCATGATTATAACCAGTTCCTATCTATATAAAAGGAATGTATAAACTGCCCCAATTAGTGTGTAACAGGACTTCATTAGTTGATTGTGATTAATTATAATTCTTATGTGTGATATCCACATATAAAACATATCACCTTACCTTTCTTTTTTCACATCAGGAAGGAAAATCCATTCAGTAAATAAAGTGTATATTTCAAAGGAGGTCAGTACACCTGGACGTCTCTCAAACAGGAAGTAACCGGAGCAGGTTTTTTTCTTCGAACTCGCTGAACTGTGCACTCCTTGAACAGGTATTTCCATTCATCAGATTAAAATGAAACTAGATTGTTGCAGGTTTGAATATTATTATGTTAAATGAAATTAATTAAACCTGCAATTCCAGTTTTTGTTTAATGTTTGTGATATAGTTATGAACATTATAGACTTCTTGCTTGACAAGTTTAGGGTGGTAAGATTCTAAATTACTTGTTTTTATGTTTCCTTTGGGTTAAATTAACACTAGGAAAAAAAAAACATATTTGCCCTTAAGTCACATGTATAGTCCTCTGCATGTGCACTTTAAGTTGTCATTATCTTCTAGTTCAATTTCATAATAAATCAACAGATTGACACTTTGACAGAATTTGTAAACATTATCTGGAAAACTTAGCAATTTATGCATAATTAATCTGACAATTTGTTATTATTTGAACATAAAACACCAAAGAAGATAAGCAATCATATAATAAACATTTTGGAGTACACATTTGGAATTATTCTTTTGATGACCCCAGATGATATAATCGGTAAAACTTGATTAATAAATTTTAGATATGTAGAAAAGCTGTGGAAAATTACAGAAAGTCATGGAATTTATGGTTGGTTCAAAACAGAATGGTAGTCATACACAGTTTTTGAAATTCTCTATGTTAATATTTTCAGGAATACAAGGAAACATTATTACTATAGTCCCTGGGAAGAAAAAAAAACAACAACCATAAAATCAATAAATTTCAGGGTACGTGTAGGAAGTGTTACCCTGTCTATCTTGTTTGTTTCTGAGAAGCATGTTGGGTCATAATTTATTTTTTAATGGAGAAACATCTAGAGCATATTTTTAGGACAAATCTCCTTATAACCTCAGGTAAAAGGTAATTATGAAACAAACAACAACACAACAAAAGAAAAACAACCAAGACACATTGGTAGTTCATTTGACAAAACTTATTTACAATGTGAGAATCTGATCCAAGGTTAATTACAAAGGGTCAAAATCACTTGTAGGGAAAAAGTTTAGCAGCTGGGGCAATCATATTTTGAGCTTTAATATTATCATTAGTAGATTGAAATGAAAATTGTTAATTAATCAAAAATTTATTTGAATTTTGTAAAGGCTGCTTTATTTAAATTGTCAAGTTGCCTGAATGTCTATAAAATATTCAGGTTTAAGATTTATATATGTTTATGTGATGAACTTTTTCCAATACATGTAGTTAGTGCTTTAAATACCTTTATTCTTACTTTCTACAAATATTTAAGTTTTCCCCAGTTGAAAAAAAATTCATACATGTATGTACAGTTGAACTTTGGTATCTTGAACTGTAGAAGTGATTTTGAAGTGCCAATCACTTTTTCTATATATATTTTACCTCAATATCTCGAATCCTTAGATATCTCAAAAGTTTTTTTTTTAGTCCATCAAATTCGAGATAAAGAGGTTTGACTGTATATGTTATCTTGAATTTACTCCTAGATTTCCTCTTCCCAATTCAGGCTCATGTGCATTTAAGTCTTTTACCTTTTTTTTTTTGCAGTAAGTGATATGCCTGCAGGGCTTTACCCGTTCGGGGAGAAATACTTCTTTAGACTGACTGATGATATAAGTAATGTGACAGACACAAACTGCAGTACTGGAATCCAATGGATCTACAAAGTCCTAGGAGATTGTGTGTGGGATACCAGAGGGATAGTCTCCGTGGCGCTGGGTGTGGCCTCCATTTTGTTTTGGCTGGTTGTCAGCATTCCGTACGTAATTGAAAATGTTTGCTGTATTAGAATGGGCTCAATAATCTAGTCTTTCAGACAGGTTAAATTACTTGCAAGACATTTTTGGAAGAAAACAGTTAGCTACATGTTTAATAAAGAAAAATTAAATCCAATATCTTTCTAACTATTATGATTGCTCATTGCAATATATTTAGACAATTAAGTCATATATGTATAGAATATAATATATGCAAAAAAAAAATCTATTCATTGGTCATATATTTGAGATCACTGTAACAGCTTTATCATATATCATCTAAACAAGTCAGTATACATACAGTATCTTAATTATGCAGAACGAATTGCCAGGACCCTATTCATGCATTGTACATTATAATATTGCTATAATCGTAAGGACTGACTGCATAAATCATAGGCATAAAATATTTGGATAGTTAACATGAGAGAGGAAATATGTGTTAGACAAAGATATTCCTAGTGAATGAAAAAATTAGGGCAAAAAGTTTTATCTTAGACACTGTGACCTTTTTATCAGACAAAGAGGGATTATCACTATTACATTTTATTGCCAAGGAAATGTGATTTCCAGTTGCATCTAAAAATTTAAATTCGATTAACTTTTTTTTTTTGAAAAAAGCAAGATGTAATGAGTTAGATAATATTTTTTTTAGACTAAATAAGAGAGAAATATTGATTAAAGAAAATAAAAACTAAATACGTATAGGGATGAAGTGAAACATTACAAATAATAAATTTGTCAACCTGATGTCTGGTAGTTATGACAGGCTACTAAGTCTATCTGATGATAAAGGCTAAGCAATCAAAATAATTAGCATTTTGATGGTTTTTAGCTCACCTCAACAAATAAATTTTGGCATCAAATATGTTGAATACATGTAATATAAAGTATTAGCATAATACAATGAGTATTGCAATTTATGTGTATGAAGAAGAATGATAACTTGTCTGATCGGACAAGCATCAAGGAAAGACCATATTGTTTGAGAAGCAAACCAGCTGCAAACAGACAATCAGACAAACAATGCTGAGCCCTGTAGATTCTTGAAATTTGTTTCCACATACCAATACCCTTTTCATTCTAGTAAGTACCTATGCCCCTATAAGCAATCTTCTGTTATTTTTGATGTGATAAAAACAAACAATAAGGACCTTCTCTTGCATGTGAATTACAAAAAAAGTCAGATTGATGACACTTAAATCCTTTGAGCACTTTGTTAAAAGATTATGCATTATTAAAAGATTTTTTTAAGGAAAACCCTCTCTAAATGCAAATTTTGAAGTGCTGAATGTAAACTTTTCCTTTAATATAGAAATATAAAAGTTCTATAAAGCCTTATCACAGAAGACCCCTTTATCCAATTTTGTGAGTGTAATTATTGATGTTTATCAGGATGTACTTCCCCATTCATAATTAACTTTCTGAAGTCATGAACAAGTACTTCTGTGCCCTATATTGATCCGAGATGCATGGATTATACTTCTAATATGTTCCATTGTACCAGTCAAGGTTCAGATACTGTATTTTCAGCCAAAGAATGACCAGGGTAATGTTTAAGTTAAATTTTTGGAGCAGGTTAAAGTTTTTGGAGCAGATCTCATTTCCAAGTAACTATAAACCCTCTACTGACTAAACTTGCATGGATGATACATCTAATGATGCACTCAGTCTTGTTTTGGATGCTGGATCTGACATGTATTTTCAGGTTGAGTGATCAGGTTAAAGTTTTTGGAGCATGTTCATTCAAAAGAAACTATGAGCCCTATGTTGACCAAACTTGCATAAATGATATGTCTATTGATGCAGACTACCAGACTTTCTAAGATTGATGGATTTGACCTACATTTTCTGGATGAGTGAACAGGTTAAAGTTTTGGGAGTGGGTCCTTTTTTGAAGAAACCATAAGGATTACCTGAACCAAACTTGTATGGATGACGCATGAAGGGATGCACACTACCAGACTTGTTTTGGATGCTGGATTTGACCTACATTTTCTAGATGAGTGACCGGTTAAAGTTTTTGGAGCAGGCTAATTCCAGTGTAGCTTCAAGCCCTATCTGGACCAAACTTGCATGGATGGTGCATCTATGGATGCACACTACCAGACTTGCTTAGAACTGATAATGGATTTGACCTTCATTTTTTAGGCCAATGACCAGGTTAAAGTTTTTAGAGCAGGTTCCTTCCAGTTTTATTTTAAGCTCTTAAATTCTTAGAGCAAACTTGCATGGATGTACATCTAGGGATGCATACTACTGGACTTGCTTAGGATGATGGATCTTATCTACATTTTCCATATGAACGACATTAATTCCAGGTTAATTCATTCCTAAGTAACTATAAGGCCTACCTGTACCAAACATGTAAGGATGATGCATCAAGGGAAATTTGTTTGTGATGCTAGATCTGACCTGCTTTTTCTGGATGAGTGACCAGATAAAAGTTTTAGAGTAAGTCTATTCCCAAGTAACTGCAAGCTCTACCTGGACCAAACTTGCATAGATGTTGCATCTAAAGATGCACACTACTAGATTATTTGTTTTAGTGTGGGACTTTGCCTTACTTAAAGATAACATTCGTTGAGGTTAGCTATGTAATCCTTGATTACTTATGCTAACTTTGTATTTTATTTTTCATACATGCCTCATCTATTAATCATCTGTATTATCTGTATTGATACTGGTCAGGAAAAGGGTGTAAGATTCAGATAAATGAATTGAAGTGGTCAAATTAAAATTAATTACCGTAAATTGCTTTTACAGTCAGATGGTAAAGAATTGTCGAAATATTGCTGGTGTAGAGGGCATTTCAATACTTCTGATTCTCCAGTGGACGTTAGGTGATGCCACAAATCTAGTGGGAGCTATTCTCACAAAACAGCTACCTTTACAGGTAAAAGGATTTTCCAGTAGTCAGAATGTCATGGAAGACAGTTTTCTTTTATGAGGGCTTTGGATTAAGGTTCCCTGAAATAATCATATTGTCATTTTTTGAGGTCATGCAAGGTCAAAGACACAAGATCAACATTTTATTTTAAAGCAATGCACTAATAGAAATTTCATATTCACTGCATATTCGTGTATGTAAATTGCAGTTAAGGAGTTAAAAAAACAAATTAAAATAAAACAAAGCAAAAACAAAAGACATCATTTATTATTTTGCTTGAAACTGTAATATGTTTCTTTTCTTTCACTGAAAAAATAATATCTCCATTTCAATATCTATTTAAGGAATGTATTTAAAAAAAATTAAAAAAGCGTAAACTGTTCCAGCTCAGGTTATACAAGTATAACTTGGCTAGCTTTTGAATTTATTCCTTATAATAATTTAATTTTCTATCATTAAGTGTAAAAAATAAGACAATTAACCTTCAAAAAGTGCCTTCAGATCGTACAAAAATTGTACAAGATTAATACACTTTTGACACAAGTCATATAGTGATGAGGTAGCACTGGTTATACAAAAAATAAATTTTTCTATCCAATGAAATGGAACAACTAGAATTGAATTATTATATGATGTAAACAAGTAATGAAGTTTGAAGGCTGCATACATGTATTAAATGTACAATGAAGATAAATTCAAGAGCAATTTGAAATTTTGACACTATTAAATGCTTTATTTTATTTTTTCCAGATCTACCTTGCCATTTACTTTGTATTTGCTGACCTTGTTCTTTTTTCTCAGTATATTTATTATCAAATCTGGAAGCGTAAACAGGCCAAGGGTGAGTACATAAAGGTCAATCTCATTACTGTCTGGACTCAAATAGAAATCAATCAGCACATCAGGATGATTGGACTGTTTGATCAATTAATTAATGCACATATTCCATGCAATACATCTGACAACAGGAATCTGTTATGTAAACATCACCTTTAATTAGATTCCACCTAAAGTAAATAATTGCAACTTCATACACGTAATGGAATTGGTTTAATCTACTACATGTAGAATTGATTAAAAGGAAGACTGTATTACTACCTATCCAATTAAATAATATAATATGCTGATAGATTTACATGTATTGCGAAAATAATAATATATACTAAGTACAGTCAAACCTCATTATATTGAACTCAATAGGACCAAGAAAAAAACTTCGAGATATCTGAAGATTCGAGATATCCAAGTAAAATACTTGAAGAATAAGTGGATGGGACTTCCAAATCACTTCGACATATCCATGATATTTGATATATCGTATAAGCAGAATTTTTAGGGAGGATTCAATTTTGGCATTATTAACGAAGATGCTGAGATCGCTAAAATTGTATCGCTAACAATTTATTCAGCACTATGGAGATAAGGCTACCTTGCAAAATATTGTTGAATTGCTAAAATTACTTCTTGCTAAAGTTATATACAGATTTTTACGGCTAAATCACTAAATTTGCGTCTCGCTAAAAATTCAACTTATACGGTATTAGTGTTTGAGATGACGAAGTTCAACTGAAATAGTTATTTTCTATATCATATATACGGTACCTGGGATGGGTAAAATGTTTGCAATTTTAAAATGACCTTGAGTCACAGTTTAGATGAATCAATTCATAAGTAAACTTTCATTAAATGCAGACACATGCTATGTTTAGGACCAGTCCACACTGTTAACTGTTAAGTTGAGGTAGATCAACTAACCCAGATTAAAGTTAATCCTCTTAAACCCAATGTGGACAAATAGTGAATTAAGCCACCATCAACTGAATTAACCTTGGTTAACTAGACTAATCTTTTACCTTATAACAAATATGGAAATGATGTAATAGTCGATTCTGGTCTTAGTTAACCACAATATTGTCATGGGCATCTTCGCTTGCCAAGAGTTTTTGGTCCACTCCGCTTCCCATTAAGGGTTTATGGGAGTGGACCAAAAACCTTTGGCTAGCAAAGATGCGTCATGGGTTAATTTTACCAAGTATTGATGCAATGTGAAATAACCCACTTTTTTAGAGTGCACCTAAGTTAATTCTTTAGAGTGGATTGATCCTTAAAAATTTTGACAACACCAGAAATGAGTGAAAATGATATATATCTCCTTCCAACTTTGTGAACAGAGGTAATAATTCTTTCTTTTATATAAAAGAACATAATTATTGTACTTTAAAAAATTACTTATTATTTGTAGACCAAGTAGGAAACAGACCTGGAGCTGTGCCAAAAATAATCTTGTGTTTTACTGGTGCATTTCTGGGAACCAATTTATTTGGAGCTATTTTTTATAAAACATCTTTACCATTTATAAATCAAGACCAAAATATATATATAATACACCATCCAGCTGGTAGGAGTTTAATGGGAACAAATCTACAACACAATGCTGTGATATTTCATGTGAGTGTCACTAAAAAGTTCTTATTAATCAGATTATCTATAATCATTACTGTAAATACAACTTTAATTTAATTCATTTGTAAAATAATTGTGCTCATATTGATATCTCTTTCAAGGAAAAGTTACTTTACAATAAAGTTTAAGGTTCATTGACCCTCTGAAAAGAGAAATAACTCTCACTAGGGTTAATAACTATTATTCTATTGAAAATTTGTCATGTTAGTTAGTGATTTCTGTCAAATTTTATGCTGCAATTTATGTTAAAATTATCCACACTTCAGTTAAAATTTTGATTTCCTTTAGCAACTGAGTAGCTATATAAGGTAACCTTTAGCTATCAACATTGAAGATGGACCTGTTTTGTAGACACTGACAGAATTTGCACTGTTCTTAAATAGTCAGTTCATTTCAAGTGATGTGTTGTTGGTTTTTTTTTTTACCCAGGGTTTTATAGATGAGATAGGATATGCTATAGGAGTAGTTTCCAGTATATTTTACATAGGATCTAGGTCAGCTCAATTGTATAAAAATGTGAGTATATTTTTAATGACCATATGCATGCAGTATTTTGATCATTTATATTTCATTTTTATGAAAGAGCAAGGCAGGTATAAAAAAAAAAAATGCTGTGTTTCAAGAGCTTTGTCCTAAAATGACTACTTCCATCAGAAATTTCAAAAAATGTACCGCTAGTAACTGTGAATATAGCATATCAGTGCTTGTTTCTTTTGTTACAGAGTCTCCGGGAATATGTATCATTTCTATTCTTGTTTCTTTATTAATGTGAAACAAAATATAATGATTATATTTTGAGATGTCGAATTTACTTTTTAAAAAATGACAGCATTAATGCCTCAACTAAGAATTTCTGCCTTTTACAGTATAAAAGACAATCAACAGATGGACTTTCCATGCTAATGTTCTGGATTGCTATTTTTGGGAATCTTACATATGGGCTGGCTATTATTGTGCGACAGTTGGATGTAGTGTATATTATACGACATATCCCCTGGCTAGTGGGGAGTCTAGGAGTTATTTTCCTTGATGCTTCTGTATCCTTTAAACCAAATAATCTGGATTTGTGGATATGTAGCTTTTCTCTCTCCAGAAATTAGGAAGAAAAAGAAATAGTCATGCATATTGGAGATAGGCAGTAATTAAATAGTTTCACTGTTGCATGGTGGTTTATAGAAAGAGGGATATAACTAATACATGTACCAACTCTCATATATTTTCAGAATGTTTCAAAATTAACCTTTGTGGGACCAGAGTGTTTAAAATATCAAGAAAGCTTCTTTTTGAAGTTGGTTAATGTTTATCTGTTATAATTGTGAATTTAAGTGTCCACTTGTTACTAGAATTTTAAGAATGTAACCCAGTTCCAGAAGTTAAGAGCTTTGTAATGCTTAGAATACATTTTTATCCACAAAATCATGAAAACAACAACTGAATTTTAGATTTCATTCCATGTTATTCAGATATGTAAGTAAAGTATTTTCCTTAACCAAGTTCTAGTTATTGGTACAGTTTAAATATTATGGATCGAGGGAAGACTTTGACAGACTTTCTCAGGAACCATTACTTCAAGATCAGGAAGTTGTTGTCGAAGTAGAACGTAACAAGTATGGTACCATCAACTGATACTACAACTGATACTACATGGGGTCAGCATCAGAAGAGACACTGCATTCTTTGTGGAATATCAAATATTGTGAAAATCAGTATTTTGTCTCAAGAGAATCAAACAATTTTTCATCAGGAAAATTAATGTATTTGTACTCCAGTCATGCCAATAGCAAAGGAGGAAGTGTATTAATTTACCTCTTTCCATATCTTTTAATTTTATGAATGTATTGTGTTCTCGTTCCATGTCTTGTGATTTTATGAATGTATTGTGCTTTTATTAAAAAAATATATAAATATTGCATGTAGTTGAGTGTAACATTGAAAATTTTCACCCAATGAAAACCATTGTCAACCGAGGCGCATGCAATATTTATTATATTATACTGAATGTTTTATATAAATACATATAACAGTGAACCTTGCGCACATAAATTCTGCGCAGTCACTATTTTTTGGAATATCACCCATTGTCATGCAATGCTGACTTGCTTCACTGGAGGGCGTGGCTTCATTATTCGGCGGGTAATAGTGTTTTTTAACAAATGTTTCTCGACAAATCAGATTCAACTAAATTTACATGAAAGTATAATATTAGAGGATATTCAATGTTTTGTAGTTGGATATGGAATTTATTTCACGAGTGGGACAGGATGTTTTGATATTTTCATGAGTGCGAAGCACGAGTGAAAACATAAAAAATCCTGTCTCAAGAGTGAAATAAATTCCATATCCAACTACAAAACATTGAATTTTCTGTTTATGACATTTTCTTTGATTTTCCCTTTGCCTTTGTCTTTCCTTAACACAGTGTCATAGTCTGTGATGTCATAGTTGAGCAGTTGAGACATCATGAATAGCCTAGCAGTTGTGAGATTGAAAACTTTTAGCAACATACAGTGAAACTTGTCTAATCTGGATGTTGTGGAATCCGAAACCTTGTTTAATACGGTGTAAACTTCAAGTCCCTTACAGTAAATTCAATAGTTTTAAATGTTGTCTAATCCGAAATGTAATCTAATCCGGCCAATTTCTTTGGAACCAATTGTGTCCGGATTAGACAAGTTTTACTGTATTTTGGAAGAAATTGGCAGTTTTATGACAGGCCAGAAATTATTTTTTACTTTGATATCCTTTCACACTGTGAGAGAATATCACTTTGGTATCCTTTCACACCGTGAGAGAATATAACTTTTATTCAGTAAATAAATCACAGTATTTCACTGTTGAAAATGTAATGAAATAATTTAATTTATTTCTGCCCATTTGGTACCATACTTTGTCTTTTAGTCTGACTGTACAATACTCTATTTGTAATATGACTGTACAATAGTTTATTCTTATTTTGACTGTACAATATTTTATGCCCATTGCTAGTCATTAATTGTTCTCCTTGTTTATTATTAAAATACATCTAAATTAAATGAATGTACTGAATAAAAAATAAAAATAGTTTTTTCTCCTTTTTCACAGCAATTAGAACTCAAAACCACTTATGCTTGGCACCAAACTTCCTCTTGGTGTGAAATATAGATACAAAAATTATTTAATTTTCCGATTTCTAACACAATTACATCCTGATTGCAGTTTATGTATGTTTATGCCATTAATTGATGCATAAGTAGTTTCCTAAGACTTTGCAAAATGCGTGCTGTGAATTGAAATTAATGAACAGAAATTTTATTTGCTATTTCCTCCACTTGTTGAACACCAACAGAGTTTACAAACTGGTAAAGTGGTCATCTTCTGTCCGTCTGTCTACCGAAAAACCTGAAGACTTGGGTTAAGGTATATGGTACACATGTAAAAACAGTTTCTCCCTTCAAGAAAAATAACAGTAAATTTTGCGAAGGCTCAAAGACATTTTTTTCTATTGTAGAGTGTTCCAACAACATTTCTCTGTCTTGAAAATGGAAAACGTTTTGATAACACTGCACCAAAAATTGATGCTGGAAAATTCAAATAAACAAAGAATTATCGTAAATCCTTTTTAAAATATTTTTTAAATGTGTCTGTGTCTTACACAGTTTACAAGTATGGCACGCCAAATTCACAAAAATGAGATAATCATAGTTTCACAATCGATAAACTAGGTTTATCGGTTGTAAACTATAGTTTACGAATTGTAAACTATAATTAACAACGTTAATCTATATTTCACATCTGTAAACCATAGTTAACGCGATAATCTATGTTTCACAACCGTAAACTATACTTAACACCGAAAACAATCATTTGCGATTGCAAAACATAGATTTTCTGATAAATACAGTTTCACGATTTGTAAACTATAGTTTACAAACCGTTAACTATAGTTAACGATCTGATAAATATAGTTTCACGATTTGTGAAACTATGATTAACAACCGTTAACTATAGTTTACGATTGTAAACTATAGTTTACGATTGTAAACTATAGTTTACAAACGTGAATCTATGTTTATCAACAAAATCTATTGTTAACGCTTATTACAGACAGATAAACTTAGATTAGCATTCGTAAACTATAGTTAACAACCGTTAAATATAGTTTTACAGATGAAAACTATACTTAACGAATCGTTAACTATAGTTTACGATTTGTAAACTATAGTTTACAGTCGATAAACCTAGTTTATCAATTGTGAAACTAGGTTTTACTCATTTTTGTAAATTTGGCGTGCCATATACAAGGTATTAGCAACCGGTTAATCAGCTGTTAATCGAACAGACAAGACTTGTTTGTAATTTTACTACATGTATATTTTTTCCCCGACTTATATTCTAAGAAAACAACCGAGTAACCGGTTAATCAAACAGACAAGACTTGTTTGTAATTTTACTATGATAATTTTCGATTTATATTCTAAGAAAACAATATGTATAAAAAAAAATAAAAAATAAAAAAAAAAGAAGCTAAATTATGATAATCAGAATTATTTACTTTCTAATAAAAGTAGAAGAAAAAAAATAAACATGAACGTTTATATCGCTATTTATTGCAGTCAGAGCTAACCATATTTTGTGTCTTGAGCTACAAGCTTGAACAAAAATTCGTGCAAAATTTTAAAAGTTGAATCAGATAATGCCTACATGTGCATGATGTTTTCACGCATACTTTTTATGTTTCTGTACCTTCCTGTACTAGCTCTTGTAGTTAATCGGAAAAGGGCAATTGTTCCATTTTGGGGGGGGGGGGGGGTCAAAGAATGAACAATTAACAACTACCAGTTTACAAGGTATTAGCAAACGGTTAATCAGTTGTTAATCGAACAGACAAGACTTGTTTGTAATTTTACTATGATTTTTTTCCGATTTATATTCTAAGAAAACAATATGTAAAAAAAAAAAAAAAAAAAAAAAAAAAGCTAAACTATGATAATCAGAATTATTTACTTTCTAATAAAAGTAGGGAAAAAAAATAAACATGAACGTTTATATCGCTATTTATTGCAGTCATATTTTCACCGAAATTCAAATTTAATATGCTTCTCCACCTTTATTCCTTTTTTTTTTTAAATAATTTCATTAATCACTGACGATGAATGGAAACTTTGCAACTTACCCCCCCCCCCACCCCACCCCAATTAATAATAAAATCGCCATGACGGCACGATCTTCCTGATATTTTGAAAGTTGTTGGGAGGTGAAGGTGGAGGAATCGGGTACATACTTATCGATCATCGATTTTTTTTTAAATTAATCGTTGGTTGTAAAAGAAAAAGCGAGGAAGTGTAAAGATTGTTTGGTCTCTTAGGTTTTTGAACTATTTTGCTGTCCTGGTCTCTCTTAAAGACAAGCTGTCGATTGTGGAGAATAAATTTGAAATTGCGTGTTGCATTGAGGTAAAGGGTAAAGATAACGAACAGAAAAATCTACAGACAATACAAATCTGTGAACAGGGCATAAAACACGGATCCCCGGAAATTCCAGAGGTGGGATAAGGTGCCTAGGAGGAGTAAGCATCCTCTGTCGACCGGTCACGCCCCATGAGCCGTATTCTGGTAAACGGAATAATCCGCAGTCGAATTTAGTACAAAATAAGGGCCTAACAAATGGTATGAAATATGTCAGTCAAAATAACAAGCCAATGATAGGTTATGTTCGCTTATAAGGTCATCATTAGTTAACGACCATAGAATTTACGAAATCCCGACTTTAAACGAAGTTGTTGATATCCCTGTAACATAAATTATCTGTTAGTAGCCTTCCTCGGCTTAAGAATTGATTCTAAAACGTCAAATGTGAGATCAGGTGCCATGGAGGAGTAAGCATGCCCTGTTAATCGATCACATCCGCCGTGTGCTCCTTGTCATGATCGGGTAAACGGAAAAATCCGTAGTCAATTTTGAATTTAGTGTGAAAATTTGTACATGTATGAAAGACATCAGTCAACAATCAACACAACGACATAAATGTATATATAATAATAAAGTCAGTGTATCAGCCACAGCATTTGCAAAATGTTGACTTTAAATGAAATTGTTGATATCCTTTTATCATCAACCCTTTTGTCAATAGCTTGCCTCGTGTTATAATTTGTTCATACATAGGACATGACATGCTCTTGCATATCGAATTAATCAACTGGGAGACGTAAACTCAATATGCAAGTGGTAATGATGTATTGCTACATAAGTAAGGTAAGTTGAAGACAAATATTTAATTCACTATCATAAAGTTTAGTTGTCAGTTTGGAAAAAAAAAGTTGAGGCGTTCATACGTTACCATGAAGGGGGCACTTGTAAATTATGCTTTGTTTTCTACTGTGTGGTATATGCTGGCAAAATTATTTGGGGATCTTTCTCCCACCCCATCCGCTGGTTCCTACACGGGTCTGGTATATAAAGCCCCCTTTCGTATGTTTAACATTTCCTACAGATATTGGAATTACCGATTTTCATTTTCCCTCATTTTATTTGCCTTCATATAAGGTGTATCCCACCCCCTTAAAAAGGTATTGGTTATTTTGTTTGTCAGGAAATTTTGCAGTTTTTGTATTGTTGCCTTCGTAGAGTTATAATATTCGTCCATGTGTTTTAAAATCATCCGTAAGCAGCACTTGCCAGTGAACAATTGAAAGTTGGCAGCTTATCGCGGTTGGCATTGTAGCAGTGTCAGGGGCGGGTGGGTTGGGGGGGGGGGGGTTACTTGATTTGGAAGGAAATGAAGGCCTCCTTGAGGTCCCCAATGGGATCAGGGCGAAGTCCTGGTGGGGGTTCGTTAGGTGAAGCTCTCAGAAGCTGATGAGTTTTTCAGCATTTCTAACAGCTAAATTTGAGTGTCAGAAAATGTCTCAGTTTCAATGTTTAAAATTTGACTTGCTGGTGGTGGACTGGGCCGCACAGCCCCAAGCAACTGGTGAATTTTGAGTTCTTTCTATCATTAGTATAAAGTTAAGGTATATCAAAGAGGGAGTTAGCAAGATCCAGTTCCCAAAGCCAAGAAGTAAGCCGGTCCCGTGCTTCCATTCAGGCCCGTAGGAGGCAATTTCAGTTGGGGGGGGGGGGCACAGCCATACATTTTCAGTTGAGGGGGCACTATCAACTACCAAAATTTCTTGACAAGCAAAAAAAAAAAAGCTCACGTTTTTATTGAGGGGGCACAAGCATATAGTATCTATGTTTTCTATAGAAATCTATATATCGGCAAAATTATTGGGGGCACGGCCCCCCCCGTGCCCCCCCCCCCCCGGTTCCAACGGCCATGGTCCATAGATGTTGAACGGTCCCATAGGAGATATTTGAAGGAACCTTGTTATTCCGGATTTTAATGATCCTACCATTCACTCGAGGCAAGTAGGGAAATCTTTGCATTTCCTGTTTGAGCTCCTAGGAAGAAAAACGAGTGATTGCACACGACATTTGCAACCACAAGTTCGATACATACAACACTAGTTAAAAACCGAGCCCTGGCAGTTTTTGTGCAAAGAGTTGAGGTATTTAATAGTCATTATGAGATGTAGTTTGTACATTTTGCCTCCTAGAAGGGCTTGAGAAAGTGCCTCAGGGATAGAATTCACTTAAGTAACAAGTAATCTCAAACGTTGACTTGCCCGAATGCAAAGCTTGGTTGCCCCAAATTAAGAATGAAGAAAATAACTTAATTCATAACTGTAAATGTTTATATGATAAGAAAAGGTGTGATCAGATACACTACTGTCTATTTGGCAAGTTGAGCTACAAGAAAAATAATGCGATGGTACGTTTGTCTAGGAGTGTTTATCAATGTCCTTGTCAATTTAATCTGTAAACACACACTGTTATGCAGCAACACCTCCCCCCCCTTCCCATTTGTTGCCTTTATAATGAAGTTTATCTTTTTAGAATTATTTTCGGTTAGATCATCCTTCTGTGAATTTTTATTTTTCAAGATAACTCACAGTGAAGCACCGCTAAAGGAAGGCAGTTGCTACGAAACATATATTGAATAAGATAATCTAATTTCCTAATAAGCGTGATAAGTAGGCAACAAAATTGTTAGATGTAGAGTGTAATTACCATGAAAGAAAAAAGGAATAATGAAGCTGATTTTTAATTAACAGTATAATTTTGAAATCCTTCTGAGGAATTCCGAATGCAAAAACAATGTCAGTCAAGTACCCGGGAGAAATCAAGTGTTACAAGTGTTTCAATTTTTATTTTTTTTAATTTATAAACTAATGTAAACTAGATATAACAGTACACATTTCTATCAGAAAAATTCAGTTGCCCAATCGGACAAGTACGTTGACAGTTTCACTTGCCCAAACTGAGAATTTACTTGCCCCAGCCAATCGGACAAACGTTAATGTCGATCCCTGCTGCCTTTGACCATTAAAGTCTATTTTCAACATTCCCAGTCTATTGCAGCTGTATACAGTCTGGTCGAACCCTTAAACAGGGGTATACCTTCAAACAGGGGTTTTCCGTTCCGAAATGCAATGCACAAGAACAGTAACTCTTAACGTAGCCAATTTAAACAAACTTGCCTATGCCATCTATCTTAGGAAAAAAAAAGATCGATATGGTATTGTTATTTCTACTATGAACTTGGTAAAATGTCAACAGAAAAAATCAACATGTTAAGTTTTCCATAATTTGAATTTATACTGTAGGAATAACAAAATATTTTCTGTCATCTCATCAAATAATTTAATAATCCCCAGAATAATTTTTTTTAAATTATGGAATTTAGAACACAAAAATATTCTAAGAATGAGAAAAATATTAATTTAGAATCTAGATTGAAATAAAATAATATAAAATATAATTGTGTTTTCCCCCAAATTATTGTATTTATTAAAGAACAGGTAGACTTTACTTTACCGGTCCCCAGATCCTCAAGATATGTGCGCTCGTTGCACTATGACCTAAGATTTACGTCACTTAACTGATAAAGGTTAGTCTTGCACACCACTTGACTGGTTAGAGTTGATCTTGCACCCAGCTGAGAGATTAGGGTTAGTCCTTGATAAGTTTTCGACTGTTTTGGGTTAGTCTCGCATCCGTCCGAGAGATTAGGGTTAGTCCTCGCACATTATTTGACTAATTAGGGTTAGTCTAGCATCTGCCTGTGAGATTATGGTCCTCCCATACCATCCGAGAACTCATTCTTTCAGATAAATAAGAAATTCAGTTGCTTCTGTATTTTATGCAAGATCTTAACTCAGCTTCAACGGCATCTCGTCGGTTTGTTTGCATGAAAAAATGGCTAAGTATGAAAAGAAACGACACTGAGCATGCGCTGCACGTGCTTAGTTGTCAATTATTTTTTGTTGATTTTTCAATGAACAATATTTATTAATTTTCTTTCAGAGAATGAGGATAACCTTAGAATTCCATTTTGGGGTCAAAAAGGCCAAAAACTTTGTACTTTTCACTTTTTTGATCACTCACGCGATCTCATATATATTGAAGTTGCCTTCTTTCGAACCCTGTTAGTTGAACTATATTTTAGCTCATTTTTCTAAGGGCTGGTAAAGTCGTTCCTTAAGGAACAAACTGCCAAACATTTTATTTAATTCTTATAAGATATAGAAGACAATAAATATGATAAATTGCATTTGAATTTTATTTTCAACTATAAGTTTGTTACACTTTCTGAGCCTGATTACATGTATCAATAGTAAAGATCGATTGCTAGTACATGAAACTTTTAGATGCACAAAATTGGAGCAACTTATTCAATCAACCTGGCTTTGTTGTAAGCACAATTATATTTTTGTAAATATATAAACAAAAGGGCTGGACACAAGTTCATTCAACTAAGTGAATCCTTTCCTTGTAATAAATATAAAATTGATATGATGATTTAATACAATGATTGTCACATATTCAGTGCCTGGGGAGGTCAAACAACAGGTGGGGCCACCACTGTATTTATGTATATATTAAAGCACTAATATTAGTGAAAAACTTTATCAACTATAGAATTCATGATCATATGTTAATCTAAAAACTTTAATTTTAATTGCACTTTCTAATGAAAGTTCATGTATATTGTTGTTGTCCCCCATTGTCTTGTCAGAACTCCAACATTTTTTATTACCCTGTATAAGTAGACAAAGAGGTTGAGTCTAAAATAAAATAAGCTTTCATCAGCACCCTTATATTTTAAGAAACATAAAAGTCCTCTGTGTATTTATGACCATGGCATTAGTGTCAAAATTTTAATCTCTGCAGTGGGGCTCCATAGAGACTGAAAAAAGTTGTGGCTCCTTTTTAAAGTTTATCATCAAATCTCATTCTTCATTTTTAGCTCTACTGGTCAGAGACCAGAAGATCTTATGCGATAGTAAGGTGTCGGTCGTCCATCTGTCTGTCCGTCTGTCTGTAAACAATTTTTCAAAATGCTACTCCTCCTACAGTTTTGGTCCGATTTCAATGTAACTTGGCACACAAGTAGACTACACTAAGATACGTAATTGAATGCATCGGTTTTTGATTTCGATTGACGGTGTTGCCATGGTTACTAAAAATAGAAATTTCTGTGAAATTCCTTTAAAACGCTACTCCTGCTACAGTTTTAGTCTGCTTTTAATATAATTAGGCATACAAGAAGACTATACTAAGATACATAACTTAATGCATCGGTTTTTGAATTTGATGAACAGTGTTGCCATGGTTACTTAAAATAGAAATTTTTGTGAAATTTCCATAAAACGTTACTCCTCCTACAATTTTGGTCTGATTTCAATCTAATTTGGCACACAGTTAGAATACACTACGATACATAATATGTATTTCTGTTTTTTTTATTTCGGTGAATGGTGTTGTCATGGTTACTAAAAATAGAAATTTCGGTGAAATACTTTCAAAAGGCTACTCTTCCTACAGTTTTCGTTTGATTTCAATATAACTTGGCACAGAAGTAGACTACATTAAGATACATAATTCTATTTATTGTTGCATGTTGAAAAGTTTCAAATCCAAGTGTTTCTTTTCTTTTGTTATACATACAGACCAGTAGAGCTACAGTCTCATCAGAGACTTCTGGTTCGAATGTAAGATTGACATTTTATTATGAAATAGTCATGCTAAGATTGTAGATTTGCTAGGTTGTAGATGTTGCAAGTGACCTGGATGAGTGATCAGGTAAAGTTCTTTTAGCAGATTTATTTCTGAGGAGCAATTATTAAGATGTTTTTTTTTTTTTTTTTTTTATTTTTTTTTTTTTTATTAGAAAAAAGAGATATATCAAGTAACATACTGAAACTTTTTTTCACATTCTCTCACACATTCACACTTCCCCTTCTGACTTTAAACAAGAATGAAATAAAAAAAAATTATTAACAATGAGGTACAAGTATTCCATTTGAAAAAATAATTATTGTTGGTGCTTTAATAAATGTTTATAACTCAAAAATATTAATCCATGGTGACCATAAGTTTTCAAAATTGTTCATTTCAAATTGTTGAATTGATATGCATTTTTCTATTTTGTACTTAAGAGTTAAAAAATGTAGCAGCCCATTAATCATAGGTATTTTGTTTTGCTTCAAGCAGGAAAATATATATTGCTTTGTATAAAGAATAATGAAATTCATCACCCTGTTATGATAAAATAATGGAGTTTCACCAAAAATAATATTACACATGTTAAACCCAACTCTTTTAGAAGTTTTTGTAAAAATGTGCATACTAAGATTACTCCATAATGAAGAGATTTTTGTGCAATTCAAAAATATATGTTGTATTGTTTCTATCTCCTGTTTACAAAAAGTACAGTGGTCATCAGATAAAATATTTATTTTCTTCAAATAATACTTCACTGGAAGGATTCTATGAAGGATTCTATACTGTAACCATTGAACAGAAGTATCCATAGTTGTTCTAAAACAAACCTTAAAAACATCTTGAACACAAATATCAGATTCCAAAAACACTGACAGTTCCTGGTTCCATCTAAATATTGATGTAGGAGTGACAAGGTTACTATTCAAATATTTGTAAATTATTTTTGTGCACTTCTCGTATACAATAATATTTTCAAAATAAAAAGGAATAAAAGGTGTACATTGTCTCTTAACAGATGATTTGTCTATAGACATTGTTTTTAAATACCTGGATATAGCACAGATAATACTGTTGTATTGCATAATGCAAACATTAAACAAATGAAATCTATTTTCAAAGTCAGTGAGAGTTAAAAAATTTCCTTCATTGTTTAAGAAATCACAAACACTTTTAACACCATTTTTATACCAGGCAATTATTAAGATGTTGATTAAATTTGTGTAACAGGTGTTACATTCCAAGTACTCAGCTGTAACTGTTGATAAAACTTCAATAGATGATGGCACTGAGGATGCATCATGCAATCTTAAATCTTATGGATGTGTGCTATTAAACATGTCTGGGTGTTGCATGTAATCTATATTTTCTAAATGAATGATCAAATAAAAGCTGTTAGAGCAGGCCAGTTTCCAAGTGAACCAACATTGTTTGGACATCCTAGGTGATGTGATTTCATGACATTTTTAGGTCACCTGAGTAAACTCAGGTGACCTATTGCTATCCGTTTTTGTCCGTCGTCGTGTGTCGTACGTCGGTCGTAAACTTTTGAACATTTTTAGATTCTTCTCTGGAACCGCTCAACCAATTTCAACCAAATTTGGTATGTAGCATCTATGGGTGAAGGGGAACAAAAATTGTGAATTTCATGGTCCCTGCCCCCCTGGGGCCTGAGGGGTGGGGCTAAAACCACCAAAAATAATGCAATCTTTAAAAATCTTCTTCTTTACTCCTGGACATCAAGCAGTCAAACTGTTGGCATCATTGTAATAAGCATGGAGCCCTCTACCAAAATTGTGAAATTCATGGCCCCAGGGTCAGGGGTTCTGGCCCCAGGGTGGGGCTATATAGATCATATAGTGAAAGTGCATTATTTCTTTGAAAATCTTCTTCTCTGCTCCTGGGTATTAAATAAAATTACTAAGTACATAGTTATGATGAGCAAGAGTGCCTCTTCCAAAATTGTGAAATTCATGGCCCCAGGGTCAGGGGTTCTGGTGTTAGGGTGGGGCTCTATTGATTATATAGTGAAAATGCATTATTTCGTTGAAAATCTTCTTCTCTGCTCCTGGGTATTAAATAAAGGAACTAAGTACATAGTTATGATGAGCAAGAGTGCCTCTTCCAAAATTGTGAATTTCATGGCCCCAGGGTCAGGGGTTCTGGTGTTAGGGCGGGGCTTTATAGATTATATAGTGAAAAAGCATTAATTCTTTGAAAATCTTCTTCTTTGCTCTTGGGTATTAAATAAAGTAACTAAGTACATAGTTATGATGAGCAAAAGTGCCTTTTCAAAAATTGTGAATTTCATCAGCCCCAGGGTCAGGGGTTCTGGTGTTAGGGTGGGGCTCTATAGATTATATAGTGAAAATGCATTAATTCTTTGAAAATCTTCTTCTCTGCTTCTGGATATTAAATAAAGTAACTAAGTACATAGTTATGATGAGCAAGAGTACCTCTTCCAAAATTGTGAATTTCATGGCCCTAGGGTCAGGGGTTCTGGTGTTAGGGCAGGGCTATATCGACTATATGGTGAAAATGCATTAATTCTTTGAAAATCTTCTCCTCTGCTCCTGGGCATTAAGGTGATAAACTAAGTACATAGATATGAGGAGGAGGTGGGCCTCTTCCAGAATTGTGAAAGCCATGGCCCCTGGGACAGGGGTTCTGGTGTTAGGGTGGGGCTCTATTGATTATATAGTGAAAATGCTTTAATTCTTTGAAAATCTTCTTCTCTGCTCCTGGGTATTATTTAAACAAACTAAGTACATGGTTATGATGCATAAGGATGCTTTTTCAAAAATTGTGAATTTCTTGGCCCCAGGGTCAAGGGTTCTGGTGTTAGGGCGGGGCTCTATTGATTATATAGTGAAAATGCATTGATTCTTTGAAAATCTTCTTCTCTGCTACTGGAGATTTTATAAACAAACTAAGTGCATGATTATGATAGACAAGGATGCCTCTTCCAAAATTTTTAAATATATGGCCTCAGTTTTTGGGGTTCTTGAGGAGGGGGGGGGGGGGGCTCTATTGATTATATAGTGAAAAAGCATTAATTCTATTAATCATTAATTAATCCTGTCTGCTCCTTAGTGTTGAGCTGATAAATAAATTGCTTAGCTGTGTTGAAAATGGGAGCTTCGAATAGAATTTTTAAATCTTGTGGTCCTAGGGTCAGGGGTTCTGGCATACGGGGGGGGGGGGGGGGGGGGGGGGGGGGCTTTTGATAATATAGTGGAAAAGTGTTAATTCTTTGAAGTCCATAGTTATGATGATGAGGGTAACTCTTCCAAATTTGTAAATTTCTTGACCCTTGGTCTTGGGTTCTGGTGTTAGGGTAAGGCTTTGTTGAATCTGTAGTGAAAATGCATTGTACCTGTGAAATTCTTCTCTGCTTCTGGGCATATTGGAAGCAAACTGAGTAAAAGTTTAAATGATATGAGTAAGCGTATTTCTACCAGATTTTTAAACATCTGGACCATTGGTCTAAGCATTCTGGTCCTGGGCAGGGCTCTATTAATTTGTATTCTACTGAGAGAAGTTATTCCCCTTTTCCATTCACCTTTGATAATTAATCACTGTAAATAATGTATTTGAAAGGTTAATAGAATAAGATAATTATGCAAGAATGTTTATCATATAATTAAAAAAGTACTTTCTTAGTTTTAATAAACAGGTAGACATGTAAGTAATAGATAAATAAAAATGAGACAAAAATAACTTATCTTATTAAAAGTTCTTCAAAGACCATAAGAGAGGTCAATGCTAGAGGTCTTAATATGGGTTTATAAATAGTACAGAAGCACTAATAGTTTGTTAATAGTCTGCACAGTGTTAAGTTGGGGACAGATTAGAACTTAATTTATGAGTTGATACTGAATACTAGACTAATTATTTTGTTGATCCTGATCTTCCTACTTCTCTTGCTTTAGGGCAACAAAGCTTCAACTATCAGTGTATTTAACTTCTGAATTGTTGTATTATACTCAGGTGACCATTAAGGCCCTTGGGCCTCTTGTTATTAATATTTTAGTTTAAATAAAGAGTGAATTTCTGGGTTGTCTGTTAGTATTTTTTACCATTATCTCTGACCAGAATCTTTGAACTTCAAAGTATTAACATTTATCAAAAAACAAAGTTGGAAAAATAAACATACATGTAGTCACTCTTTTCAGCTATGGTTTGTTTTTAAAATATCTGTAAAAGTGATGAAAATATTTGGGTTCATTTTAGGAAAAACTGTGCCCCACTGGTTAATACTGCAATAGAATTCAGTTTAAGTTCTAAGTCAAATCAATTTGCAAGATTTAGTTTTAAGCTCACCTGAGTTGAAGTTGAACTGTGAACATTTCTGATCAAAATTGATCTGTTATCTGTTGCTGTCATCATTGTTGTTATGAACTTCAGAATTTCATCTTCTTCTCCGGAACCACTGGGCCATTTTCAGCCAAACTTGGCACAGAGCATCCTTGGATTAAAGGGATTCAAGTTTGTCCAAATGAAGGCCCAAACCCCTTTCCAAGGGGAGATAATTAAGAATTAGTGAAAATTTAATGGTATCTTGTGTATTTTTGATCTTTAGAACTTAACTTTAGAGTTTGACCCATTTTAAAAAATTTTTAACCTTGGCCATACCTCTTGAACAGTGAGTGCTGGGTCTTTTGTATTTGACAGGTGTATTTCTTGTGACAAGACCTTCCCTTACCAACAGTTTTGACCCTATGACCTTAGAATTTTACCTAATTTTCAAAAAACTTTAGCCTTGGCCATAATTTTTGAACAGTTGGTGCTAGGGCTTCCATAGTTCGTATGTATATTTTTTGTGACTAGACCTTCCCTTTTGTACCAAAAGATTTTACTTTTTATCCTTGATATTGGAGTTTGACCAACTTTTGAAAAACTTAAACCTTAATTGGCCATCTTTTGAATGGTTGGTGCTAGGACTTTCTTATTTCACGTGCATTTCTTGTGACAAGACCTTTTCTTTGGCACCATTCATTTTGACCATTTGACCTTGACCTTGAAGTTTGATCTACATTTGAAAAACTTTAACCTTCGCCACAACTTTTCAACGCTTAGTGTTAGTGTTAGGGCTTTCATATTTCACAGGTTTATTCCTTGAGACAAGACCTTTCTTTGAGTACCAACATTTTTGATCTTTTGACCTTAACCTTGGAGTTTTACTTGCATTTGAGAAATTTTCACCATGAGATACCATACTAGGGCAACAGTGTTTCACAAACACATCTAGTTTAAACTATGAGCTTTGGGGTTAGGGTTAGGCCATAATTAGAGATTCAAATTCAACATAATACATGTGTAAAGGAAAAAAATTTCTCCAGGGAAGAAGGGCCATATTGATCATATCAATATTGAAACATCTCAGTATTGTGTGGTTTTAACTTTGATTAAATCATAGTTCTCTTGGGGTAGATATTGGTCCACAATTTGGAGTCAATTTTTTTTATGAAATTAAAGAGGGAAATTTAAAAATAAATATGATGAAAAAACAGCAGGGCCAAATTGACTTAGGTGAGCATTATGGCCCATGAGCTTCTTGTTTTGTTAGCATTGCTACAAGATTATATGCTGTTAACTGATGAGGGATAAAAGTTGCATTCATTGCTGGAACTGTAATGCTTTGATCTCTGTCATCATAGTTTGAAAATACAAATTATCACCAGGATCTCAAAGTGTTTGACAATGTTTTTAAAAATGTTTTTGCTTGAATTCAGCATTTCAAATAGACCATCCTTTTGAAAATAAAAATCTGCAAATGATGATGCTGAAGATCAATGATTTTGAAATCTTTTTTAAATGTGTATAGTCATTGAACATATTGAAGGCTTAAAATATTAATGAATCAAAACCTGTCTTCAGTGTAGCGTATTGTTGATGTTCACAGCAGAGAGAAGTGTTTGTGGGAATGAGAATGGCTTACCGGTATTGATTAGATTTGTAAACTTAATTTATAATTTACAGGTGCGACATTGACACAAGTATTGATGACAAGTTGCAACATAGATTTAGATGTTATTCTGCAGAAGAACTTACTCAAGGAATGCTGTTTTCTGACTGTAAGACTTTAATTTGAATTTTTATTGCTCTGTTTTAATTCAATCTTAGTGTCAACTGAATGTTGGATATTTGTTTCATTGCATTTTTCATCTTATTTGTGATATATTTTCAAGGTCAAAATGTTTTTATATATTTAAGTTGGTGGAATAGCACCAGTGTTAGTAGGTTAGAATTGAATTTTGAATTTAAATCAATATTTTGATTTTTTTCTTTATTTTTAAAGCATTAGTTGTTCTTTCTAATTCTAAGATAATTTTAAGGGATTTTATCTTTTCTTTTATTAAAAAAAAATGCATGAAGAACTGGAGATAGCAAACATGCAGTTTGTTTACTCTTTGAAAAGTGTGTTGTGATTCTGATAAGGATGACTCAAACATTGAAGGAATGAATTTAATAGCTGCCAAAGTTATACTGTATAACCTAGATCAGGACAGTTTTGCTTTATAAACAGTGAAATGCGAAGCAGTTTATAAAAAAACCTTGAACTTTTTCAACCCAGGTTATAAAGAATTATTACTTGGGTAGTTATTAAATTCATTCCTTAATTTAATTTTCTATCATTAAGTGTTAAAAATATGACAATTTCCCTTCAAAAATGACCAAGTTGTTTAAAATTTAAGAGTAATGTCAAGTGGATTAATTGATATGTTTTTGACTTGTCATGTTGTTATGTAGGCAATACAGGTTATACATTTCTATCTAGTCAGATCACATGTTACCATCAGAATTAAACTACCGGTATATTGATATAAACAATTTTTGAAAATATGTATTAAATATAACAGAGTTATTAAAATATTGGTAGACTAATTGATCTATTATTCAACAAATATGAATAAAAGTTTTTCTTTGTTGACATTAGTTTTCCAAAATGGAATAATATTTGTTTAAGATTGAAGAACAATGGTAGATTGATTAGTGTGCTGCAAATAATTTCAATAAAACTACTTGTTTTGAAAATATAAACCTGCATATATTTACAAAGATGTCAAAGATGAGAAATAAAATGCTGTTTGATATTATGTGAGGTTCATCTTTTAACAGTTTTTGTACAAGCTGTATAGGCAGCACACATAAAGGCTAGAATTGATCTGGATCTCAAAAATGAAGAAGTTCTACTCTCGACCTCCCAGTGTCAAGGCAAAGAAACTCGCAGATGAGTACTCCACGGGAGAATTGGTGACACCATGTCGTCTGCTGCTGGTTCTGGTTCTTTCCTGTATAATGATTGCTGCGATATCTGTTAGTGTTAGTAAAAAGAAGATAGAGCTAGAGGAAAACGTCATTAAAAGGGGGATAAATCTAGTGGACTTTCCATATCAATTTGACTTTAATGCAGCTTTAAAAACAAGAGAGGAGAATTTGGAGTCATACAAGAGACCCCTAAATTCATGGTCTGTTGACAAAAGATTCACACTTACACTAGAGGAATTCTGGGATATATATGATGGAAAATGGTAAGATTAATTTAATAAATTATAATGAATCTGTTTGGGGTTTTTTTTCCATGCCTGGTGAAAAAGAATTTCTAAAACACAGAATCACTTACTAGATGACCTATTGCTTTCAGTTTTTGTCTGTAATCATGTATAGTCCACTGTGCAAAAAAAGTTACTTTTTGTATAATTGGCCTCTTCTCAAGAACCTTTGGGCCAGTTTCAACCAAACTTGCTACAAAGCATCCTTAGGTGATGGAAATTTAAATGTCCATGCCCTTTACTAAAGGGGAAATAATTAACGAATAGTGAAAATGCAGAGGAATAATTCAAAAGACATCTTGTCAAGACCTGCTGAGTCCGAAATGATAAAACTTCTGTAGAAGCTAATTCTTATATGGTGAAGGTGCCAGATACAGAAGAGTTCAGTTTCATGTAGAAATTACTGCAAAATTACTTATTTTCGTGGGGTTAAATTTTCATGGTTTATAAAAAAAATACTGGTTCAAGGGGATTTGATTTTGTGGATAAAGGAGAGACATCATACTGCAGTATGGAATTTAACATTTCATGGAGGATATAAATTTGTGGGTCTTTTCATAGCAGAAAAACAACGAAAATTACCGGTAAACCCCCAGGAAAATTAAAGATTTCACAGTATAGAAAAAAATTATACATTTACTGTAAATCTTCTTCTCAAAAACTTCAAAGCTAATAATTGTCAAATCTTTATGCTAGCATCTTTAAGCAGTGTAAATTCAAGTATGTTCCTACCAAGCCCACATGGGGACTATTTTAAAGGCTACAATTTTTCAAATTTAGATGCAAGTATGCTATGTAGATTCAAGATTGTACAATATTCAGCCCTGAGGGCAAGGATGAGGAAAGTAAAGAAACTAAGTATAGGAGCAATTTATAAAAAAAAAAATAACAATCTATAAAGAGATCATTCTCAAGAATACAGTGATACGAATGTGCAAATTTATATGCTTTTAACTGTGAAAATTAAAAGAGTTGTGTTACGATGTTCAGGTGCCACTTGGGTCTGTGGGCTTCTTTAAAATCTATAGATAGAACCCATATTTCAGTAAGTTAAAAATTATAAAAATGGCTTACAAAGTAACACTCTCCATTAGATAATGTTAATTTATTCTCTTTTACTTTGTAATGCAGGCCAGTTATTATTACTGATGTTGTACAACATTGGCCAGCCTTCAACTGGACAAAAGATTTTTTCATTAAAAAGTATGGAAGACAGAGGATTACATTCAAAGCTATAGTAGTAAGTAAAAAAAAAAATATATGTTAATGATCATGATGTTGGATTTAGATTTAGAATCTGTATTGAGTTTAAACATCTCAGAACAGATGCCATAGAAAATAGGTATCTGACACATGGATTTACAGAATACACAGCCCATTGATCATCAGGTGCTTCAAAATGAATCGGCAGTTCTGATCTTATCATACATAAAAATCTCAATCTTGTTATCTCAAATTCTTGTGCAGTTTTTTTTTTAAATCAGTCCCCACCATGTTTGAGATTTTGAGATTTGACTACTGTAAATCATTTTTTAATTGTGAGAACTCTTTTTCGCATAATTACGCATGTCTGTCTGTTCGCAAAAATTTTATTCTCGTGTACATTTGTATTGTTAAGGGTTATATACAACAAAAACCATAGCTCATGAAAATTTTGTCTAGCTAATAAATATCAAATAGCTATTTCATGAAAATAAGGTGTCGCGAAAATATAGATCTACAGTATATGTGATTTTTGCTATTATTTTAGGATGGCATCCAGCATGTGACAGGATATGTGCGATCTTTGGAGGATTTTATCAGTACACTCCACCAATCTAATGTGAACACATGGAACTACCTGGAGGATGAAATGTTTATACTACAGAGACCAGAGCTGAGAGAGGACATAAGAGAACATGTAATATGAACCTCTTATATTTGTCCTTATATGTCAGCATTCACATGGATATTATATTACATGTATCATAATTACATATACAGTCGAACCTCGTCTCAAACTCAATGGAACCAAGAAAAAACTTCAAGATATCTGAGGGTTTGAAATATCGAGGGTAAAATACATAAGAAATACGTGGTAGGCACTTTCCAATCACTTAGACATATGTTCGAGATAATGATCAACTGTATTATGACTGTATGTAAACCTTTTTGATAAAATTGTTCTTTTTTTTTTTCAATATCCGTCTATATGTATTTTAAATGTTTCAGATTTATGCATCAGAAAATTTTTTCTCTTTCTTCCCTTCTGAAATTCGCCCCTGGGATGCAGCTTTTTTGTGGGGATCTAAACATTCTCGTTCCACCCTGCACATGGACCCGTACAACTGGACAGCCATCAGTTCAGTCCTCAGTGGGGTGAAAAAGTGGAAGGTGGGTGACATATTAACTGATCATGAATCAACATTTAATTTTCAGGACTATGGACAAAAATTCTTGCAATATGTGTGCTGTTTACTTTAACACAAGGGAAAAAATGGTAATTTTCGGCTGAATCAAAATGGGGATGAATGATTCTAATTAACATACTGTGGAAATTTTGTTATGCATATATTTAATCTACCAATCTTCTAGTGCATTTACATAGTTGTAATATTTTGGTAAAGGTGTATAATAATATTAGAATACAAAAAATTGTGGGCCTACATAATATACTTACCAGGGGTAGTTTTTAGCTCTACTGGTCAGAGACCAGAAGAGCTTATGCGATAGTAAGGTGTCCATCCATCTGTCTGTCTAGCTGTCTGTCTGTCCATCTGTCTGTAAACAATTTTTCAAAACGCTACTCCTCCTACAGTTTTGGTCTGATTTCAATATAACTTGGCACACAAGTAGACTACACTAAGATACATAATTTAGTGCATCTGTTTTTGATTTCAATGAGCGGTGTTGCCATGGTTACTAAAAATAGAAATATCTGTGAAATTCCGTTAAAACGCTACTCCTCCTACAGTTTTGGTCTGATTTTAATATAACTTGGCACACAAGTAGACTACACAAGATATATAATTCAGTGCATCGGTTTTTGATTTTGATGAATGGTGTTGCCATGGTTACTAAAAATAGAAATTTCTGTGAAATTCATTTAAAATGCTACTCCTCCTACAGTTTTGGTCTGATTTCAATATTATTTTGGATACATGTAGACTACATTAAGATACATAATTTAGTGCATCAGTTTTTGATTTTGATGAGCTGTGTTGCCATGGTTACTAAAAATAGAAATTTCTGTGAAATTCCTTTAAAACTTTACTCCTCCTACAGTTTTGGTTCAGATTTCAATATGATTTGGCACACAAGTAGACTACACTAAGATACATAATTGAATGCATTGGTTTTTGATTTCGATGAAGGTGTTGCCATGGTTACTAAAAATAGAAATTTCTGTGAAATTCCTTTAAAACTCTATTCCTCCTACAGTTTTTGTTTGATTTCAATATAACTTGGCACATAAATAGACTACATTAAGATACATAATTCTATTTATTGCTGCATGTTGCAAAGTTTCAAATCCAATTGCTACTTTTTCTTTGTTATATGTACAGACCAGTAGAGCTACAGTCTCATCAGAGACTTCTGGTTACTAATGGTAAATTTTAAATAGTAGTGGTCACAAAGTTAAAGTTAGATATAAAATGAATTCATAAAGTAAATTAAGCTGGCAAAGTTCATTTTAATCAGTATTTTATTCATATGCCTGGTAAATAAATAGGGTTATCAACTGCAAAGCCTATAAATACTGTACCCCCCTTGATACAAAAGACTAAAGGGATACAAGTCAATTTTGTCAAGCTGTTTTGTTCTTTTTACAAGCTTTTCCTTCCTGGTCAGGACCATCTTTTGTATGTAGAAAAAAGTTCTTGTGGATTTCCCCTAGAGTGTATAAGATACAATAGGTATCCATTCACTTCTATGAATTTATCTACATGTTTTATATGAATTGTGTAGCTGCACTTTTGTGTCTTTTCCTGCATTTACATTTGTAGGTCATCCAAGTCACTCATTTGTTGTTCTGTTATTTATTTTCATTCAATGTTGTGCATTGTCTAGTATTGAAAAACTTGAAATATTTTCAGATTTTATTCTGAAAGCACTTTTGATAAATAGCAAAATGGTAAATGAAAAGTTTTGTACATGTCCATGAGTCAGACTGAGTGGTCATTAAATAATCCTCAAAAATGTAATTATTAAATTCATCTTTGAAAATTCTCAGCTACACTCCTACACTTCTAGCATACAAATGCTGCTAATATGATAAATGGGCAAAAAATTCTCTTCCAGAACTAACTACGAAATTCAAAGTCCCTAGGATCCAGAGTTGGGATCTAGGTTGATTATTTGTTGAGTTTGGGAGACTCCGATGATTGTCAAGGCCTGGGGCTTATTAAATGTATAGAATACAGTGTTGTACAATGGAAAGTAGTTTAACATTCTTTGCAGCTTTAAATATGCATCAACTCCATTCTGTTTTTTTGTTGAATGGGTTTTTATTTTGTCATATCTGCATAATGGCTCATTTAGCATCAAGAACATTTTTTTTGTACCCTGAATAGTGATACAGTGTTTCTGAATACTGTAGTTAGAATAAATGAGCAAATTACAAACATGAATCCTCTGTTTCATAGCAAGATATTTTTTGTGTGTGAGTATTTAAGGGCATCAAGTTCTTGATTATTATTTATTTTTCAAGATCAATATTGCAATTATCAGATGCATCATTAATTCCACCTTAGTTGGTCGAATCTCTAGCTGATACATATAGAGGACTGTTGTAAAATTATTACTAGTATTTGATTTTTACTCATCTCAGTTTTGATTTAAATCTATAAGTGTGTTTTACCTAGCTTTGTTGAGTCTCATGTGTAAAATAGAAAAATGTTTTATTTTACATAATGATATTGATCATTAAAAAGCAAATTCTGGTACATGCACTTAAATCAATTGTCATGGAAGACAAAATTAATCTTCTAGATCTATAAATCTCCCCTTCACAAAAGTGATTGCATAACTTTATGTCAATGAAAATATTCCTGTTCTGTAACTCCTTTTTCAAACCCATTCCAAGATACAGACTTCAATGCAAATGTAAACTTGCATCATTCAGTATTGTAACAATCTTTATGATATCTATTTTTTTTATTCAGCCCTCTTGATGCTTTTGACCCAGATCTGAGACAATATCCCAAGTTTAGCCAGGCTCAGTATGTGGAGACAGAGGTATATCCAGGAGAGATGCTCATTATTCCTACAGGCTGGTTCCACCAGGTGAGTACATAGGATCTAAAGATTCCTACAGGCTGGTTCCACCAGGTAAGTACATAGAATCTAATGATTCCTACAGGCTGGTTCCACCAGGTAAGTACATAGGATCTAATGATTCCTACAGGCTGGTTCCACCAGGTAAGTTCATAGAGTCTAATGATTCCTACAGGCTGATTCCACCAGGTAAGTACACAGGATCTAATGATTCCTACAGGCTGGTTCCACTAGGTAAGTACACAGGATCTAATGATTCCCACAGGCTGGTTCCACTAGGTAAGTACACGGGATCTAATGATTCCTACAGGCTGGTTCCACCAGGTAAGTACACTTGTACACAGGATCTAATGATTACTGGTTACTAGGTTAGTAAACACGATGTTAGGTTGTGCCTGTCACTTATTTGATATACATGTATTTGATACATGAATGCTAATTGATATGTCCATAATATTCATAACTGTTATTGGAAAATTTTTTGATCACAAACACAGTTAAATTTAAGAATATATGTGTTTTACAGTATGTAATAGTGTTTGAGAGATGTGTTTTTCATTTCTTACATTTTTCTCTACAGGCATATAATGTTGAAGAAACTATGGCAATATCCAGTCAGCTGATGAACAGAAATAATTATCTTGTAGTTCTAGAAGAAATTATAAAAGGAGGTGGTGTTAAACGGAAGAAATTGCCGGCTCATTTTGACACTTTGTTACCCCCTGATCAGGTATATGATAAACGTTATCAGAATTTTTAGTTGGTGGGTCTTATATGATAAACGTTATCAGTGAGAATTTTTAGTTGGTGGGTCATCTTTTTGATATGTCTATCAGTCTACAATTTTGATATGTCTATCTGTCTTTCAGTCTACAATTTTGATATGTCTATCTGTCTTTCTGTCTACAATTTGGACTAAGAGCATAACTTTTTAAATTATATAAGGCATTGACTTTCAAAAATATAATACATTTGATATGATTTATAGGTGAAACTTTTTCTATCTCTCATTTCCAAGAAGATATTACAAAAAGGGAAAGAACTTACAGAGATGGTGTCCAGAATGGTGTATGAAGTCCCAGTTTCTTAGATTTAACAAGTATATAAAATATAAAGATTTTAACAATAGTGAAAATAATGCCATTCATATTTAACATGTATGCCTTTTTTATAATTTAAACCTTTAAAGCAATATTATACTTAATCCATTATATTAATTAGTATGATTTATGTCCCTATTTTATGCAAAGCTCTCTTTCTCTATAAATAGAGCAATGTTCATAAAAATAATCAATCAATCTTCAGTGATCATGAGCCCATATGAACAGGTGTATTTATTTAAAAGGGAAGAAGTTGCAAATCAGATGACATATTATGTATCCTTGTTTGTGCTGTCTGCAAAGCAGAAAGCACTTCTTGATAATTTTGTCTGCCTGATGGCCAGTTGTTCCCAATGTTATGTTAACCTCATTAGAATGGTCTTTGAATTGACAGACCCTTCATGAAAATGCTGAAATTTTGACATCGAATTTATGACAATAAACTACTTTATTAAAGAAGAAGTTAGTCTTTGTGATGCATGTGTATGTAGGACTCTCACATATACACAATCAAATTTGTCAGGGTTGTATTCTTCATATTTTTTTTTTCAATTTTGATGTACTATTTTGAGCATTGCATACTTTTACTATATATAGGTTAGGAGAAGGATGTAAGAAGACTATATACTTCTTTTTACATGTTCTTTTTAATTTTTTTTTTTTTTTTGTGAAAGTTGTTTATCAATTTTTTCTATCAATGGCATTATGAATTACTCTATAGGACTATTTATGACCAACTTGAAAAAAATGGAATATTTATTATCTATTTTAATTATGATATATAGGCTGTTTTTATATACTAAACATTATGTACATATCTTGGAATTATGAATTTTATACTTAATAAAAAAGTTGAAACTCTTTCTTTATTCTTTAGCTATAATAGCTAAAGAATAGCTATAATATAGAATATTGCAATCTCAATGAAATATGCTATTTTTGTAAACAAAAAAGTGCAGATATGTATACAAAGTAACGTTTTTTTTTTTTTTTGGCATCATTATATGTATATTTTAACAAATGTTTAGGAACAATAATATAAAGAGTAAGCATTCCTGAAATATGAAAGCCTTAGCTCCAACCAATCAAAAGTTATGGGAAAAATTAAAAAAAAATTAGGAGAAAAAGACAGACAAACGGACAGAAGGAGCAAAAACTATATGCCCCCGAATCCTTGATTTTTTATAATAACAGACATATGCATACCTATCAAGTTTGATCCACAGGATGAGATATGGTAACTGTGAGGCCAAGATGTAAATACATGTATAAGTGTTGGTGTGTATAAATCTATATCAGTGGAACACTTGATAATTCTTGCATAGCAACTTATGCAAACTATCATTTGCTTCACTGTCACTTAGCATCTCATACATATAAAAAAAAAATAGAAACTTATTCCATATCTACAATGCATTTGCATTACTTTCTTAGTAGATAGAAAACTTTAATTAATACTGCAAAGATTACTTAATTTTTTAAGTAGGAATATGCAGCATCTCATGCAGAAAGGGGGGGGGGCATTATTTATCTTCAATTTTCAGGTACATGTATACGTACATCATGGACATTATTCAACACTGTGCAGTAAATAAACAATTGCAAAACCACCTAACCCCAATCCAGTTGATATTAGATGTTAGAGCTGCTCGTATTCTTGCTACACAATCAAGCAAGGGAGTAGATCTTACATCAGATTTTAATTAGATTGCTATAGTGCAGATAGGATGTTTTAATAAAATTAAAATGCAAGCACCCCCTGTAGTATACAGATTCAAATTAATTCAAGCCAAAAATTCTTTGGTTGATTAAATGATAAACATAAGATCTCAAGGAAGAATTATCATCCACAGTGAATTACTGATCTTAACCTAATGACATAACTTGTGTCTCACTTGTACATACATTAAGTACTGTGGACACATTAGACTTCGTGGTGGCTCAATATTCGTGGAATTTGTGGGTACCTTGCATGCACGAATTCACATCCTCAACAAATTAATAATTGTGGTTTTAAGAGTCATCTTTCCTTCTGTAGATATGATTGAATACACAAAATTATGTCCCATTGAACCTGTACAATCCATGGAAATTAGCCCCATGAATGTTAATGATTTCACAGTATATCCCATCATTTCATCATTATTACAAATTCAACATCACAATGATATGTAGCCTGCATAATCCAGATGTTTGCATTTACCTCCTACTTTATGGAGCATTACGTCTACTACAAATTTTGAAAAAAAAAATCCTAGAGCTATTGTTTTAAATAAAACAAAAACTGTTTCATCTACTGAATTATTATACTTACAAAGTCTCATAAACCTTTGACACATGTACATCTTTATCAAAATAGATCAATTTTGATGACATGAATTTATAATTACTATACTTACATGTATGAGTAAAACTGTTTGCAGGTTCAGTGATTTTATTATAACAATTATAATCACAAAACAATCTTAAGGATTATTAATAATTCACTGAAAATCAAAATATTGCAGAAAGTAATCACAGTTACTGTAAAGCAATGATGAATGCCATTCAATTATTATAAGTTACTATTTTTTCAAAAGTCAGGTAATACTTTATAGGGGTTTAAAATCATGTTTGGGTCAAAAGTCTTTTTAATTTCTTTCATTAAGACTACTGCTGACTTAGATTTACTGTGGTATATAAAGTCTCTTTTCTTAAATCCCAGGCCATGCTCGGCACTGATGCTGCCCTTTTTGTCTGCGACCCAGTCATACAGATAGGGTTCTATTTTAGCCATCACTTCTGTACTGTATTCAGGTGACGTCATGTTCAAATGAAGATTTCCTGAAATGGAAACAAAACATCAATATGCCAGGTAGTTCAATTATTTTGTTATTTTTGGCAGTTTTCAATTTAAAGTGCAATGCTGATTGAAAATCTTAGTTTTAAAATCTTTCAAATAAACAGGTAATCAATTACACAGCAGTTTCCCCCCCCTTACCATCACCAACATGTCCATAACCTACGACCCTGGTTACCATGGTACCCAGCCTCTCTCTCATTGCTTCCACTAAATCATAGAAAGAAGGGAGGGGTAGAGATACATCATACTTGTAGCAATATCCATCATGTAGGAGTCCCTCTGCAAGTCTCTCTCTCAAAGACCAAATATTCTACAAAATAATAAACTTTAGAAGTAAATGTCTGTCTCATACACTTTTATCTATATAATTGCAATTTTGCTATCTTGAATCAATTTATGACTGTATGAAATCCAAAAATTCCTACGGATTAATCAATTCATCCCTTAACTTTAGTCTAAATAGTATTACTATAAGTTTACTTGATAGGTTAAGCAAAATTAAATACTTTCATTTACAAGTGTAATACTTCATAACATGAACACTGATGTAATAGAACTGAATGTGACAGATGAAAAAGATAGTCAAAATTTTGAGGACTTAAATTTGTTACTTGGTTTAATTGTAGTTTTGAGACCTCACCAACAAATCCCTGGTATTCCACATATCCATTTTTCAAGACAGATCAGTTGGATAAGTAAACTAATCATTCATTAAATATGCTCACTTGAATTTTTGTAGGTTCTGTTGCCACTGTTCCATCCTGAACTAGACCAGAACTCATAACATTCTCTAAAAATTGATTGAGTTTTTCTTCATCATGCTTTCCAATAGATCCTGATGTTTCAATCAAGACATAGAAAGGGAAGTCTGTGATGGGACTGTTCAGCCTGAGGTTGTCTTTAGCAACAGTCATTGACTGAGTGTCCATGAATTCAAAGGCTGATAAAACCTCTCCAAGTTGATGTCTGCTCTCTTTGAATATATCTAACACTGTTTGAAAGGATTCACATCCTACAGAGAGAAATTAGATATATTTAGTTATCATTTATTTTTGTTTTAAAAAAGTGTTAAAAATTCAAAGTACAGTCAAACCTCATTATTTCAAAGACAAAGGGACCAAAAAAAGACTTCAAGATATACGAGGATTCAAGATATCCAGAGTAAAATATCTTAAGAATAAGGGGTTGGGACTTCCAAATCACTTTGACATATCTATGGTATTTGAGATATTGGTGTTTGAGATATTGAAGTTCAACTGTATCAATAACATTTTGGGGAACTTAACAAGTTATTTTGTGATTAATCAAAAGATTATACATGTGTATAAGAAGAAGTACACTGTACTCGGACATGAAGGGATGGGTCCAAAGAAATATTTCTAAGAACTTCAGAATCTTTATCTTGGGATAATATACAGAACAAGGTCATTTTTCTTCTGTCTAATTTGTCTCTTTCTATAAATATACATTTATTATGATGAAGATATGCATGCAAATGGAGAGAAAAAATAGTATTCACAGAGTCTTGTACAGTACCTAAAAATGCTACTGAGACAGCTTGAGGTTTCTGAGGACAATTGAGGGACACTGCTGTGATAATTCCCAGAGTTCCCTCTGATCCAACGAACAACTGCTTAAGGTCATATCCTGTGTTATCCTTCCGCAGTGTAGAGAGACAGTCAACCACTTCACCACTAGCCAAAACCTACAATGAATAAATAACAAGTTCAAGTTGTGCTGGCATACTAGCATTTCACGTAAAATTTTTAGCAGTGCAGTGCCTATGTATATAGATCACAGAAAATTTTTATCAACAGTTTGCTTCCTAGCTCAGATAATTACTCAAGTGCAAGGTTTCTTACTCCTCAAACAATAAAAGCTTCCCCAAAATCACAAAGAATTAAAACAATATTTTTAAAATACATGTATTTCAACACCCATGTCATGATTGTATACTTCACTTATCCAAGAGTTTTAATTTTCTCAAACAACTTCTCTGTCTTGGACTTTGAAATCAAAAACCTGACTACACATATGGTTCATGTAGTCGGTAAAGTAAATTTTCAAGTACTCAGTGTAGAATCATCATTCATGAGGAATCAATATTTGTGGATTTTGTAGGTCACCCTTAGCAACAAATTTACATCCCCACAAACGATTATTTTATCAACATACATGTATTGTTTCATTGTATTAACCATATAAATGAGTAACCCATGAATTTATGTCCCCATGAACCAGTAGAATTTTGCTTGCCCACAAACACTGACCCCAAAAAATTAAAATGATTCCACAGTACTCACTGCTTCCAGTCCCAAAACATTGCCATGTAGTGAGCCATATCTTAGTAGTCTTATCCCTCCAGCATTGGTTGCTACATTGCCTCCAATATGACAGCTTCCTTTTGCACCAAGATCAACAGGAATGGTAAGTTTGTAGTTGGATAAATAGTCTTCTACTGTAGCTAGTACACATCCAGCCTGGCAAACCAATGTCCCTGAGAACATAAATACAATGTGGTACAACTACAAGTATGCAATGAATTCTGAGCATAAATCATTTAATGAGGCTGAGTCTAATTACTTCTATCCTAGATATTTTGATAAAATTTCTTGAATGAATTTTTACTATTATACTAATTATTTTAAGATATAAAAATCATATGTTTACCTTCCCGATTTCTTGAAGGCCATCTCAAAAGTTGTCAAATTTTACTATTGGACCCTATGGGAATTTGTTGGAAAAGCGCCAAATTATCATATTTTCCCCATATTTTTTGTATTTCTGCCCTAGGGATTTCCTTTTCAGTCAAATACATGAAAGTTATTGTAAAAAGGCACCAAATTGTGAAAACTCAAAAAAGTTTACCATCTGGTTTGGTCTAGGAATTATTACAAAGTTAATTTTTTTCCAATGCCCAATACCTCTAAATTTGCCATATTACGAATTATGTATCATTCTTCAGCGTCATGCATTGCTTACAGAACCAGAAAACAGTGACGTCGTGAAAGCCATTTCAGCGTTTATTCCTAATTATTGTCTTAAAAACACATTTTAAGACCCATAAAAGTCACAGATAATGTAATATAATGTTAATTTGTATTAAAATTACAATACTTAGGATAGATGTTATGTTGCATCTATGACTGCATGAAACTAAAAAGCTGCGCAAAGACATGCGCACTGGAATTAGACTCTGCCTCGTTAATCTAATACTCAGTATATCATTTGAATATCCAATAACTACATTGTCAGGACAAAGGTACAGTCAAACCTTGTTATCTTGAACTCGATGGGACAAAGAAGAAACTTCGAGATTTCCAAGAATTCAAGATATCTAGGGTAAAATACTGAAAGAATAAGCATTTGGGACTTAATCACTTCGACATGGTATTCGAGGTATCAGTGTTCAAGATGCCGAAGTTCAACTGTATATGCATGTTCTACACCTTGCAAGATATCATTCATTCTTGTTTTTTGTGTACAGTAAGTGAATGAGTAATGTTTCATTTCCATTAACCTAAGATAAGGAAAATACTGTAAGAAAAGTTGATCATAGATTTATGAAACAAGAACACTGGATTTTTTCCATGCATGTTGAAAAAATACTAAGAATGCTTGATAAACCACTCCTTCCTACATATTATATAACTATATAATAAGAGGAATAATTAGAAATGAAAAGCACTGCATGTCTTTTGTACAATATGATTCCTCAAAACTTACTAGCAAATATGAAACATAAATCTCAAATGTAGACATCACAAGTTTAGAAAATTTTACGAACCTGATGTTTCATCAAGACTGATGATCTTATTCATCAGTTGTGTAGAGATCACAATTTCATCAAACACAGGTACACTTCCACCAACAAGACCAGTGTTCCCTCCCTGGGGTACAACTGCAAGCTTCCTCTCATTGCAATATTTCAATATGGCCGAGACTTCCTCAGTGGACTTTGGTCTCAACACAACTTGACTAGCACCTAACAGTGAAGAAAGAGTTGCTAAAAAGATAATGGAATTTCCAATACCATAAATATATTTTTCCACTGGATTAGGACTATTGAATTTGTATACATATTCTCAGCATTTTACATGGGAATGCCAACAGCTGCTCTTTTGGGGGTAAACTGCATATACTCTACCAGTGTGAACATAATCAGTGCGTTACAGAAAGGGATAAAAAAGATTTTTTCCATGGTATCTTTTTCATAAATTTACGATCGTTTAAAAAACATGACTATCAGCATGATCAGTATTCGAGAATTTGACACGAGGCAGAATGTAGGTCACAGATACTATCACCTCTGCATGTTTTCAACCAGTCTATATTGTATCCTTCTAGAGAATCTGTTAACACTCTTCCTGGAATTAGTCGTTCAAACTCAGAAACGTCACTATCCTTAACAATGCCATAGTTTCCCCTTTTCACATTTGGATAACGAACACTTGTAAGTTCCAATAACCTTCTCGTTGTAGTCTGAAATTGTCTATTTAAAACTGTTCGATGAAACTTTGTTCTGTTCAACGCACAGCATCGTGTAAATGTATTCATTTTTTGCGCAACTAAACTGCTGACAACGTGTTACATCTCAACTAAACTGACAACAAGTTTCTACAGTCACAGTGTCAACTGTTACGTCCTAGAAATATATCGGAAACTTACTGAAGACACTACTTTTAAGTTTTCTTGATCGGAACAGGAAAAACCGTAATTTAATTACAAGCGGTTCGATCTAATAAAAAGTACTAAAAATATCCATGAAGATTTCTGAAATAAACTACAAGTATCTGAAAAAATGCTATTGTAGGACCTGTGAAATTCAGGACCTTAACTTCTAGGGACTTTCAGTCTCACCCAGAAGCGCTAGGCTAGCGCTTAACACTTAAAAAAAAAAAAAAGAAACTTGTTCGTTTCTCATATTTCCTTTTATATATATTATATTTATACCTTTTTCGATTCACTTTATATGAAAGGATATAAATGATGTTGATTTTTTTTTAAATTTTTATTTTTTATTATTATTACTTCACTGAGTTTTTTTTTTTTGGACAAGAACTCCACCAAGATATATATTGAATTCAGATGTGACAAGACCTTTCCTTTGGTACAATATCTTTGACATCATGGCCATCAGTTGACCTTGGAGTATGAACTACTTTTGAAAACCACTTTAACCTTTGCTATATTAATTGAATTGGTGCTAGGACTTTCATAGAGATGCTTTCATAGTTCATACGGTGTATTCTACGGAAGCCGGTAGTTTTTTTTTTATCTGGCGACCGCTAGATAATTTTCTTGCTGTCGCCACATAAACAACTGGCGACCGCCACATGATAGCTGGCGGCTGCCAGAAAATTATCTGGCGGTCGCTAGTTAACTTCCTGGCGGCCGCCAGATCTATTTATCTGAAAATTATATTGCGGCCGATAAGTTATCTAGGGACCGCCAGATCTTTTTATCTGGCGGCCGCCAGATAAAGTATTTTTTCTATGTGGTACCTACCGGCTTCCGTAGTATTCCTTGTGAAAAGACCTTTCTTTGGGTACCAACATTTTTTAATTCTTGACCTTAACCTTGGTATTTGACCTACATTTTGGAAAAAAAAACACTTTAACCTCGGCCTTGAGTTGTCTTACGGGGGCATCAGTGTCTCAGAAGCGCATCTCTTTTTTTAACTTTTAGGCCCGTTGCCATGGAAACAGAAATCACAAAAGAAGCAAATCATCATTGGGTTAAGTATGAAAGATAAAGGCAAACATATGCATGAAGTTTCAAAAAAGTCCGATTTAATATAAACCAAAAACTTTTAAGTGCTTACAGAGAATGACTGAATTCTTAAATTGATTCTTTCACTAGTTCAGTATGATGAAAGCAATGTTTTATTGGATGTATTTCCTTTCTTTTTTTCATACCATGTATTCATATGATTTCCTGCAGGTTAATAAGTGTTACAAAATATTCACTGCAAAAAAAAAATTCATTCCAAACCTATGAAAAAAAAATGCTAAAACTTTCATTCTCCCGCATTTTCGTGCCATAGAGAGCTCCATATATACTTAGCGTCTCTGGCATCCAAACATATATCCTGTATATAATGTGATAACTTCAACTTATCATAAATCTATCCTGATTATTTCACAAGATTGTGGGAAATTGACAATAAGCAATTCCTTTTCTTTCCATTTAATTTCCCAAATCGCATGGTCTGTAACTTACTCATCCATCTGTTGACATTGAGTTCACACAAATAAAATTCCATAGATGCTGTAGAATATTTTAAGGAAAGCAAGATTATATATATGTGAACTATAAATACAATTTGATGACTTAGAAAAGTAAAATTATAATTGAATTTTATAAATGTTTTTGCATTTTCATTAAACACAAAGCTTTATATGCAACTGAATAAAAATATGTAATAAATCAAAAATACTCAAAAGTTGAGTGTTACAATTGTCTGGAATGAAGAACTCTATTTTAAAACGTCCCAAAACTTAGAACCTACCGAGCTGTAAAGAGTGATTTTCAAACAGAGAAATATGTAACTATGGATATTCCAAAGTGTCATCGTTCTATACTTCCGCAATTTATATGTGGTGTGTTACCTATAAGAATTGACACAGGACGGTATAAGGGGAGGCTTTATCTGATGGAACATGTACTTTATGTTGTTCTTCAAATAGTGTAGAAGATGAATCCTTGTACCTCATATTCAAATCTTAGAGGAATCTTTTTAACCAGTATTGGATTTAAACCAACTACAATCAATATATGTCAGATTTAAACAAAACCAATTTTCTTTTAATAAATTTTCCTAGATAAACCGCAGATTTCCTGTACTCAGCATATACTTACAGACAGTCTATTATATACATTGTATAATGAACGCAATGCGTAATACCACTGTATTTTAATTGAATGTTGTATTGTTAAAAGTGACATATATAGGCCCGATGGGCCGGGTGTTTAAATTTTATGTATATTTACTGTTGTAATTGTTCATAACACATGTCACTATAATAAACCATTTACTTACTTACCTTGGGGGTAATCTGGTTATAAAGGGGGGGGGGGGGTACATAGTCGACTTTCCGTAGGGATCAGTCGGTGTTTGAATAAGAAAACTTTACTGAATCTGCAGTGATGTTCACTGTGCTATATTAATTCTTTTCCTCAACTTACTAAAACAGTTTCAACTAAATGGAAACTTTTTTCACTGTCGTGCATTGCAAACATGCATACGTCTCTCTATAGCTCACTCGCTTTAATATTTCAGATTTAATTAGGAATTTTGGATTAGGTTCTCATCGACAAGATAGAGTGTTATTGAAAGAAATTAAAATGCTTTTTAAAAAGCTCTTTAAAAGTAAAGAATAAGAATGTTTCATTGAATTTCTACCCAAAACTGCAATATGATTGCAAAATACGTTACTTAATATATTTTTCTTACTTTTTTAAAGTACTATATTCGATTCCTTTCTTGTATAGAAAAATAGAATTTATTTACTTCTCTTATTTCCGATAGATTGAAAGGCATAGTTGTTGCCAATCTGATTAAAATCATTTCTTTGATTCGCTCCGAAATTTTGATGATCCTTTCGGAGTTAAACAAAGATCGGATTTTTAAATCAGATTGTATTGTTGCATAAGCAATAGGTAAAACCTGTTATTTTAAGTTTTTAAAGTTTTGGACACACTGCCTAATTGTGAACCCAGAGCAATAAATTGTTGCAGTATATCGTCTTATATAAAATAAGTAGTTTGATTTTGTTTGCCTTTAAAAATAATTATAGAATTCACCATATAAGGAAGAGTTTCACCCTAATCTGATTCTCCCATTAAAAGTTTGGGCCAACCCTCTACGAGTGTAGAATAGACTCTTCCATTCAAAGCCAACTTATCACGAGATACGCTTAAAATACATAGTAAAAAGTTAAAGAAAACGACACCGCTAATATTCTATACTCAAATATCCAATCCCAGCTAAGTACGTAGGAAATTGGAAACTTCATGGTAAAAGTTAATGAAAATGTTACAGACTGTGGCCTAAATGATGTATTGTAATATTAGTTATATTGCTTATAACTTTGAAAAAAAAAAAGCGCCAGACAAACTACACCCCTTGCGACTGTCATATATAGAAAAAAATTGAATTCTTTATTTCATTTTCTAAACAGAAAGATAGATTTATTAAGGTATGTAATTTCTTATTTTATTTCTGAAGAAATTTTCTTTTTATAAAGAACATTTTATAAGAAATTTTTAAATAAAAAAAATCATCACTTTCATGATGCTTTGTGCTTACAAAAAATAGGTGTTATTTAAAAGCAGATATTATTTATCTACTTCTTTTCTCCTTTGATGACAGTGGTCTGTTATTAAAGGCTACTGTCTTGTCATGCAAAGCCTTTCCTTTTAAAAAGTACAAACGGATAGACGACGAGCAATCGACCCCCCGGGTGACAATCAGAATTTCTGGATCTTATTGCACATCTACAGCACACTACCAATCAAAAGATGACCCGGTTACTATGAAAAAAAGTGAAAAAAAAATTACTAACTGTTGTTCACACAAACCTGGTAAATACTTTCTATAATTACTTATTTTCATTCTAGGATGAAACCAGTCTGTATTTGTTACTTACTAACTGTTGTTCACATAATTGTGACGTCAGCTGAAATATGGAAGGCTTCTGATGAATTCGAAAAAGAACTTGCCAAGAAAAAAACTGAAATTTCATTAATCTTTCCTGCAAAGAAACAAAGCATGGAAGACAGGAATATGATGATTTTTGGAGTTACGACCTACAAGAAAAAATCTTTTGAGGGCGCTGCCTGTAGGGGGATATGTAACCTCTGTGGTAATCATGAAAATGGAGGCCTATCGATCGGCGACAAGTGTCAGTTGTACTGTAGTACTTACGGGGGACGGAATAGATATTTTTACTATCAGTGTCGGTACATAGTGCAACACAGATAAAGATTTTAAAACCATACAGTCAAAGGAAAGAGACTGCTGAACATCTGTATTGCCAAACAGTAACTATTATACTTATTTAAGCAAAAATGGAATACAATATCGTATGCTTGGCTGCAATGTTCACAAAGGTGTAAATTGAAATTGAAATTTTTCTTGCAATTTTTTTTTATTTACATGTATTAATTGCTTAAAATTGCATTTTACATTGTATTTATAAAAATATTACAAAGATATACCCATTAAAAACAAATTTAAAAGCAAAAGATCTTAAGATAAAAAAAATCTTCTAAATAAATGTAAACTCAGTGATGTTTTATTGGTCAATTTTTAGAAATTATAAAGATTTGTGAAATTTTGTGAAATCATCGAAATCGAGAATTTACCCTCTATTGCCATATTTAATTGCACTTTAGAATAATAATGGTGGTAATTCTGAACACGGAGAAGCAATGCTGCAAGTTCGAAATTATAGCAGTTTTTTGAAAATTTACAGTAAACTTGTTACACTTTTTTACTGTCAGGAAAACTTTTAAATGAATATTTACTTGTTTCTGTTTTTCTTTAGAAAATCCTTTGTTTGGTTTCCAGAACGTAATGTACAATTAAGTATTGTCTGCATTTTCTCTGCATCTCAAACCAGTGAAAGTATCATATTGAAGGTAAATTTGCAGTGGTTGCGTGAAAACTTCATATAAACTTATTAAATTGTTCTTTCTGGACAAAATAAGCATAACTTACTATATAGATGCTATATTTTATCCAACATTTTGTTTTTGATATTTATCTGTTTGTCTGTGTGACTGTGCCTGGATAGTGAAATTTTTTTTGTCACACTTTTGGTAGAATGGTAACCATTTCTTTTTTTATCATATGATCGCCCTTTATTCTCAAAGTATATTTTTAAAAAAATATCAAGTCATTTAATATGGCACAAATAAACATTTACAAACTTTGCTTGTGAACCGGGTGTGCGTTTTATCTCAAAATTCATGTAAATTAATTTTTCTCATTAGGGACACTCTGTACTAGAATACATGGCTTGCTGTGATGTTTTAATACGGTTATGATAGAAAAGATACATAAAGCAAGAAATGCATTTAATTAATTCTTCAGTTTCTCACACACAAGAAATTTAAAGCTTCGAAAGAACAAGAATCTATGTTAATCAAACAACAAAACAAAGCAAACCATTATCAACATATGTTTGTTTTCTGGTTTTGAAATCGAACTGTCAACGTGAGATTGTGAAAAGTGTCTGAAAAGGAAACGTAGCCCTGGTCCACCTTATAGTATACCGGAAGTGTGCTTTACAATGCATCATACGAACAATTATTTAATAAGTTAGATTTTTTCAAAGCGAAACTGGATCGCTTTGTATTCTGTTCTTTAACTTTCAGCCTCTCTTAAAGTCAATATTGGCCTACGATGTTTAAATATTGACAATAGAAAGTTTACTCGTGCAAACATACACTAAAAACATTTTTTAAAAGACGCATTGTGTGGAAACCTGGTTTTAAGTCGTGTAATTGAGTTGTACTTCACAAATCTAAGTCTAGCGACAATTCGTTTGTTCAAAAGATCGGAAATAATGGAAGCCAAGAGGCCTGAATATCACTACATGATTAAGATATATATGTGCAATCCGAGAGAATTTTTTCAACTTTAAAGTTCGGTATTATTTCAATAGCAATCATCTATAGGATACCACTTATTTTGTGTGCAATTAATTTTTTCTTTTACGCGCAGTCAGTGTAACTGTGTCTTATAGATAGGATATTTCCATTTTCTGACAGAGGAAAATACTTTTTAAAATCATGCCACAAACATTAAATAAAAGAATTGTATTAGAAAACAAATTAATGCCATGTGGAAAGGGCTCTGCTAGGAATGCTTTGTGGAAGCTGGACTTCGAAACTCGGAGACGAGCTATGAAATTAAACGAACAACAGGAGCAACGCCTATCACTTTTGTGCAAAATTCTGGATCGCCAGAAAAATTACAACGAAGCTAAAGCAAATCGTGCAATGGAAGAACTGGTTGAGAGGGGTGTAGAGTTAGAAAAGGAATGTAAAATCAGGCGATTATTGGTGGAGAGAAACCTAACGGACTCTGAAACAAATAGGGCAGCTGTAGAAAGATTAGCGCGTCGTCGCCCAAAGAACATACTTCCCTCCATCCAAAAGAATATTTCCGAAAACAACGATGATCACGTTTGGATCAGTCGAATGCCTGGAAAAACACGTAGTGAAGATCATAAAAACAGAAATGTAACTTTTGATATCAATTCTAAAAGTAAAGAAACACAAGCATCTTTTCAAAGACTTGCTGACCCATCAGAGCAAATATTTGAAGTTTCCTTGGAAACTGGAGCCACTCAAAGGTGGCATGTACCCGTGCAGTCCCTTTTCTCTAGATTTACAGCAAATCTTCGATCTTCTCATTATTCAAAAACTGTTCGGTGGGAGAGAGAGACATAACTACTAAAATCTAATGAATCAAGCTGTTTTAAAATTAAAAATAACGTGTATGTTTTTACAAAGACAACAACTTACATGTATTTATATCTGTGGTACTTGGAATATAAAACGAGAAAGATTGCATATTTTTGTGATTATTTACAGCTGCCTGTTTCTCAAAAAATAAATTAATTTCCATTCTTATTAATAATAAGAATGCCTACTGCAGCACTATCCTCGACCCCGACGGAGTCGTAACTTGAACAAGTTTTAAATCTATACTACATAGGGTGCTTAGTTCAAAATTTGGAAATCATCAGCCTTGCTTCACTGCTGAGAAGATTTAATGCATTTTCCAACATATCTCTATTAAGATTTAAATTCCCACACCCAAGTATTAGGGATTTCTGTACATTTGAATCTACAATGTATTCTAACAGACGACAGACAAAGAAACAGTTTGATCAGAAAAGCTTAAGTAAGCCTAAGGCACGGATGATGCTGATTTCCATGTAAGATATAAAAAAAAATCAAAGTTTATAATCTATGATACTATAGTATAGAACATCCTAGCTATCTAAAATTTAATCACGGTATATGCTGTGGTTTCATAAAATGTGCTGTGGTTTTGCAATTATATGCAGTGATTTAATAATTATATTCTATGGTTTCTCGTAATTGTATACTGTAGTTTCATACTTACGTATATGTGGATTTTAAAACATTATATGTTGTGGTTCTGCTATTATATGTTTTGGTTCTGTTATTATATGTTTTAGTTCTATTATTATTATATGCTGTGGTTCTGTTATTATATGTTGTGGTTCTGTTATTATATGTTTTAGTTCTATTATTATTATATGCTGTGGTTCTGTTATTATATGTTGTGGTTCTGTTATTATATAATGTGGTTCTGTTTTTATATGCTGTGGTTCTGTTATTATATAATGTGGTTCTGTTTTTATATGCTGTGGTTCTGTTATTATATGTTGTGGTTCTGTTATTATATGTTGTGGTTCTGTTATTATATGTTGTGGTTTTGTTATTATATGTTGTGGTTCTGTTATCATATGTTGTGGTTCTGTTATCATATGTTGTGGTTCTGTTATTATATGCTGTGGTTCTGTTATTATATGCTGTGGTTCTGTTATTATATGTTGTGGTTCTGTTATTATATAATGTGGTTCTGTTATTATATGTTGTGGTTCTGTTATTATATGTTGTGGTTCTGTTATTATATGCTGTGGTTCTGTTATTATATGCTGTGGTTCTGTTACTACATGCTGTGGTTCGGTTATTATATGTTGTGGTTCGGTTATTATATGTTGTGGTTCTGTTATAATATGTTGTGGTTCTGTTACTACATGCTGTGGTTCTGTTATTATATGTTGTGGTTCTGTTATTATATGCTGTGGTTCTGTTACTACATGCTGTGGTTCTGTTATTATATGTTGTGGTTCTGTTATTATATATTGTGGTTCTGTTATTATATGTTTGGTTCTGTTATTATATGCTGTGGTTCTGTTATTATATGTTGTGGTTCGGTTATTATATGTTGTGGTTCTGTTATTATATGTTGTGGTTCTGTTATAATATGTTGTGGTTCTGTTATTACATGTTGTGGTTCTGTTATTACATGTTGTGGTTCTGTTATTATATGTTGTGGTTCCGTTACTACATGCTGTGGTTCTGTTTTATTCTGTGGTTCTGTTATTATATGCAGCTCTGGTATTATATGCGTAGTTCTATATTTATTTGTAGTGGTGGTTGCATAAAAGTTGCTTTTTACGTTAATTTTTAATAATTCTAGAGTATTTTTTATCAGGAGTTGGAGCCATGAAGAGCGTGGTGTAGATTAAGCTAACGCAAGTCCGCATTTCTCTCCGAATCAGCAAAAATAAAAGAAGAAAGAAAAGAAAACTTTAATTGAATAAAAAGAAAAAGAGGATATCATTTCCTATATGTGAAACAACAGTATATTAAATTACATCACATAAGACAGCTATAGCAATTCCTATGTAAAACTTTGATTCCCCATTGTAGCCCCATCCTACCCCTGGGGGTCATGAATTGAACAAATTTGAATCTGCACTACCTGAGGATGCTTCCAATTTAATATATATCATGGCTTCGATTATGCACATTATTCTGTTTTAATTTGTTTCTATTTGAACTTTTTTGGTTATCGAGTAAATTTAATTTTATATTCATATGCATGTTTTTAATTATTTGCGTTACAGATTCTTTTTCCGTAAAAACTATCACTTTCTTTTTCTTGCCATCATTGAATGCAAAATCGTTAACGACATCACAAACGACAAATGGATTGTTCCTGATTTGTGAGAAAATGAGAACTGTAGATTCATTTTCGAACACTCTACCCAAGAAAAATTCGCGCTCCTGTTTAAAAACTGTCACGCGTTACACGCATGAAATATCTTTAATTTGTGCTATAAAATTCTACATTTTGTATGAAATCTATTTACAGTGTAAATGTTATTTTCTGACTGGAATCGGATAGTTCTATTCAAAACCTATTGATTCATACCAAAATTATCCATATTGCGAGTATATATTGTTTTGAAATCACCGATGGGTTTAATAGATCAGGCCCCAAGACCATAAACTTAAATTGTAAAATGGCCCCAACATCGCGCGTGACTTCATTACAGTAAGTACGCAGTCGTTCACTAAGTCATGTATGTCATTTTTTTTTTTTCGAAATTGTGACCTAGAAGTCCGTTAACCATGTGTATGCCTGGTCTTCTCTTACGAGGATTTCTTTAAAATTTGAATATGTATCCTAAATACTACATAACTCAATTGTTTGATTGTTAGATCGATATATTTTTTATTAAGGGAAGGGGGGTGCACCCAGCTGAACTTATTCCGGATATATGGGGGCTAAACGTGAACGGTTTTAAAAGCTTTTCAAAGTTTGTAGTTCCCGTTGTAGGAAACACATGAAATTTTCAACGTGTGTGCTTGATTATTAATAAACTGTACTATTGCTCAATTTTCTGAATTAGATGTTATATAATAATAATGGAGCGGATGGAAAATGAACTGCTGGAGTGTCGGGATGTCAGACTTTTTGCAGAATATAAACAGACAATGGGATATTTGAACATTCATCTCTTATCTCATAGGTAAATCTCAAAGTCAAAATTGCCAACAAAGGATAGTTAATCGATATATTTATCTTTTGTTTTACTGTTTTATCTTGAATAATATCCTCATTTTCTAAATGAATTGCTAAAATAAAAATTCTTGTGTTGCTTGGTCATGTTTTCTTATTAAACTTTATGGAATACAGGATGTCCTTTTACAAATTGAACTTCAGAACAGTCCTTAGAATCTTAGTGCCTTAAGTATCTTACAATTTAAGTTACTGTACTTGTTTATAGCTACATGCATTTTTTTGTATGACGTTTTTTTTTTTTGGAGTTATTCTTGACCTCCATGTTAATACATGGGGAAATTATTTACGATATAAAATTTTTGAATATTTTGCATAATATTTTGAACCCAGGTTCACTTTTTGGCTGTGATATAATGCTCTCCCTATGAAATGCTGAACCTCGGGTTTAAAATATTATGGTTATAGCTTTAAAACATTGACCTTGTATTCAATTTTTCACAAAAACATATCAAATCCTTTCAAATATTTTTTATGGGGGGAGGGGAGGGGGATGTGGAGTGGATTACTCTGATTAGAAGGGGGTTGGGGTTCAAAACATTCAACACTCATTAGAATTCTACAGGAATTAAAGATATAATAATGGTTGAGAAATATTTATCCTCCTCCAGAATTTTTTTTGGGGGGGTGTCAAGATATTGGGGTTGTAAAATATAGAACCCATAGAATTTATATTATTTTAATTAAGGTGGGTGTAAAGATATTATGACTGTGAATATTGACACCCCATAAGATTTTTACAGTTAAAAGGAGGGGTTCAAAATATTATGACTGTGAAATATGGTCATTTGAACCCACATTAGCATTTTATAGTTAAGAGGAGGGGGTTCAAGATATTATGGCCGTGAAATACTAAATCTCCATTAATTTTAATATCCCCCTCTTGAATAGTGGGGGATGTATAGTGATGGGGTGTCCATCCTTCCATATGTCCTTTCATACGTCTTTCCATACATCCATTACACTTGGGGTACCCATATCTTATCCACAATTCCTCCTATACCACTGAATGAAATTTAATGAGACTTCATAGAATCATTATTACATACTGCCATTGTGTACTTTCTATTTTATTTTTCAATCGAACAGATATTTGGGGTTTCCAATAGCAAAACATGGACACTGCCATTCTTTCTACAGCACGGGGGTACCCATCTTTTATCCCAAACTCCTTCTATACCACCAAATAAAATTTTATGAAACTTTCACAGAATCTTTATTACCTAGTCCCATTGTGCACCTCTATTTTTCGTTTGTATTGGAGAGATAGTTTGGGTTTCCCATCCCTTAGCAATACACAGACTTTGCCATTATACATGTACTCAAATGGGAGTATCATTTTGGGTATCATTTTGTGAGCTCAGTGCTCACAGTACCTCTCAGTTTTTTTTATAGTTAAAAGGAGAGAGTTCAAGATATGGTTGCAAAATTAACCCCCCTCTACATTTTAATTTTATTGTAATGAGGTGGTTGGATCAAGTTTATATGACTGTGAAATATTGAACTCCCATTAGAGATTAGAGGGGTTCAAGATATTATGGCTTGGAAATATTGAATCCCTATAAAAGTATTATAGTAAAGAGGAGGGGGTTCAAAGTATTTTTTTACCACTCTCCTTTCCCATGCCCTGGAAGTGAAAAATTAAGTGAAAGATATGTCAGGGAGGAGGCTATAGCAGCTGTCTAGAGTTCAGGGGGCCTAGGTTCAAATCCTGGTCTGGTCCATATTTTCTCCCTTCCTGTTACAATAATTTCTGAGAACATTTTTTTTATTATTCACAAAAAGATACCCTGGTGGGTATAGCAACTAGTCTAATGAGTTTAATGTAGAATGTGACTTTTTTATTCAGAGAAAGGAAAGGACAGAGATCTGAGTGATCTGAGTGCTGTTTAGCTATATGTTTGTATTTAATTTGAAAAATAACATTATATTTATTATCTTAGAAGAAGTTGCTATGAGATATCAGATATTGCATAATACAATTAAAAAAATTCACTAACATTTAGTACGATAAATATAAAAAAATATTACTTCAGAAAAAGAATCCTATGGACCTTAACACTCACCCAAGTCACCTTAGCCTTCCTATTTTCTTTACAATATTTTATCAAGATGTTTTCCCTCTTCATTCCCACTGAAATTTTTTGACCCTATACTCCTAGCCAGAAGTAATGTTGATGTTACTGAATATGTTCCACACAACACAGGGATGCATATGACCATCAAACCTTAGTCAACCAGATGCGGATGGCAGTCTCTGTAAACTCCGACAAGCAGCAAACTCTGCTCGTTGGAGTCTATGGAGACAGCTAAGCATCTGGTTGAACGAGACTAACAAAGCCTCGTTGTTCTTGAGAAGTTTTTCCATAAAAGATTTTTTTTCCTGTTGAACAGTATACCCCAGGGTATGCATTGTGAAAAACATGATCATAACCCCACATCCATAATTTGAACATGAAACTTGAACCCAAACTACTTGGGAATGATGATTTAGTGTGGCACTGTAATACCTGATTTTTTTTTTTTTTTTTTTTGGTTAATTTTTTGTGAATCCCTTGTAAAAATCTCATCCTGTACTATGACCCCACCCTAACCCAGGGGCCAAGTTTTGAACAAACTTGAATTTGCACTAGCTGGGGATACTTGCATATTAATATGACTATATGTCATAGATGCCCAGGATCTTGAGGAGAATTTTTAAGACTGTCCTTCATATTCCAGTGTAAATTTTCAACTCTGATCCCCTTTTGACTCAACCCTTCTTCCTGAGGGGCCATAATTTGAACAAATTTGAATTTGCACTACCAGGGGATGCTTGTCTATCATCATATGACTAATCATGGCCTAGTATCTTGAGAAGATTTTTAAAGATTTCCTATAATATTCACATGTAAACCTTTGATCCCTTATTTGCAGTTGTTTTGCAAGCAGATGACCTTTGAGAAATGATTTATGGATAAAACTATGAATAAAAGAAAATTAATTATTGAAGTCACATATAAATCATGGTAACGTATCATCTAAAAACAAATATTCCCACATGCTAGTGTGGAAATTTCAGTTTGAGAGTATGATGGACTACAAATGTTATCTGAGATAACCATCCCCTATGAATGACTAAGACCTGTAAAACTCTACTATGTAGATTCATTTTTAATCTCCATGGAATCTAGACCCACTCACTTATAAGCCTAAAATATATTCAGACAAATTTAGATTTCTTTTCATTCTTGGTGAGAATACATTATTAGTAACTTAATGATATTATATTCTCACTGAGGATGTAAAGGAATCTACTAATAACTGAATGTAGTGTCAAGTGCATATTTTTTAAAAACAAAGTTTACTACAAGGGATGTCCCTAAGACCCGGGGGCCGGGGAATTTCCCCACCTATAATTACATAATCCCCAGTTACTTTGGTATTCCTCCTCAATCCCCTGTTCACAGAGGAACCCCAGATCCCCTTCTACCCTTTTAATGTCCCCTGCTATTTTAATTCTTAGGGACAACCCTGTTACTATAATTGTCATGAATGTTACTGGGTGATTGCAATGTTAACAGTAATAATGCCAGAGTAGTTTTTTTTAGCTTATCTGAGCCAAAGGCTCAAGTGAGTTTTTTTAATCAAAAAGTGTGCATTATCCATCTGTATGTCTAGCATGTGTCATCTGTAATCTTTTCCCAGTTTTTGACTTCTCCAATGCCACAGGGGAAATTTAGGCCATTATAAAGAGACAAAGTTTTATATACACTAATACAGTTAAACTTCAGTATCTTGAACTCTGGTATTTCGAATACCACAGATAA